TGAGAAATGTTGTGTTAGCAACGCCCAGTCTGCAAATTTCACTTTTAATTGATTTTTATTAAGCAAAAACAAGATAAAAGCGAAGTAAGCTCAAGGAGAAATTTTGTCTGGCGCCCTCATATCCATGGAATCTATGAATAACACCCGTTGCGAATTCGAATTTACCATCTTCAGCTTGGCGTCGCTGCTGTCTTCTTTATTCTTTTTGTCCCCAGAGATTTCTATTTGGGGAAAGAGTGATCTCATCATTTGACTATTTCACGGATTTCGGCTGGGCTCAGTCAGCTTGGCTCAAAAGAATTTTCCCAGCCTCGGGAAAAGCGTTAAACCGTTGGAAAGCCTCTATTGAAACGCAGTTTCATTGCCAAAGTCAACAAAAAATTGAGCTAAAACCGCTGAAGCGGCGCCCCAAATAATCAATTCCAGGCATTTGCATAAACAAAACCGACAAAACAGAAAAATGAACACAATCGGAGAATGCGAAATGGGGAGAAAATCTCATCAAATTCGGTAGCTAGTGGTGGCGCATGCGCAGAACCCAAAGAACGAATTGAATTTCGGGCTTTTGGCTTTGAAATGAACCAAACTCTGGCTCGGAGGCACGGTGATGTCATCATAAAATAACATGGGTTGCGGGTGTATATAATACTATATTGTACAGCCCCTCCGGGGGGCGTGACCAAATGCCAAAAAATAATAATAAAGGCAATGAGCACGAGGAGCAGGCCAGCTAGGGGAGCTTGAAAAGGGTAAAGTGAGCTCAACATTGACTAATTTTTGCAAATAACTCTTGTGGCACATCGTAGAGTCCAACACGTACGTACATACATACGTACGATCCAAGTTAAAGCTCTATAAACAATTTCGATTTCAACAAAAGCAAAAGGCAGGCAATGAAGACGCAGACAAGCCAAACGAAGTATGTAATATTTCTTTTGGCTTTTGTGTATCATCGTCTCTATATGTGAGACAATAATCAGCCAAAATGTTTGGTAATCATTTTTAAAGAGCGCCCCAAATTGAAGCTACACCCATGAGTCCAGATTTGAAGAGGGTTTTCGGCTTTTCGAATAAAAAATGTTAATTAATTGACGTTGAGATACATACATAAATCTTAGATTTTTCTTGGACTTGGGACTTAAGAATATAGCAACGCCCTAAGATCATTTCCAGTTTGGAACTATTGTCTCTAAACTTAGGCCCAAGTTTGTCGTTTTTTCTTATCGTCTCCATTTTTGCTGTTTTCTCTTTAAAATTGTTTTTAGCTCTTCTTTTTTTGGGATTTTGAAAATTGTTTAACATGCCAGGCACAACAAAAGAATTTATAACATTGTTTTTTTTTTTTTTTTTTACTTCATATAGGTATTCTTCTCTTTTTTGACTGACTGAATTTTAATTTTTCAGCCCGCTGATGCGGTAATTTTATGCATAGAAATTTTTTAACAACAAAGCCACCAATTCCCTAATTTGCTGGGCGCTCTACACAGTTCTCATTATTTTCGGAGACAAATATTACAAAGAGATGACAAGGAAATTAGGTTTTTATCAGTCATATTCAATCAGTCACGCAAATGTAATTAAAACAGGTAACGACTTGGGATGCTATCTAAATGGGCAACTTTGCTAAAAGCTAAAAGCCAAGAGCCTCACTGATATACTTTTAAGTATCATTAGATTCAGTCTAAGCGGCTGGTTTGGCAAGCGAATAATATGTGCGACTTTTTGCATAATTCCCATAAAAATTAAGTATACAAAACGCGCTAAATGTTTATTGATTTATGTAAATTTTTACACGATTGCTAAGGTTATTGCCATGTTCATTAGCTAACCGGGTTATATGGAACACTCGGAGATTAAGATCTGCTCGAGAGGCAAGCAGAACCCCCGAAAAAAAATATAGAAAAGAAATCGTGTTTAAAGTGTTTTGCGATGAGTGAGAAGTGTGGCTCTGATTATTTAAAAATAGAAAAGAGGAGCACTGTGTCCGTGTATGTTCCTGTTTCCAGCTGCCGCGCATGTGCTCTGGGTTTCTATATGTTTATTTCGGTAAACAGGATGCTCGGAATTCGACCCTCAGCTACTACTACTACTACAGTTTGTCCCTGACTTTGCCTCCCTTTTTCCGGCAACTTGGGGTTATATAAATAGTTTATGGGCAAAGACAGCTGTGCAAGATGAGGTATAAATGAGCTAACACTTGGTGTGATATTTTCTGAAAAGGAAATGATTGAATTTTTGTTCGATGTTTGTAACGTTGCTAGAAATTAATAAGAAATAGTTTCTTAATGCTTTTTAAAATTTTAAAAGGATATTACAGCGACTTTTTGTGCGGACATGGTGTTATGTAAAGTTTGGATTCATTTTTCGAGCTCTATATAAATATTTATCTATTTTTCGGGGGATTGAAATTCTCATTAGCCAAGTTAACTTTCCTTTTTGGCATTAACTTATAGATCAAACACTTTAATTGTTTTTCCTGCAAAAGCCTAAAGTTATGCCTCGGTTCCACTCGAACCTCTTCGGTTCTGTTTGGAATTCACACAGTCTGATAAGACCCATACCTACCTTATCGCGGCATGGTAAAGTTTATTGTCACGCCGTTCTAGTTGTTATTGCCATTTTTTTTATATTTTTTTTATTGTTTAGTTTTCACCTCTTTTTAATTGATTTTTGTATTTGTCCAAGCGAAGTGTTCTGTTTGCCAACTGGCGGCAAATGCCTTCCAGGTGACCTCAGCTCTAGCGGCACACCATAGTGTATATGTACATATATATTATACATATGATCTATTAACGACTATGTGACACTAGGTTTTGGATTTTCGAGATTATAACTCTTTCGAATGATGTCACAGAGAGAGGGAAAAAAAACCGAAGAATGATCAAATTTGGCTTTTATTTAATGGCCCATTCATTAGTCTTTTGGCTTTTGACAGGGCCCATAAATAACTCGATATTGAAGTGCATTCCCCGCTATAAATACCGACTTTTCCTATCTGCCAACATATGTCCGTGGTATGTGGGATTTATCGGCTGATAAGATATTGATTCCAGGGTCTCTCGGGGCTTAATATTTGCCAGAGGATTTACCAGATCCGAGAAAGAGAAGCAAACCCTTGTCTTATACTGCCTTCCCCAGGTGCTATCAGTTAAACTTTAATGCTGGCCGCGATAAAAGGAATTCACCATAGCGCGCTCAGTTGAAGAATTTTTGGCCTGGCCTTTAATTCATCTGATAAACACGCTCAAAAGGGGGAGGAAGCTTTCCCCCACTCCGGGCAGAACGAATTGGTGGTGGCCCCCCTCTTGGGTTTCAGTGACCAAACGGCGCGTGCTCTGGCAGTAACTGTGGCTCCGTCAAAATACGATCGAAAACGAAGAAGAAACCGAATACGATATTTTTAAGGAATATATTTTCTAAATGTTTCGCTAGCACTTGGTGCTGCAAACGAACACTATTTTGTGAAAACTCCCTCGAAATTTCCAGTGATCAAAAACGATGGAGTACAACAACACCATAAGGCGCTCCAACTTTACACGCAATGAATATAGGAGATATATATCATATGAGCGACAGTCGTTGGGTAAGGAGAGTGCTATAGGAAATGGTGTCAGGAACACCCACGCCACTTGAACTTGAACTTCTATACGTAGAAGCTCTCCCTGGGGATCATTATACAATTCCAATTGCCCAAGCGAAAGTATACCTGCTCTTATCTGACAATTTTGGGTGGAACTTGACTTTTTTTGGCCATACGATGATAAGCCCCCGCAAATATTTGACAAATGAGTCGCGACTGACTAGAATCATTGTTACAGTTGCTCGTTGCCAAAAAGTAGTTCGTTTTCGCTTTCTGCAGTTTCCGCTCTCTGGTTTCCCGGAACTTTTTTTTTTTTGGCATTTTTTCTTGCCCAGTAGTTACGTAAAACGAATCGTTGATAAAAAGTAACAAAGCTGTGAACCATTTTTTCATGGGTATGAAGTAATTTCGTCTTTTGACTGATAAGAACCAAGGCAATATCATTTTGTGGCGACTATTTTGGCTACTCGATACGCTTGTCTGGGGGTATGTTAACTGATGGCAGCATTTTGGTCGCTTACATCGGTCTTATTTATAATTTAAAAACATATTTTCTTAAACTAATAATTTTTGAACTTTAAATTATTTAAATATTAGTGGTGAATAATCGCAATAGTTAACGAAAAATATTAATACTTGCTAATAAAGCAAAGCAAAAGCCATTTAAAGATTAACATATTTATTTAAATATTAAAACATTATTTAGCTTACATGAAATACTTATTGTATTAAGTATATTGTAAACACTTTTAAAATGGTCAAGTCATTGAAATATTTAACCAACTTTGTGCAATTAGGATCTAAAACCTAAAAGCCAATTGGCTCGGGGTCTGGCTTATCTTTAATAGTCTGACAAAAAATACAACTACGTGATGAGGTGTCGAAGTAGAACCTCTTGGTGTGGGTTTTTGGTTCTCTGTGTTAGAACTTCCCCCAGCTAATCGGCGATATTGCTAGCAAATGCTGATACAATGATTTAAAATTAGGAATTACGCTTGACAGAATGCGTAAACTATAAATGAACCGCCTTGGAATGCGGGATCTAACTTTAGTCAGTGGCTTTTTTTGTGTGTGTTTGTTGTTTTTTATAGAAGCAAAAATTATGTTGGCGATAACCTGTTATCTCTGAATCAATACATTGCGAACGAACGTCACGGGTGTGCTTTCTCTATCTCTCCAACTTCCCCCTTGTATATTACTTCTCTTTTCCTGTATTTTTCCTCTATTTTCCTCCATTTGTGGTATTGATTTTGGTTTGGGACTGTTGTCAGGTGGCTTACCCGTTTCTCTTGTCTATTTTTTTTTTGTCTAAAAACCAAAACAAACACTAAAACTAAACGTTGCACTTGTTGGACTTCGAGCTTGAACTAATCCGAGATTTATTTTGTTCCATGTTCTTCATGCTCGTCGTGCCATGTAGCATCACAATATGAGCCGGGAGGCTACTCCGCGCTCCAGACGCCGACGCCCTCCAATCGCAACTCCGCCAACATGACGCAGCGGGATGGCATCATCAAGTTTGAGAATGAGCGGATCAAGACGCTGCAGGAGGAGCGTCTGCACATCCAGAAGAAGACATTCACAAAATGGATGAACTCCTTTCTCATCAAGGTAAGAAATAATAATATTATACAGTAAATCAGTGGGTTTAATCTGTTACATTTATATATTACTTTTTAAAGGTTGTTTTATTATAAAATATCACAAATTTCACATATATTAAAGAAGGTTTTCACTATTTAAATAATAAAAGAAACAATGTATCTATTTCCCTAAGACATAAAGAGACTCCTACAATCAATTGCATTATCATAGGCTTTATATTAACCCTACAAAACCCCAAATAGAGTGTTAAAATGAAAGCTATATCTTGCGCGACGACCGAATTATACATTCACTTTGAATTTTGATCGAAAGAAATTTTTACAGCTTACGACAGAGATAATATGAATGCAACTCACATATTATTTGGGCTTTTTTTTTTTAGGCCAAAATGGAGGTCGAAGACCTATTCACAGACCTGGCCGATGGCATCAAGCTGCTGAAGCTGCTGGAGATCATATCGTCGGAGAAACTGGGCAAGCCGAACAGCGGACGTATGCGCGTCCATAAAATCGAAAATGTCAACAAGAGTCTGGCATTCTTGCACACCAAGGTGAGACATGTGTCCAGCAGGAGGAGCAATCCGAGGGAGAGTGGATTGGAGTGGAGTGGAGTCTTGGGAGACTGGAAGGCTGATAGGCTGGGAGAGTGAGTGGCAAGCTCTACGCATTTGTAGAAAGTGCAAGTCGCGCCTGCGCAGCTGCGCGTGGCCATTGCGTGCTTTGTTTGCCATATGAGCTCTCCTCATGGCTTCGCGGAACTGCACTGGGAGAAATTGGGGGCTCTAACACAATAAATAGTTATATATTTTAAGATTATTATAAAGATTTAGATAGTTTTGTAATTAATATAAAATATTTTGCTAGATATTGTTAGAAAACACGTTTCATATCAATAGTTATTTTTCAAAAAATAATTGCATAGGGAGCTTGTATTTTTCACAGTGTTACTTTGGATTTGGGATCTCGGATCTCGGGGGAAGTGAGAGACGTCGTCAAGACATGGCAAAATATATATTTAATTACCTTGCCTGGCCCGGGCCTTCTTCCTCTTCGTCGGTGCGGCTCTTTTCTTGGCAATTTCTGAAATATTTGCATACTTTCTAATGCATTTTTCTTTCTTATAAGAGTCTTACCTGGCGTGGCACATTTTCCAGGTACAATACTTTCTTTGCAGCTCGTTGTGCATTTGATTTTAATTGTGCAAAGTGGCAGCTTAGCGTGCGACATAGTTTCTCGTATCTTCTTCCAGGGGCCGCTGTCCTAATCTAATTAGAAACAATTAATTTGCCGCAATTTGTCCCATTGCCCGTCTCTTTCACTCTCTTGTCCGTTGCAGTGAAAGTTTTTTAGTTTTTCAGTTTTACTTTTCACCATTTAATTTTGTATTTAATTCGCTTGTTTTGGGGCTTGTCTCTGCTGTGTGTTTTACACGGGTATTGAATGCATTTTAATTGGTTTTGTGGGCTTGAAAGAAGCCGGAATGAAAGATTTACGCATAGTGGAATACTAAGAACCCCCCGGGGGACTCATTGAAGCATGCCACAAGCCACGACCGAGGCGGGGGGAACCCAGATGGCGTAGTTTTAAACAACATTTAAATATACCAAAACACTTTCTGAGGGAGTCTATTAAAATAATACGTTTCTGGGAAAGGAAACATAATGCTCGGGCACTCATATTTCCGCTGGTGCTACTGGGAAATATTTGTAAAATGTTTTTCAATATTTTTTTCCCCCAGAATTTTTGTTATTAATTTAATTTTTATTAATGCCTTTATTGTGGAGTTAAATTTTAGCTCATAATCTTAAAGTCTTGTTATTAATTTTATAAAATATCTTTTTTCTAATTTAAAACTTTGAGTTTCAAACATGCTTATTGTTTCTTTTGGAATCAAAATACAAACCTATACAAAACTAGCTCTCAAAAGGGTTTAAATTTCCAATAAAGATTTATTTAAAGAAACGTCTCTCAATCACATAAAATTTTCCTTAAAACCTAGAAAACAAATCAGTTTAAATTTCCAAAATATCCAAATTAAAAATAAATAATATGCAGGGCGCTGTTTCATCTTAATCTTAGCTCCTCCCTCGGCCATAAATCTCGGCCTCCAAATGCTGTTGACCACTTTGTAGCTATGATAATACGATTTAGATCGGTATCAGCTAGTAAGTTATGCCTCCTCCGTCTGTGTGGAGTTACCTGTCCGCGCCCTGACCTACTATACATAAATGCAAATGTGTGTAGACGACGACGGTGACCCATATGAACCTGCCGAGGTCAAGCACCTCCACCTGATAATGCGTGACTTGGGCAGGGGCAGACCCAGTTTGGATATCTGTGAAGGAACTCTCTGGGGTAACCCGAGACGCAGCTTACCCACTCCACCTGCTCTCCACTCGGAAATCCAGAAGGAAACTAAAGAAAAGAAACGCATAAAAAAAGAGAGAATGAAATAATGCAATGCTGGGTCTTCTTTCTCCTCCTAAGGTTCGCTTGGAGTCCATTGGTGCTGAGGACATTGTCGATGGCAATCCCCGTCTCATTCTGGGTCTCATCTGGACCATCATTCTGCGGTTTCAGATTCAGGAAATTGAAATCGATGTGGTAAGTTATAGAAGTCTTACACTTAAAGTCACCCTAATTAAATCCCCCAATTATAAAAGGATGAGGAGAACGAGTCCAGCGAGAAGCGTTCCGCCAAAGATGCGCTGTTGTTGTGGTGCCAGCGCAAGACGCATGGCTATCCGGGCGTCAACATCACCGACTTTACCAACTCCTGGCGCTCTGGTTTGGGCTTCAATGCCCTCATCCATTCGCACCGTCCCGATCTGTTTGAGTACAGCACCATTGTCAATTCGAAGAATTCTAACCTGGACAATCTGAATCATGCCTTCGATACGGCCGCCAATGAATTGGGCATTCCCAGGTAATTTATTTTAATATTCATTAAAGCAAATATCATTGGAATTAACATGAAATCAATATCCCCTTCAGTCTGCTCGATGCGGAGGACGTTGACTCGGCCCGGCCCGACGAAAAGTCGATCTTGACCTATGTGGCCTCCTACTATCACACCTTTGCACGCATGAAGAACGAACAGAAGAGCGGCAAGCGCATAGCGAATGTAAGTATTCCCAATTGGTATTCAAATGCGAGGAGGAGTCCCATTGCTACTCTGTGGATGCACTGCAGCGTAACGGTGTCCCACAGTTAACGCTCTACTTCACAATGGATTGGCCCCCCGATCGGATTCAGATTCAGATTCAGATTCCGGGTGGAGTCCACTCCCAGACCTAGGCCTAGAAAGTTGCTCAACCACTGATCCCATCCATCGTCTCCATTTCCCCCCGATCTCCCCCCAGATTGTGGGCCAGCTGATGGATGCCGATCGCAAGAAGATGCAGTATGAGCGTCTGACCACAAACCTGCTGAGCTGGATCCGCCAAAAGACACTGGAGCTGGAGCAGCGCGACCTGCCCAACTCGCTGGAGGGCATCCAGCGGGAACTGTTGGCCTTCAAGGAGTACCGGACCATTGAGAAGCCACCCAAGTGAGTAGAAGTAACCATATTCCCAACAAATCAAATCTTGAAGCGAGGAGAGAGAGAGAGAAAGATGATTTTAATGGTAAATTCCTCTCTAAAAGGTACAAGGAGCGCAGCGAGATCGAGGCTCTGTACTTCACCATCAATACCCTGCTGAAGGCTCTCAATCAGCCGCCTTACAATCCGCAGGATGGGCAGCTGGTCAACGACATTGAAAAGGCCTGGCAGATCCTCGAGTACGCCGAGCATCATCGCGAGGTGGCCTTGCGAGAGGAGCTGTTGCGTCAGGAGAAGCTGGAACAGCTCAACTACAAGTTCGAAAAGAAATCAGTGCTGCGTGAGGGCTATCTGAAGGAGATGATTCAGGTCCTGTCCGATCCACGCTACTTGCGCCAGGTGGATGCCACTCTAAAGAAACACGAGGCCATCTCGGCTGATATCCTGGCGCGTGTGGAGCGATTCAATGACCTGACTGCCATGGCCGAGGAGCTGGATAGGGAGAACTATCATGGCAAGGAGCGGGTAAAGCGTCGAGAGCAGGAGGTGATGGCCAAGTGGCGACAGCTCCTAGAGCTGCTAGAGAACCAGCGTCTGAACCTCTCCCAGATGAGCAACCTAATGAACCTGCTGCGTGAGATTGCCAGCACCACGGAGGCAGTGCGAGATCTGCAGCAGCAGTTTGCCTCCGAGGATGTGGGTCCCCATCTCCTGGGCGTGGAGGAGCTCCTGCAGGCTCACTCCCTGCAAGAGCTGCAGGTGAACACCTACGGCGAGACCCTGAAGCGCTTCAATCGCCAGGCGCTGCCCTACAAGAACTCCGAGCACAAGGATGCAGCTCTGCTGGCCCAGAGGCTGGCGGAACTGGAGGAAGCCTACTCGGAGCTGCTGCGTCGCTCGGCAGCGAGGAGAGCTCGCCTGGAGGAGGCCCGCAACTTCCACCACTTCATGGAGGACTACGACAACGAAGAGTCCTGGCTGGTGGACAAGCAGCGCATCTGCAAGACCGGCATAACGGCCAAGGATCTGCGGGCAGTGCTCTCTCTGCAGCAGAAACACAAGGCCCTGGAGGATGAAATCAAGTCCCGCAAGCCCAAGTCTGGACAGATGTCCGAGGCGGGCAAGCGCCTGATTGGGGAAGAGCATCCTCGCTCCTCTGAGATCCAGAGCCGTATTGATTCTCTGGCGGAGCACTGGCAGGCCTTGGAGGCTCTGGTTGAGCTCCGGCGCAGGCAGCTGGAGGACGCCGCTGAGGCCTATCAGTTCTACACGGATGCCAACGAAGCCGAGTCCTGGCTGAACGAGAAGATGGCTTTGGTCAACTCCCGTGACTATGGAAATGATGAGCCATCGGCTCAGGCTTTGCTGCAGCGCCATCGGGATCTGCAGGGCGAGCTGAATGCCTACTCCGGGGACATTCTCAACCTGAACCAGCAGGCGGATAAGCTGATCAAGGCGGGCATTTGCACGCTGGAACTATCCGCCGTGGAGCCGGAACTTCCAGAGGTGGAGCAGGAGGAGTGGGTCAACGAGACGCGTCTAGTGCCCAAGGAGGTGTGGGAGGACGAGTGGGTGGAGAAGCTGGAGCACAAGAAGGTCACCGAGACGAAGCTGCTGCCGCATGTCAAGTCCCTGTTTCCCTTCGAGGGGCAGGGCATGAAGATGGACAAGGGCGAGGTAATGCTGCTCAAGTCCAAGACCAACGATGACTGGTGGTGCGTGCGCAAAGATAACGGCCTCGAGGGCTTTGTTCCGGCCAACTACGTACGCGAGATTGAGCCCCGACCAGTGGCCTGCATTGTGCCCAAGGCGGAGAAGGTCAAGTCCCTCCAAAAGGTGAAGAAAACCATCCTAGTGCGCCAGGTGGTACCCGTGAAGAGGATCAAACCGGTAAGCGTGGCCCCCAAGCCCCTTGTCCAACGGCGAACCTCCACTCAAAGCATCAACGAGAACGCCGACAGCGTGGAAAAGCGCCAGCAGAGAATCAACCAGACTTACGATGAGCTGCAGGAGATGGCCCAGAAGCGCCATGCTCTCCTAGAAGACTCGATTCACCTGTTTGGCTTCTACCGCGAGTGCGACGATTTCGAAAAGTGGATGAAGGAGAAGGAGCGCATGATCAAGACAGACGATGGCGAGGGTGTGGACAATGCCAAGCGCAAGTTTGAGAAGTTCATCACCGATCTATCGGCTGCCTCGAAGCGGGTGGAGGAGATCGACGGCGCCGTGGATACCTTCCGCCGTCAGGGTCACTCTCAGCTGGACAAGATCATTGCCCGCCAGCGCCAGATCCATCAGATCTGGCAGCGTCTCAACAATGCCAAGGCCCAGCGCGAGAAGAGCTTGGAGGGAGCCTCCAGTGTGGAGCTCTTCAACCGCACCTGCGACGAGGCCAAGGTCTGGATGAGCGAGAAGATGTTGCAGCTGGACACGGCCGTCATCACGCCCGATCTGAGGACAGTCCAAGCTCTCCAGCGTCGCCACCAGAACCTCGAGCGGGAACTGGCTCCAGTAGAGGATAAGGTGAACCGGGTGACTTACCTGGGCAACTCCGTGAAGAATGCCTATCCCGCGGAGAAGGACAACGTAAATGCACGCCAGCAGGAGGTCCAGGACATGTGGCAGCAGGTCCAACAGCGTGGCAATGACCTACGCAATCGCATCGAGAGTGAGGTCGGCCAGCAGATCTTCAACAACAGTGCCAAGGTCCTCCTGGCCTGGATTGATTCCGTCAAGGATCAACTGAATGCCGATGAGTCGGCCCGCGACGTTGAGACGGCCAACAATCTGCTGAAGAAGCACAATGATCTGGGTGATGATATCCGAGCCCACGACACCGAATTCGTCGAGGTCATCCAGTTGGGCAAGCAGTTGTCCGACGGCAAGCCCAATATGGCGGAGACGGTGGCTCTTATTGAGCGCCTTAAGGCCGAGCAGGATGCCATTCACCGCGGCTGGGCCGAGAAGCAGAAATGGCTGCTGCAGTGCGTCGAGTTGCAAATGTTCAACCGCGAAGCTGACAAAATAGATGCCACCACCAAGAGTCACGAGGCCTTCCTGGAGTACAACAACCTGGGGGTGAGTTCTCCGAGAGCTTTTTGTTTTTTTCTGAGTGTTTCTAAAGGTTATATCTCTCTTTCAGTCCTCTCTAGACGAGGTGGAGGCCATACTGAAGCGTCACTTGGACTTTGAGAAGAGTCTAATGGCCCAGGACAAGATCCTCAAGGGCTTCTCGGACAATGCAGACAAGCTGGTTGCCAACGATCACTACGATTCAAAATAGTGAGTTAATTTTCGATCCTTTTCCCTTATCCCGCTTAACCCACTTAACCCACTTCCCTTCCAGCATCGGAGATCGCCGCCAGCAAGTGCTGGGCAAGCGCAAAGCTGTCCGAGATCGCGCCTTTGAACGCAAGCGCCTCCTGCAGGCCTCCAAGGACTTCCACAAGTTCGCCGCCGAGGCCGATGACCTCAAGGTCTGGCTTCAGGACAAGACGCGAATTGCCGGCGACGAGAACTACCGGGATCTGAGCAACCTGCCACGCAAGCTCCAGAAGCATCAGGCCTTTGAGCGCGAACTGCGTGCAAACGAGGGTCAGCTGCGCAACGTCACCAAGGATGGACAGGCTTTGGTCCAGGCCGGCAACCGAGTACCCGAGGTGGAGGCCCGCGTGGCGGATCTCAACAAGCGCTGGAAGGAGCTGTTGACACTCTCCGAAGACAAGGGTCGCAAGCTGGAGCAGGCTGCCTCGCAACGCGAGCATAACCGTGCCCTGGAGGATGCCAAGAAGAAGGTGGACGAACTGGACGCAGCCCTGCGCAGCGGAGATGTGGGCAACGATCTACGCAGCTGCAAGGATCTGATTAACAAGCAGCAGATCCTGGAGTCCGAGATCACCATCTGGGACCAGAAGGTGGCCGAGTTGGTGTCCACCGGCGACGACATGGCCCACGAGGGTCACTTTAATGCAAGGAACATTGAGGCTGGCACCAAGGAGCTGCAACAACGCTTCAAGGACCTGCGGGATCCCACCCAGCGCCGGCGAGCCAAGCTGGAGGAGAGCCTCAACTACCACAAGTTTGTGTTCGAGTTGGATGCCGAGTTCCAGTGGATCAATGACCACCTGCCGGCGGCCAAGTCCAACGAACTGGGCCAGAATTTGCACCAGGCCCAGTCCCTGCACAAGAAGCACAAGAAGCTGGAGGCGGAGATCAAGGGCCATCAGCCCATGATCAATAAGGCTCTGCAGGCGGGTCAGTCTCTGGTCTCGCAGCAGCATCCGGAGCGGGAGCAGGTGGAGAACCTGTGCCAGCAGCTGGAGCAGGCCTGGCAGGATTTGGAGCGCCACTGCAACGAGCGTTCGCGCAAGCTGGACATGTCCCTAAAAGCCCAGCAGTATCTGTTCGACGCCGGCGAGATCGAGTCCTGGCTGGGTGAGCGCAACAATGCCTTGCGTTCCACGGAGTACGGCCGTGACCGCGACTCTGCGGCCAAGCTGCTCACCAAGCACAAGACCATCGAGTTGGAGCTGGACACCTACTCGGGCATTGTCACCGAAATGGGACACAGCTGCGCCGCCATGGTGGCTGCCCATCATCCGGACAGCAAGGTGCTGGCCGCAAAGCAGCAGCTCATCGAGAAGATGCTCAAGTCTCTGCACAAGCTAGCCTCCCAGCGCCAGGTGCGTCTCATGGAGAGCCTGTACAAGCATGAGTACTTCCTGGAGTCTGACGAGGTGGAGCAATGGATCCGTGAGCAGGAGCAGGCTGCCTCTTCCGAGGACTATGGCCAGGACTTTGAGCATTTGCAGTTGCTGCAAAATAAGTTTGATGACCTCAAGCATCGCGTGGAGGTGGGAGCAGATCGGGTGGATCAGTGCGAGCTGCTGGCCAAGAAGTTGATTGATTCGGAGAGTCCCTATGCCAACGAGGTGGAGAGGCGACAGGAGCAACTGAGGTGAGTTTGGCGGAAGCCCTTTTCTTTATCTTTATTCCTATCCTATCCCTATTTGTAATTTTCCCCCGAAGAACTTCCTGGGAGAACCTTCTGCAGCTGCTGAACCAGCGCGAGCAGAAGCTCCATGCCGCCGGCGAGATTCACCGCTTCCATCGGGACGTGGCCGAGGCCCTGTTCCGGATTCAGGACAAGAATGCTGCTCTGTCAAACGAACTGGGCAAGGATCTGAACTCTGCTTTGGCTTTGCTGCGCAAGCACGAGGGCTTTGAGAACGATCTGGTGGCCCTGGAGGCCCAACTCCAGGTGCTGGTAGAGGACTCTGTGCGCCTGCAGGCCAAGTATCCTTCGAATGCCACGGCAATTGCCCAGCAGCAGGACAAGGTGGTGGCTGCCTGGAATGACCTTAAAGAGAGGTCCACTGCTCGCGGTGATCGTCTGGCTGCCAGCTCTGATCTGCAAACCTTCCTCACCGATGTCCGGGACATTGTCTCCTGGTCCTCCAACCTGCGGGCTGCCCTCCAGGCCGAGGAGCATGTCAGCGATGCTGCAGGAGCCACGGCTCTGAAGATTCAACACGATGCCATCTATGGAGAGATTGAGGCCAGGGAAGACAAGTTCCGCTACCTCAACGAACTGAGCGACTCTATGGTCCAGACTGGTCACTATGCCGCCGCCGATGTGGAGGAGAAGTGCGCCGCCATGCTGGACGAGCGCCAGAAGCTGCATGCCGCCTGGAACAAGAAGAAGATCATGCTGGAGCAGAAGATCGATCTGTTCTGCTTCCTGCGGGATGCCAAGCAAATAGACAATCTCTCCAGCTCCCAGCAAGCGGCCTTGAGCAGCTCCGACTTTGGCCAGACCGTGGAGGATGTCCAGAACCAGATCAGGAAGCATGACGAGTTCGAGCGGTTGATCCAGACGCAGGAGGAGAAGGTGGCTCTGCTGCAGGAACACGGCCGCAAGCTGATCGAGCAGCGTCACTATGATAGCGCCAATATCCAGACCATCCTTCAGGGCGTCCTGGGACGCCGCCAGAAGGTCAAGGATCTGTGCGCCGTGCGTCGCTACAAGTTGGAAGATGCCCTGCTGTACGCCAAGTTCGTTAGGGATTGTGCCGAGGCAGAGTCCTGGATCAGCGAGAAGCAGAAGAAGCTGGAGGCCGATGCCGCTAGCTATGCCGAGGTGGCCAATCTGGACGAGAAGATCAAGAAGCTGCAGAAGCACCAGGCCTTCCAGGCCGAGGTTGCCGCCAACCAGGGTCGCATTCAGGAGATTCAAGACACCGGCGTGATCCTCCTTAGCAAACAGCATGAATCCTCGCCCGAGATCAAGCTGGCCATCGAGAGAGTGCTGCAGGCCTGGCAAGGACTCCTGGCTGAGCTGGAGCAGCGAGGTCGGGGTCTGGAGGAGGCGCAGGACAGTCTGGAGTTCAACAGCCAGCTGGACAAGATCGAGGCCTGGATACGCGACAAGGAGATGATGGTGCAGGCCAGTGACACGGGCCGCGATCTGGAGCATTGCAACGCCCTCATGCGGAAGCTGGACGACGTGGACTCGGACATGCGAGTGGACGACCAACGCGTGAAGCACATCAACCAGCTGGCCGACAAGCTGATGAACCAGGCCCAACTCCCAGCCGATAGCCAGAGTGTGGACAAGCGGCGCAAGGACTTTAACTACAACTGGCGGCAGCTCCAAGGAGCACTTAATGCCTACCGTGCCCTGCTGGGCGGTGCCAACGAGATCCATGTCTTCAATCGCGATGTGGACGACACGGCGGAGAGAATTGCCGAGAAATCTCTTGCCATGAGCTCCACGGACACGGGAAGGGATCTGGCTGCAGTCGAGGCTTTGATACGACGCGAGGAGGCCTTGGAAAGAGATATGTCAGCCGTCAAGCAGAAGATTGATCATCACGAAACGGCTGCCGAGTTCCTGATCAAAAAATATCCAGAACGTGGCGCTGTGCACATTGAAAGGAAGTTGGAGGAACTGCACAAGTCTTGGGGTAATCTGCAGGCCTTGTCCGTCAAGCGGCAGAGCATCCTGAACGAGGCCTACTTGGCCCACAAGTTCGTGTCGGACGTAAAGGAGCTGGAGCTCTGGGTGAACGACATGGTCAAGAAGATGAACAATGCCCAGGCTCCGTCCACGATCAATGATTGCGAGACGCAGCTGGAGCTGCACCAGGAGCGCAAGGTGGAGATCGAGGGCAGGGAGGAGGCCTTTGCTGGACTCAAGAAGCAAGGTGACCTGCTATCCACGCGACCACAGCAACAGCAGCCGGAGAATGTGCGCAGGTACCTCCTGGTTCTAGAGGAGCTGCATCAGACCCTGAACGAGGCTTGGACCGAGAGGGCTAGGGATCTCACCGAAGCCCATCAGCTGCAGCTGTTCAAGGCTCAAGTAGAGCAAGTGGAACTGTGGCTGGCCAACAAGGAGGCCTTCCTCAACAACGACGATCTGGGTGATTCCTACACAGCGGTGGAGCGTCTCCTCAAGAAGCATGATGCCTTCGAGAAGCTGCTGCATGCCGATCATGTGGATACACTGCAAAAGTTCGCCAATAGCATACTGGAGGGTGAGCCCAAGGATGCGGATTTGATCCGCGAGAAGCTGGCCTACATCCTAAGGAGGAAGCAGAAGCTGCTGGAACTTTCAGAGGAGCGCAAGCAGCGCCTATTGCAGTCCCTTCAGCTACAGGAGTTCCTGCGCAGTCTCTACGAGATCGATCGCTGGCTGGTGCAGAAGCTCCAGGTGGCTCTGGACGAGAACTACCGGGAGCCAAGCAATCTCCAAAGCAAAATCCAGAAGCATGCCGCCTTTGATGCAGAGCTGCTGAGCAACTCCCCGCGTGTCCAGTCGGTTATCCATGAGGGCGAACGCCTCATCCGCGGCGAGCACTTTGCCCGCGACGAGATCGCCCAGCAGGTGCAGCTCCTCGAGGGGGATTGGCACAAGCTGAAGGCTGCCTCCCAGACCAAGAAGGACAAGCTGCAGCAGGCCTACGAGGCCCTGGCCTTTAGCCGCAGTCTGGACGAGTTCAACAACTGGATGGACGAGGTGGAGCTGCAGCTGAGCAGCGAGGATTATGGCAAGGATTTGGCAGCGGTCAGCAATCTGCTGAAGAAGCATGAGCGCCTGGAGGCCGATGTGGCCCATCATGGTGAGCTGGCCGATCAGCTGAAACAGAAGGATGAGCTGTTCTTCCAAGCGGATCACTTCCTGCGCCATGAAATCCATGAACGCGCCACAGCCAGCATACGTAGGTACAACACCCTGCACGAGCCTCTGGGCATACGCAGGGAGAACCTCGAGGACTCCCTGAGTCTGCAGCAGTTCCTCCGCGATGCCGAGGACGAGCTGCAGTGGCTGGCGGAGAAACAGCTGGTGGCGGGATCGCAAGACCTTGGCACTAGTCTCCTGTCCGTGCAAGGCCTCCAAAAGAAGCACAACTCTCTGGAGGCGGAGCTCACCTCCCAGGAGCCCTTGATTCAGGCGCTTCTCCAGCGAGGTCAGCAGATGATCCGCGACAATCATTTTGCCAGCGAGCAGATCCAGTACAAGTCGGAGCTGCTCCAAAAGCAACTTGTCCAGCTGAGGGACTTGGCCGCCATTCGACGACTGCGTCTCCTGGACGCCGTGGAGAGTCAACTGTTTTACGTGGAGGCCAACGAGGCGGATGCCTGGATGCGAGAGAAGCGTCCAGTGCTGGCCAGCAGCGACTATGGCCGGGATGAGGTCTCCGTGCAGGGTCACCAGAAGAAGCTGGAAGTCCTGCAGCGTGAACTCACTGCCTTCAAGCCCTCCATCGAAAAGGTGGCTAAGTTGGCCACTGGGCTGATCGAGAGGAATCACTTTGACAGCGCCAACATTGCGGAAAAGAACGGTCAGGTGGGTCAGCAGTACGAGGACCTGCTCCGCCTGGCCAAGGAGCGCGAGCTGCGCCTTGGCGAGTGCAAGAAGCTGTTTGAGTATCTGCGGGAAACGGAGGAGCTGCACGAGTGGGTGGGCGATCAGATGACCGTGACAGCCAGCGAGGATTACGGCGAGGATGTGGAGCATGTAGAGCAGCTCATCCTGGCCTTTGAGTCCTTTGTTTCCAACCTGAATGCCAATGAGGCACGCGTGGAGGCCTGCCTGGAGCGTGGCGACCGCCTCATTCAAGAGAACAATCCCTACAGGAGCTCTATCAAGTCCAAGCGGGATGAAACCAAGCAGCTGTGGGAGGAGCTCAAGGATCTGGTGCACGCTCGCCAGGATGCCCTGGCGGGGGCCAAGCAGGTCCATGTCTACGACCGTGTGGCCGATGAAACCATCCAGCTGATCAACGAAAAGGATGCCTCACTCATCTCCGAGGACTATGGCCAGGATCTGGAGAGCATTCAGGCTCTGGGCAGGAAGCACCAGGTGTTTGAGTCCGAACTGGTGGCCATCCAGGGCCAGGTGGACTCTGTCTTGGCCGAGGCGGTCAAGCTGGGCGAGATCTACCCAGATGCCAAGGAGCACATCGAGGTGAAGCGGGATGAGACTGTGGAGGCATGGACGGATCTGAGGGAGAAGACGGGAGCCAGGAAGAGCAAGCTCAGCCAAGCGGAGCAGTTGCAATCCTACTTCGACGAATATCGCGACTTGATAGCCTGGATCAATGAAATGCTGGCCAAGATCACGGCCCCCGAACTGGCCACCAGCGTGGCAGGAGCCGAGCTCCTCTTAGCCAGTACCAAGGACCACGACACGGAGATCCGTGCCAGGGATGAAACCTTCGCCAAGTTTGCAGCCAATGGCCAGCAGTTGATTCAGGAGAAGCACTTCCTCGCCCACGAGGTGGAGGACAAGATCAAGGTCCTGCAGGCGCGTCACGAACTGCTGAAGCACACGCTCAACAAGCGCCGCGAGATCTACGAACTCAACTTGGACACGCAGCTCTTCCTTAAGGATGCCGAGATCCTGGAGCAATGGATTAGCAGCCGCGAGCCTCAGCTCAAGGATGCCAAGCTGGGCGACTCGATACCACAGGTAGAGGATCTATTGCGCCGGCACGAGGACTTTGAGAAGACGGTGGCCGCCCAGGAGGAGAAGTTCCAGGCCATCAAGCGGATCACGCTGCTGGAGCAGCTCTTCCGTCAGCAGCTGGAGCAGGAGAAGATCAGCAAGCGGCAGGAGAAGGAGCGCTTGGAGAAGGAGCGCCTGGAGCAGATCAAGCAGCGGGAACTGCAGCGCCTGGCGGATGAGCGGCGGCGAGCGGAAAAACAGCAGGAACATCGCCAGAATGCTGCATCGCAGGAGAAGACCCCCATCTTCTCCTCGCCCATGGTAACCCCAGCCCAGACCGCTGGCCCCGGAACCCAATCGCCCTCGGTGGGTCAGGCCCAGTTGAGGCCACAATTCAGCGATGAGAACGAGCACTTGGCCCTGCAGAAGAGCAGCTCCAGCGGCATGTTTGGTGATCGCCTGCGTCGCGGCTCCGCGGATGCAAATGTAAAACGAGCGGAGAGCATGAAGGTGCAGCCAAAGCAGGCCAAGAGGACACCCTCGTTTACCACCAGGCGGCGGGCTCAGTCCTTCAGGAAGAACCAAAAGGGCGAAGGATTCGATCTACCGCCCGTAGAGATCCAGGGAAGTCTGGAGCGCAAGCATGGACTGCAGTCGGGAGGCAAGAAGGCGCCTGTGCGGTCATGGAAGCAGTTCCACACCGTGCTCTGTGGCCAGTTGGTGTGCTTCTTCAAGGACGAGAACGATTTCCTGCAGCAGAAAACAGCCACGGCGCCGGTCAACATCCTGGGAGCCAAGTGCGAGCGGGCGGAGGATTACACCAAGAAGAAGTACGTCTTCCGGCTGAAGCTGCCCGATGGCTCCGAGTTCCTGTTTGAGGCTCCATCTTTGGACATTCTCAACGACTGGGTGCGCAAGATATCCTTCCATGCCAGTCTGCCGCCGAACCTACAGCTGCTCAGCTACGACGAGTCCATGAAGGTGGGTGTTTCTCTGAAGCAAGTGAAGTTTTTTAACTTATATTTCGTCTTTTTTCTTGCCTTTCTGTAGCAACAGTCGAGCAGCTCGCCTGACATTAAGGTTACCAGCAGCGTGGAGTCGCCAGTCAGCTCCCGCAACTCCTCGCCCGATTCCCAGCGTCGCACGAGTGGTGGACAGGTACTGGATGGCACAGCTACTCCCCAAATGGCCTTCCTGCAAAGACAGATGCAGCAGCAGCAGCAGCAACAACAGCAGCAGCAGCAATCCCAGCCCAGTTCCCCCAGCTCTGGATTCGACCAGAAGCCACCCATTCCGCCCAGAGGAGCGCCACCGGTGGCCAGCAGTCGCCAGAGCCAGGAGAATCTAGTTGTGCTACGCAATCGCCAGAGTTCCAGCAATGGTAAGGAGGATATGTCCTTTAAAATGATATTATTTAAAGGGAAAATATTTCCTAGATCTGACGGACGGACGCTCTGCCACCTTGCCCGCCGGCGGTGCCAGCGGTGTGCAGCAGAACGGGAACAGCTTTAAGGATGACAGTGCGGTGCTGACACGCAACAGCGAGGCCAGACAATCGGGTGAGTTTTCCCAAGGGAGTAGTAAGTAAGGCAGCCATTTGTGTCTCTCTGTCCCATACACCACCACCGCCACCTGCTCCTCCTCCACATTACTCCTCCTCACTCACATTGTACAAAATTGTCCTCTTACAACGATGCCGCTGGGCTATTAGATAATCCGCCGCCTTTACCCACGACAATGCCACCAGTGGGTGGCCACCAGAGGCAGCAGCCCCAGCAGTCCCATTCCCATCAGCAGCAGGCGCAGGTTCAGCAGCGTATCAATGCCTTCAATGCGGCGGCCAGTCAGCCGGATTACTACAACAACAACCTGACGAGACAGCAGCAACAGCAGAGGGTACCCTCCGGCAGGATCGATTCCACGCGCAAGTTCATCGAAATGGAGGCGCACAACAACAACGGCAGCAGCGGGAGGACCAGCGTAACTTACTCCAGCAGCGGGGCCAGCAGCAATGGCAATGGTAATGTGAAGCAAGGCTCCATCATCACCACCACCACCACCACAACCACCTCAAGTACCACCCACCAAGTGACCTCGAGCAGTCGCACGGTGTGGCATTTAACCAGCTCGCCCACCTCATCGACCAAATCATCATCCGGTGGCTCCGCGGAGCCTAACAATGCCATCAGTAATCCAAGCTATATGGGTCTGCATCTGAATAACAATAACGAATCAAATGAAATTGGAAACGGAATCGGTGGTTAGACGAAACTCATCCTTAATCCTAACACAAACTGTATATTATGATTTGGCCTTGATCCTGGATTCTTAGACTTAAGTGCATGGTTAAAGTTATGGCTGATCAGATTTCTGTGTATATATTTTATTATCTATTTATCTTGGCTCCTTCTGTATATATTCTTCTCTGTTTATGGCTGATATTGTCTCCTTGTATATATGTATATATTCTTCTCTGTTTATTTCTGTTTTTACTGCATGCCTGCCTTTAAAAGGTTGCTCTACCTTCAAACCGGCCAAGCTAACCCGGCGTTCCTATCTGCGCACGAGTTTGCAAAGTATTTTCTATTGATTTTTCTTTAAATATTTCAGGATAACTCTATACTTGATCGAATTATCTGCAGCTCGAACCAAAACGACTAAAGAAAGAATCTTGAGAAAGTGAAAGAGGCAGCTGAAAAGAAACGTTTGGTTCGAGTTGCAGAATTTCAAAGAAACCTGTACCTTTTTCCCCCTTTCCTTTAAGTTAAGAATAATATCTCTTAATGCTAGTTCACCTCCTGAAACTCCACTATATGTTATCCACATACTACTCCTTGCATGATGATTCTATATACACATTTAAAGACTCCTTTCACTCACACTTTTCTTATTTATACCGTCAGGTTGGGGCACCACCCGCTTTGAGAGCAACCGACCCGTCTCCCTGCAGCCCGACTCAATCAGCTTCTCGCGCGTCTCCGCAGAGAGTTCCAGCGAGAGCGAGGCCCAGTCCATATCCTCCGTTTCGGGTGTGAAGGGAAGCAGCAGCAAGGGCACCAAGGAGGAGCGGCGCAGCGGTATGTTCCGCATCTTTGGACGCAAGGGAGACAAGGAGAAGGAGAAGGACAAGGATAAGCGGCGGTCGAGTCAAGTTCCGCCGCAGTGAGAACAGATGCAATTTTCGGACAATTGATAGAAGACAGACACGATCAACCATCCAGGCCGAATTGTTTTTGTATTTTTTATATACATATATACATTATAATTATTTAATTGTATGCCACACACACAGACACAACCTTAATGCGCCAAGGGCCAACAAATTAAAAAAGAAAACAGAATCAGAACCGAAAAAGTTGAAAAATTACCGTGTGTCTACTTAAAAGCTAAAGCGATAAATGAAAGTATAAAAGAAATATATATATATATAAAGTCAATGTTTTAATTGCATTATAAAATGTATGTGTAAGTTTGTTCGTTGTATGATTATATTTAATTTTCGTAAAACAAAAAGAACCATAAACAATAAATAATAAATATTATACATATTGTGAGTGATTATAATTTGGATTTTTAAAATTAAGGAACTGAAGGGAATATATTTTAAGGGGTGTGTTATGAGGAAGTAAATTTTAAACTCAACTCAAAACTGAAGTAAAAAACTTGATAAGTGTAAAGATTGAAGTGCGTTGTGAGGCATACTTTTGGGCTGAGACTGTCCTCTAAAGATTTATGATACCTATACTGACCTATTTTAATGATAATAATGTAGGCGAGGTAAGTTTAGTTAGAAGCATAAGCATAAGTATTTATATTTTTAGTCTTGTCCTAATTTCTTTATGAAAGCAGCGTTTTCAACTTTGCAATCCTTATCTTATTCTTTCTTCTTTACCTTCTTTTATTACTTGGGATTTTCACAATCAATATTAGCCTGGGGTTTTTACAATTTTATAAAGATGAGCTTGCGACCTATTATATTCTTGTCGTGAGGTTTTATTGTAAGGTCAAGCCTAGTGTATGCGAGCAATGGTGATAGAAAAATGAGTCAACATTTAAGATTTTGTATCATAAATTCAAGACTCAAATAAAAACTAACATAGAAAATTTATTAAATTATTGTCTAAAAGGCCAGAGATTACCGAAAGTCATCTATAACCTGATTAGAATTTAAAATGTTAAATAATAATAAAATATATGCACATATGCAACCAATCGACCCTTTGTGAAATCCTTATCTAAATCAGCGTTATTTGTATTAATTTATTACCTGGGAATTTACAATTAATCCTAAATAAATCTGGGTTTTCCACAGTCTAACAAAGATGCCGTAGCCACCTTTTATATTCTTATCAAGTGGTCTTGTTATATTTGCCTCTCTCCGACATCGAGGGATCGGACACCCCTATAAAAGCTTATACGTGGCTTGGGGAATTCATTCGTTGCTCAGAATTCTTTGAGTAATCATAAAACGCTATATTAAGATGGTGCAGATCAAGTTTCTATACTTTCTCTTCGCTCTGATGGCCCTCGTTGTCCTGGGATCCCAAGTGGCAGAAGCCGACTGCCTGTCTGGAAAATATAGAGGACCTTGTGCTGTTTGGGACAATGAGCTCTGCAGACGTATCTGCCGGGAGGAAAACCGTCAAACTGGACACTGCAGCCCCAGTCTAAAGTGTTGGTGCGAAGGATGTTAAGCCATCTCTGCCTCCTGACTTTATTTTCAATGTATAAATTCAGAAAAATAATAAAGTTGAGCGTGCACATTTGTAAATGTATTCTATTATCTATAAAGGGAAATACTCTAAAAATTTAGAATTTCAGAAATAACGGGACAAAAAATAAAGTTGTTTACTCACAACTAAAATATTATCTAGTTGCAACTTATCGCTAGGCTGTCCAGCTTAGCATAAAGCTTGAAGCGTTAAGTTAACCAAATACACAAATCGTGAAAATAATGAGATAAACAAATTGCAAAGCAAATTAAAAATATTTATTTAATGGTTTCCCCCCACTCATTTGCACAGTTGCTTGATAGTGGGTTCGTCCGGCGACTATATAAGCTGCTAATGGAGTGGTGGAGTTCAAACGCTTCCAGTAACTTCGCAATTACATATTTGCTCCCTCAAAAGTCAAAAGTTAAAATGGTTCAAATCAAACTTACTTACCTTTTCTTTGCTTTCTTGGCCATTGTGGCTCTGTGCTGCAACACGGCCCAAGCTGACTGCCTCTCTGGCAGATATAAGGGTCCTTGCGCAGTCTGGGACAATGAGACCTGCCGACGGGTTTGCAAGGAGGAAGGACGAAGCAGTGGACACTGCAGCCCCAGTCTCAAGTGCTGGTGCGAGGGATGTTAAGCCAACAACAACCCAATCTATACTTTTTTGTATCATTGAAATGTGTAAATAAATCATAGGCTGTAAAAAGCCTATTTGATTCTTAAAGATTTGGTTTATATTTATACCCTGCAAGAGTATTATAATTTCAGTCAGAAGTTTGCAACGCAGTGAAGGAGACGTTTCCGACCCTATAAACCATATATATTCTTGATCAGCATCAACAGGGGAATCTTTCTAGATATGTCAGGAAGAAATCGATTTTTTGGCCATTTTTGCAAAATTTTATAAGGGGTTACATCATTAAAATTAGCAAAAATGCCCAAAAATTTTGATTTCTTAAAATTTTAAATTTGGTATGCAGTTTTTTTAAATTAATAAAAACTAACACAAAACTGCTTTCCGAATCGAAATTAATGCATTTTTGGCTTAGTTATGATATATTTTAATTGTTACCTGCAAGGGTATACAAACTTTGGCTGGCCAAAGTTAGCTTTCTCTCTTGTTTTCCTTTAATAGGAGTTAGGTCCTGAGGAGCTTGAACATCCTAAAGATAATCATTTAGTTGAGAAATTGTAATTACATTTTCCTGAAATGCTGGATTTACTGAAGTCTTTAGAAAGTAACGTCAACAAGTTTTGATGTAGGTTTTTACTCATGGAGTAATATAAAACCAGAAACTAACCTAGGCCACTTTGGAAACAAGCAGAACAAAGCCTTTTATTTTTGTTTCTTTATCAGAAACCTAGAGTACATACATTTGTATGCTCTAGATAAGTAAGAGTTTATGGAAAAAAGAACAGGAAATCAGATAAGAAGGCGTCTTCATGGTGCATATATGCCAATAAGACAAGAAATCATATATAGCTTTTATAATGACTCGTTTTTACTAAGCTTTATGGCCAAGAAATCTTAACAAAAGGTAAAGGCAAGTAAACATTATATTTTGTTGAAGAAAGACTCATTTAAAATGAGATTTTTAGCTTTGAATACTTTCCCAATAGCTCCATACCAGCTAAGGGCCTTGAATTGCAACCCAAATATATAATTTAAACCCCCAAAAAAGAACCAAAATTTTGTAATATTTTTTATCAGCCTCAGTCTTTATTTATCATCAGTCTTCATCGGTGCTTTTCCATTATTCCCTTCAAGTTTATCTTCCAGCAACCGACGCCAAGTAAGAGGAATCCTGCAAAGAAACAAACATCCCTAGGTCTGTCCGGGCATGTGTTTGTCAGCGGTCAACGCTTGTCAAGAGCGAGAAAATGTGGCAGTCTTATTAAGTGAAATCGATTGGGGAGGCGTTATCGCCCGAGTCAGTCAAACAGTTCGAATGGCTAGAGGTTCGGATTTTTTAACGGAAGGGCCAAGGACCAAGGTGGGCCCGAGGCGACGGAGGATCTCCGGGCCCGAGGTGGAGGCGGATGTGTGTCTGTTTCTGGGACGGTCTTCTGTCGGCGAGACATGTAAAATGGTTAAAAATGGTTTGCATTAGTTTTATACTACGTATAAGGAAGCTCAGATCGGATCGAAAACGACAGACGACGAGGGGACTGGGTCCTCTCGTTGTGAAAGTCTTTTGCTCTTGCTTGGGGAGTTAATCTCCCTTTTAGTTTTCGGGCTTTTTGACGTATTCCCTCTGTTGTGTCCAACTCTCTGGGTTTTTGTGGGACTTTTGCGGTTTAAGGGTTAGGGGGACTCTGGTGGGGTTTGACACACACGTTACACACATCACTGTTTGCACTGTTTGCTCTCTCTCTTTCTCTTATAACTTAAGTTCGTTCATGGTATTTGTTGTTGGTTGTTGTAGTTGTTGGGCGTCTCTTAAAGTCTCTCTTTGATTTTCATATATATATATTTTTTTTTGAGATTTTGTTTTGGGTAAATAAAGTTCACAATTTCTCTCTTTCATTTTGTATTTTTTTTTTTTTTTTGTTGTTTAAAATATTTAATTTAGCATTTAATTTGCTGTTTTGAAATTTGCTTAGGTCGTAAGTCTATGTTTAAATCATAAAGTGGAGTTTGGTGGTGGTTGGGGGAAGGGTGTAGCTTGGAGAGAAATTGGGGGAAAGAGAGTTGTTGTTGTTGTTGTTGACGTTGTATCGATTCGCAGACGATAGCCGTATTCAGGGGTTAGGGTTCCATGGGTTTCCGATCTACTAATTAGTATTAACTTTTTACTTTTACTTTTTGCTTATACCGATGCGCATTTTCAGCATTTTCACTCGCGCGAGAGGATTAGGATTACACTTTCCGAAACTAGCGATTTTAGCGCTGCCGATCCCGCCTAGCGCCTGTTGTCCCGATAGTTTCGCTGGCCGCCGCCGCCGCCACGCTCACCACGAAAGGGTCGCGAATCCCGCGATGATCCGCCGCTGCGATTTCCGTACTCCCGCCGACGAGTGCCCGCGGAGCCGCCGTTGTTGCCATCCCGACTGCGATAGCCACCGGGTCCGCCCAGACCGGAAGCACCGCCTCCGCCGCCGCCGCCAACGCCTGGCCCCATGCCTCCGCTGGCGCCTGCCACCTGGCCAACGCCCACTGCTGCACCATTGCTGCCGCCATTAGGAGCTCCCCCGTAAACGGGAAAGCCTGGCGGCGGCACGGTGGGCAGGCCAGCGTTCTTCCAGGCGGCAAACTCCTCATAGCTGGGCGCCTTATCAAAGCCGGGCGGTGGTGGCCGCTGGGGTGGCGGATAGTCCGGCAGAGGCGGTGCTCCCGGTCCGTCATAGTATCGCACCGGTGGGGGCAATTGTTCGTACATGGCCGCCGCAGCGCCCGGTGGCATGGCACCCGCTGCTCCGGCTCCAGCTCCAGGCATTGGAAGCTGGGCAAACGGCGGAACGAACGGCAGGGGCGGAAGCTGGCCGTGCATATTTCGCATGTAGTCTGCCACATATGCCTCCGCGGCTGCTGCTGATGACATATAGCGTTCCCACGAGGGCATGGTCATCTCGTTGGGACCGCCGGGCGCACCGCCAACGCCACTGCCCATTTGGCGGTAGGGAGAACCGCTGCGCTTGAAGCCACCGCCATGAGACGGCGGCATGCCCATGCCATGATGGTGACGATATGGACGGTGGTGCGGTGGTCCGTGGTAGCTTCTCTTGTGACGCATCGGACCCAGCTGGTCATGGCCAGCTCCACGGCCTCCACGGCCGCCGCCGCCACCACTTCCGCCGCCGCCGTGGCCACGCGAGGATAAACTCCGAGGCGGCTTGTAAATCACGTGTATCCCCTTCTCCCGCATCACTCGGGCCGTCTCCTTGGATTTCTTGAGTATGGGTGTGAGCTCGATCTGCTCGTCCTCGGGAAAGAGGCGGCACAGTTCGCCTCCGATCTTGGGCTCAATCTCCTGGCCGTCGCGACCGATCTTCACCGGCTTGCCCTCGTTCCAGGTGTTGTGCAAGTGTAGGGTGGCATTAAAGGACAGCTCCTTGCGGCAAATCCAGTCCAGCTCGATGACGCCGCCCAGTGCCTTGGGCGAAATGCTCGGCGGCAGCACCCAGGCCACCTGGGGTATGTCCCGCCGCGATGGGGCCGCCATACGCGCGAATCCTGCAAATTTACCTGTAAGCAGAGGGGGATTAAGGCAAAGCAAGATTTATTAGTTGTAGTAAATTAATTTTAAAATTTTAAAAATTTATAAAAAGCTAGCCGGAAAGATTGAAACCCTTTTCCCTCAATGAATCATTGAGGTTCTTCCCTGTTCGAGTTTCAGTAAACACAAAATTAGCAAACAATTAGGCTGAGCTAAGGTTGAGTTATGGAAAGTTACGCAAATAAGTAAGCAGCTGAGATAATAACTAACCTAGTAAAAAGTAACCAACAAAATAGAGCTACGACTTTGCCATAATATCAGTCAAAACAACAACACGATAGCGGAAAACCCCAGCTAGCAGGCAAACAGTGTCTGAATCAAAACAAATATTGCCAATAAAGCTGTATTAAATAATAATTATTCTAATCCCTGAATTAACAAATAAAAAAAATGAAATTTAGGGTTTGTTTAGGCCATCTTTATACTAAATATTATAAAGCAGCAGAGTAAATAAAAGGAAATATATGTATATATATATTCGTTCTCATACCCAACACCAATTACTGGAAAATATTAACATTAATGAAACAACCTACCGCTCTCGTTCACCGAGAAGATGAGCAACACATTCCTGGCCTCCTTAAAGGCCTGATTAAGATTGGCATCGTTCTGCGGCAGTGTGGCCCACACGCTCTTGCTCTTGGACAGCTGGACGTTGTCACTATTGTTGGACTTGATGAGGAAGAAGCGCGTATCCCGGAAAAGATAGTTCAGTTTGGTCATGTAGTCGTAGCCCTTCTGTGAGTGCGTTGGCGGTCCGGCATCCTTCTCGGGCGTGGAGCTCTTGGAACTGGTTTTGCCGCGACCGTTGCCCACGTTTCGCTTGTGCTGGGTGCCCGAATCCGAGTCGGAAGACTCGCTATCGGACTCGAGGGCTGGAAGCGCTGGTGTTTCATCCTCGGCCTCGCTGCCATCGCTCTTGTGGCCGCCTGATTCGTTAGCTGCATTGGAGGCTGTCTTCTTGCCTCTCGCCTTCTTGGTGGGCGGCTGCTCTCGATCCTCACTGGACGGGGACTTGACCTTGGGCTTCTCGGGCGTATCCGATGAGGATTTTTTGGCTGACTCGCTGCCCGTGCGCTTCTTCTGTTCTCTCTTCTGGTTCTTGCCGCTGCCATTCACCTCCTCCGGCGTGGGTTCCCGCTTGCTCTTCGTCTTGGAGCCCTTTGCAGGCTTTGTCTCTGGTGCCGGGGAATCCTTGGCCAGCTTCTTGGTCTTTCGCTTGCCCGTGCCCACCAGCGAGGAGGTGGCGGTGCTCACCGAACTTATACTTGGTTCCGAGTCCGTGGAATCGCCGCCATTCGACTCCGAGGCCTCGCTGCGTGTGTTGAACTCAAAGTCCTGCAGCTCCTCGGCGATGTCCGCCTCGTTCTCGTCCAGCCCCAGGTGCACTGCGTCCAGATCCGCCATTTCGCGCATCAGCGGCGTTTGTTTACCTACACAACAAAAAATCAACCACAAGTCCCGCGGAGCACCCACGCACACACACACAGACGCAGCAGACAGAGACCAAGAAAAATATAGAGAAAAAACGCCGATCGATCGGCCAGGTGAGAGTCCGGCGTCGAATTGCAGCTAATCCAACACTCACTGGCTGCTCTTGGCATTAACTGCGTGGACACCGGTCTAGTGCCACTTTTGCTTCACTTTTTAATTGCAATACAGCCTCCAAAACGCGAAATTAGCCAAACTTTAAAAGATTTTTTAACAAAATTATGCGATGATGGCGGCGATTAGAGATGGACAAACATTGGTTGCTCACGCATTGACGATCTGGCAATGTTGGTCGCATTATCGATCTGGCAATATTGGTCGCTCATAAACGAAAGATCTGGCAGCGCATCAGTGCTGATTACCAGACTACCCCTAGGGCGCCAATATTTAAAATCAATTCGCACCTTTTGCTTATTCGTTTAAAGATTGTCACATATTATATATTTTTAAACCATTCGTAAAATATTTTAAATATCCAGCTTTTTTATTACTCTTTTTTATTTATATGTATGTACCAATACATATTTATGTGTAATGTAAAATTAGTTACAAATTAAATTAAAAAAAAATTTAATTAAAATATCGATTCCTATTCTTTCTAAACATATAGATTAGTAATAAATAAACAATTTATCAGTTTTTTGTAATTCCCCTGAAGAATCACTCAAATTCTTAAGTACAGCCATAAGTTACCTAAATTAGATAATGGCGGTAAACGTTGTGCAATACCCACTTCTTCTGACTTTAGCAGAATGACGTAAATAAATCCTTGAATAGCGTCACCATAGTTACGATTGTGGCATTCAAAATGGATCACTTGCCACTTTAAAATGTCAATTACTTTCTATAATCTTTTTGTTTATAAACCAGATAGCACGGGTTTGACGTCAACAATCAATTACTTATCTGAGAAGAGAAACATGTGATGATTTCAACCGAAATCTATATTAAGGATCTTTATACTCCCTATAGATGTTGCTGTTATCAGGCAAATGTGATTAGCGCAGCGCCTTCAGGGTAGTAAACTTGAACGTCTGTCCCAGTAGAGTTGGACTTTGATGACCATCTATTGTTTGTCTTATCGGAAGAAGTGACAGTAGAGCTAGGAAAACAACTTCAAGTGCTTTTAAATTTTATAGAGAAATAATTAAGAGGTAAATAAATAATATTACTTGTATTTTAATAGACAAAAATGATGTTCTGTTTGGGGAATTTCTCCACTCAACAAAAATTGCGTTTTATTTTTATATTTTTAAACCATTCGTAAAATATTTTAAATATCCAGCTTTCTTATTACTCTTTTTTATTTCTATGTATGTACTAGTACATATCTAGTACCATCTATTGTTTGTCTTATCGGAAGAAGTGACAGTAGAGCTAGGAAAACAACTTCAAGTGCTTTTAAATTTTATAGAGAAATAATTAAGAGGTAAATAAATAATATTACTTGTATTTTAATAGACAAAAATGATGTTCTGTTTGGGGAATTTCTCCACTCAACAAAAATTGCGTTTTATTTATATATTTTTAAACCATTCGTAAAATATTTTAAATATCCAGCTTTCTTATAACTCTTTTTTATTTCTATGTATGTACTAGTACATATTTATGTTTAATGTAAAATTAGTTACAAATTTAATAAAAACTGAATATACTTTTTGCGGGGAAAATATTGATTCTAATTCTTTCTAAACATATAGATTAGTAATAAATAAACAATTAATCAGTTTCTTGTAATTCCCCTGGAGAATCTCTCAAATTCTTAAGTACAGCCATAACTTTCCTAAACTAGATAATGTCGGTAAACGATGCGTAATACCCACTTCTTCTGACTTTAGCAGAATGACGTAAATAAATCCTTGTCTAGCGTCACCATTGTTACGATTGTGACATTGAAAATGGATCACTTGCCACTTTAAAATGTCAATTACTTTCTATAATCTTTTTGTTTATAAACCAGATAGCACGGGTTTGACGTCAACAATCAATTACTTATCTGAGAAGAGAAACATGTGATGATTTCAACCGAAATCTATATTAAGGATCTTTATACTCCCTATAGATGTTGCTGTTATCAGGCAAATGTGATTAGCGCAGCGCCTTCAGGGTAGTAAACTTGAACGTCTGTCCCAGTAGAGTTGGACTTTGATGACCATCTATTGTTTGTCTTATCGGAAGAAGTGACAGTAGAGCTAGGAAAACAACTTCAAGTGCTTTTAAATTTTATAGAGAAATAATTAAGAGGTAAATAAATAATATTACTTATATTTTAATAGACAAAAATGATGTTCTGTTTGCGGAATTTCTCCACTCAACAAAAATTGCGTTTTATTCAAAATTATGACTTATGCGAGTTTCGTGTTTCATGTGAGATAAAACTACCGAGAGATAGCATAATAAACAAATTGTTGTGACAAAACGCTAATGTAATGTAATTACAGAAAATCCCACTTAGGAAAATCAGATTTAGATAAGCAGAAAAAAGGAGCACTGCATTTTTAGAAGAGAAACACACACGAGAAAACTCAGCAGTAAGGCAATAAAAATAATTATATTAAAACTATATAAGGCTCTTCAGTCAAGACAAATGTAAATAATTACATTATTAATTTTTTTAACAAGCCTTAAAAACACAGAAAAATGCATATAATTAATCCTCAGTTGACAATGTGTCTCACCTGCCCTTACCTCTACGATCGCTTATCACTTTCATCTATCAGGGTGCGAAATTTGAGGGCGGCAGAGGGCACAGTGGGTAAGGTTTGATTATAAAGCTGATATAAATTATAACAATAATAACAATAACTTGCACATGTTTGTTTTTAATCGATATTTGCTTTAATATTAATTTTAAATTTAAGAATTAAGTTAGCAAGTGCTGTTATATTGCTTTTATTTTATTTAAATATAGTAAGTTATGGCTAATAAAAACTATTCAATCAACTAAGAAGATTTTCCACTGTAAACTTTCATTTAAATGCCTATTTGGCCCACTGTGCAGCGACAGAAAGAGAGATAGAGAGAGAGAGTGAGGCTACTTGGCTAGGCGATTCCGAGGCGGTTTTTAGTTCCGTTTCGAACGTTCAGCGGTCGCGTCGTGCGGTTAAAATCGCTCGAGTTAAAAAACAGCCCCAAACTTGAATTTGTTTAGGCAAAGCATTTAAGCCACAAAATATAGGTGTGTGTGTTCGTGTGTGTCTCAAGAAATGTTGTTAAATTAATAAAATTACCATAATTCATCGGCATAATTTATGTAGCGCTAAATATGTCGCTAATAAATTTCCCATAAATTGCGCCAAGGAATGCTCGCGATCATCTCGTATATAATTGAACAATTAAAATGCTCTCTAAATGCCTCATTCCCACTTAGATTTCCCTGCTGCACCTGCAGCTTGCATTTAATTTGCGTTTATTTTTGTCAGAAAATTCAGAGAGATATGTCAAGAGATGGCAGGGACTTGGGAAACCTGTTCGCTCGACGTCTATATAATTTGAGTATAATTGTTATATAACAAACACACGGCATCATCCCGCAACACAAATAACGTATTTTTGTATTTGCCTTTAGTTTGTTTTGTTTTTCGATTTCGTGATGAGCTCAGCGAAATAATCTTAACTTGTTACCATTCGACATTTTGCATATGAATGAAAAACGCTGAAAAACTTGAGGTGGCTACATTAATCAGTTTTTATTTTTTGCTTTGGTGTCCATTTCCACGCAGCGTGGGACTTTATTTTGTTCGTTTTTTGCCCTGGAGAAAAAATACACCAGAGAAAAAGAGCAGAGGAATATTTATTTAGCTGACTTTATACAAACTCGAAATTCATTCAGAAACTTACTATTAATTTTAATAATTTTTTCTTGTATTCTTTATATATCAAAATCTTTTATTTATTTTCCTACAATTTGCCAGATACCTAAACTTGTTTGATATATTTGAAAATATACATTTTTCAAGTGTTTCAACTTATAGACATGAAAAATGAATTTAAAGGCTGTTGACAAATTTTAATTTCCCTTTTCAAAAATACTATAAATATGTAAACATTTTCTTTGGTTGTCTATAAATTTTATAATATTTGTTTCCCGTTTAAATTTAAGATAAACTTGTAGATATTTTTCCCAAGTGCCAAACTCCAGCTAGAAGTTCAACGTTCTAGGCAAAAACTAAATCTTTTTGTGTTAGAATTTGTTGCTGAATCGCGTTTCGTTGGTCAAGCAATCAAATTAGCCCGTTGGCAGCTGCTTGAATCACCTGGCTGGGCTTACGTAGCTTTGGCCCACCTGAAGGCTTTGGTTCAGCTTGAGTGCGTTTCGCACGCGTTTAAAAACGCGCTTAAAATAATTAGGTCTCCAAGCGCGTGCAATTAAAATGGATGGCCGCACAAAGATAAGCAAATTACGCAAACAAATAGTTGACACAAGTGTCTCGTACTGCCAATTCCCCCACGTCCTGTGCTGGATTACCAGATTTATGACCAGCCCCCTGGGGGCACGCGACTCCCACTTGGACACGCCATGTTCCTCCACTTTGCCTCCTTTTCTGTAAGAGAATACCTTTTTCCCTTGGTGGCACATTAAATATTTAATTTATTTTCGGGGCCCCCCTGCCCTTTCACATACTCCGTACATAAATTCGGGTTGAGCCTCTGAAAATATTTGAAATTCTCGCGCGTTTTTTGCAGCCCAAAATTTGTTGACGGCTTCAAATCTTCAATGTCTTGACACTTGGCTATTTGCCACAGTGGAACTTCTGGGAAAAGCACTCTCAAATTTAAAAATACTAAGAATTTTATTTATTTTTTTTAGGATTTTTTCTGGTGTTTAAAGTTTATTATGACTTAATCTGCATAATCTCAAAATGACCCTAAAATAATAAAAAAAATATTTTATTACATAAGCTAGAGTTATTGAAGTTCCACTGTAAACGGTATTTGCTATTTGGTATTTGCCTCAGTGGCTACCTACCTGAGGGGTGTGGGTAAGGGCAGCGATGGAGGGCAGAGCCTGTCTTGGCCCATTATGTGGGCCAAACAGACTCGAAAACAAAACAACAAACAATGTTTTTGGTTGGTATGAGAGACGCTTAGAAAACCGGTTGTCAAAGACCTAAAGACCGTTGACTCTAACTTGTTTTTCCACTGAGTTTTTCTCGCTCTTGCTCTCCCTGTCGCTATTGCGATCAGTTTGCTCTCGGAAAATTCGTTTGCCTGTTTTCCTAAGAAGGCCTTTCCACCTGCCCTTTAAATTTGTTTTATTTGCCTAGCCCATAATATGCAAAATTTATTGGCATTTCATGTACTTCGTTTATAAAGCTAAATTAGAGAGTTTGTTGTTAAATTTCTCAGTTTTGTTTTCCAAAGTCTTACGAGCTGTTACCACATGATTTTTAATTGATATTTATGAATTATAAATTAAATTTAGCCTTTTATGTAGTACTAAAATATTTCTATTGTATTTTCCATAAACCAAACAACTTAGAAAGGCTTTCCAAAATAAACTAAAGAATATTTTAAGCTCATAAGTAAGTAAACACAAAACTTGTAGTTATATGTACAAACTAAACATTTAATTTGAAACGAAGAACTATATTTTAAACAGGTTTATGGGGATTAATAAAGTATTTAAATACCTTTCTTTTTGGCAGGAATTCATTCATTTTCTTGTGTTATTTTTGTGCTTTTTTTTTTTGGCAGCTGCTTTTATTTGCTCTTGAAATGTCGATTAGTGTTTGAATATCACCACCCTCCTCCTTCTTAGTACCTCTTACTAAGTTGCACAATTTTTGTAAATATTTACTTGTGCTTTACTTTATTACATTTTGTGCTGTGTAAATAAGTTTGGAGCATTTCCTCCATTTGTTTATATCAGGTGCTCTTGAAAATGCCACCACACTCGTTTCAAATAAATTACAGAATTTGTCAAAAGCTTTTCAATCTTGATACTTTGCCAAAAATGATTTTGGCATCCGCCTTTTGCTTTTCTTTTGGCTTTTGCTCACTTAACCTTAACCGAAACCACTTTCCCTGCTATTCCTCTATTCCCTCCTTTTCCTTCCTTGTTTGTTTGCCAGCAAAAAAATAGACTCTTTTTCGCTTTCCACATTTTAATGGGCAGTAGTTAATATATCATTAGAAATGAAGCAATTCTATTTTCGGGCGCTGCCGTCTTCGAGATACTTTTGGAAACTCTTACAAAATTCCCAGATACCAGACGCAGCACATCACACTTGCGTCTATGCGAGAGAGATCGCTGAGGTCAGGCAGGCGGCATATTTTAAAAATTTTCCAAACAAACACAGACCAGACCATGGCATCTCCCTTCCTCTTGTCCGACTTGTAATGGTGAGAAGGTCGCCTTGGGTCTGGGTCCATGGTGATAAATTAAATACTTAATGTTCCCAGGCAATTTTCGGGTATATCGTCGTTAATAATTAAAGATTCTCCAGAGGAGCGCCGGTCTAGAATTATCAGGGGTTCCGGGGTTCCTGCGACGTCTGCATATTAACTAGATAGTGGCCTTGTCTTTTACGCCTTGCCTTATCGCTTAATGCTCGGAACATGGATGTTCCGGTCTCCCCAGACCCCAAGACCCTCCATAAATTCGTATAGCCGTGTAATAGTCGGGTGTATATGGCGTGCATGATGAATGTGCCATTATCCGGCGACGTGTTGGGGATTTTAAGTGAATTGCGCTTGAGCATCATTACGATAATTGGTCGGTCGACCTGGCATTCGCTCGCGCTCATATGTTAATTAATATGAACAGTAGCGTAGCTGGCTGGGTAGCTTTGATTTCGCTTTTCATCTCTGGATTCTTTTCCGCGACAATTTTCGCGGGCAGCTGTGAAAAAGGCAGCAGCGAAACGCTTGCAAAACGCTCTTAAAAGCCAGCTGCTTGCGTGTGTAATCAATTAACTTTGGCCGGCAATTGATGCAAGTATCTGACGTATTTCTCTGCTCCACATCTCACTTCTGGCATCGTTTCGTAATCAAAATTATTTAATTTCCCCGGAAAAGTTCAATGATCTCACAGAGCAATCGTTCGATCGATCGATCAGTGTGTGTTGAGCTGGAAAATCAATTGGTGAAATGATGAATTCGAATCAGAATTCGGTGATAACCTTTCGAGGAGGAAAGTAATTGGAAGAGTTAATTAAAGGTTTTAGTTTGAGTCAAGCTGGGATTTAGGGAATGCTTTTCTTTAGTTCTTCAGGGGGTACTAACTTTCCTAGATTCGCATAGTTTTGGTAGTTGTTTCTGGATACTTTTAAATGATTTAACTTCCCCCTAAAAAGTTCAATGATCTCAGATCGATCAGTATGTGTGACGCTGGAAAAATCAATTGGTGAAATGATGAATTCGAATCAAATCGCTGGCAATGACTTCTGCTCAAGCAGAATCACCAAAAAATTAAAGAAAACTTGAAAAGAAAAACCCAAAAATGAACCCATAATAAATTAGGCAAAGTAGAAACAGCAGAACAACAGCATTTGAAAATAAATTTCTGGTTTTGATTTATGGGCAATGCTCTAAAAAAAAAAAACCAAAAACCAGCCGATGAAACCAGCACGAGGGCAGATCTCTTAAAAATATAAAAACTAGGGAATTATTGAAAGGCGAGGCGGCCAAGGGGAGCTGCAAATATAAGTTTACACATTTAGCAAATTAGCCAAATGTCACGCACACATTTCTCTCACTCGCGAATAGAAAACAAATGGAGTATAATAAATATTATTTACCAGATTAAATTAGTTTTCCATCTCGTGGTGAATCTGTTTTACAATGAGAGTTCATAAAAGCCCGCCAAGTAAACACGAGAGATGGCAGTCAAATTGGAATTTTAATTTCGCATTGAGAAAACACACAAACTTAGAAATGGGTTGGGGTTCGGGGGCACTATGACTATGGGGTATGTGTGTTCTATGACTGGAAAATGCAAACAAAGGCGGGGCATTCAATTGATTAGGGGAGTGCCGCCTGAGGGGAGGGATCTCACAGATCGGAGATCGAGTAATAGTAATATATATCGAGGGTATGGTTGCACAGACGGCGGATGCCATGTAAGGCAATTATTTGCACTTGAAAATGCAAAGATCCCAGAGGCATTCGAAGGCGGAGAATTAGATGCGTGTGTCAGTTCGATCGCTTTTTGGCCTTCCGCGCCTGGGAAATGTAATTGGAAATTTCACAAGCTAATTGCAGCTGTCAATGCTATGGCAATGACGTCACGGATGCACAGTGAGAAAATGAGCTATAGAAAATATTTACAAAATAAATTTCCATAGTTTTCATACTGAAATTTATTTGAAAATGATCTAGAAAATGGGTTTCTAAGATATAAGATTCGTATATACCACTTTTTTTTTTGCTCTGTACGTCAATATTCCATTTCTGCAACAGGTTGCCCAACTCTGCATTTGCCAGCATCCGATCCTATCCGATACGATCGATGGGGGCGAAATTGTAAACACAAAACCCCACCAAAAAAAATTAGTTCTTTTTGAGGGGTTTTTAGGGGGCGAATTTTTTGGTTCATCTATTTCGGGTGCTGCGGCAACAATTTATTATTTGTTGTTCTTCTGGTTCTTGTTTTGACTGGCAGAGCATTTATTTGTTTTGGAAGCGTGTTCCACCAAATGCATTGCCCAAACACATACACATCGGCACAGCGGCAACATTAAACCGCAAAAGGCATTTAAAATAAATCCAAGAGAAAACATCGCACCACATTTTTCCATTGAAAGTCAGGATAAACGTTTATTTGGTTAATTTTCGACGTAAGGCACGATTTTCAAGGGTCCGTATACATTTTGTTCATGTGTAAAGATTTCAAATTGATGAGGGAATTACTTTTTCTCTGGCTTGGGATATTTCATATTATAAAGGGGAATCCAATCGGTGACAACCCGCCAATCGGTGAAGTAGACAATTCCAATAGCTGCAGCCAGGCCAAAGGTGGCAGCGGAAGGAGCACTATATTAAAATATATTATAATATACAATTAAACAAAGTTAAGTTCTTGATACTTACAATGCTACCATAGCTCTTTTCTGACTAGCCGATGGTCTGTTGCGGCAGTATAACGACAATAATTTTTTCTTAATACTCATTTTGGTTTGAAAAATTGTTTGAAAATAACCCTCCATTGTTAATGCTTGAGGTACAACGACAGGCTTGCTTGTGATTAGATTTACATAGCTCATGTTACAAGCTGTCGGACACTTGCTTTAATGAGGTATTGTATCCCCATCGAAGGGGTTCGGTTCCCCGGAAAAGGAGATTGATTAATCAAAGTTGGATGGATGCGGGCCCTAAATTGAAACATTACAATCTTTTATGGGCAATCTATGGGCAATCGCGACTTGTTGGCCTGACCTAATTGGAGAAAGGCGGAGTGTGAAGGCGGCGGCGTTGGACAGTTGATGGACTTGGGACTGATGGCCATAAGCCACGTGGAGAACGAACTGCAGCAATTTGTCAGCGAAAATCATTAGCCTAATTTTCAGGGCCAGCTGTGTGGGTGCGTGTGTGCTGGCATTTCCTTTGAGCTCCGAACTCCGGATTTCCATTCCCTGCCGCCATTCCATTCAATTCGATTCTGTGGCGCCCCTCCCAGTTTGAGTTCCTTGGAGCCCTTGGTTTTCCTTGGTTCCATTCCTCGCCAGACGCCAGCGAAGCAATTTAAATGCCACACCTTTCCGCTGTCTGTAGTCTGTGAGCTGCGATGGCGGCGATCCACATATGACACTCGTCGTCCTGCTCCTGTCCATTAGGGCATAGCTGTGTAGTCAGCCGCCAGTTGGACAGGGCGACAGTTCAAGGATATTTCCTAAAGGAAAGGCTGGGCCGCCACTTAAATATTCGTGCAACCCTTTTTTCCGCCTCAAGCTGACATTTCTTTGGTTGTTTTTTTCTCCTCCCCAGAGATATGCGCTTGCTGCTCTTACTGCTGCCCCTGGTGGCCCTCGTCCGCGGCGATGACTACTGCTTTGGCCAGGACACCTCGCGCCTGCAGACCCGCCAGTTCTCCTCGAAGACCGCCTACCAGATCGTCAAGGGCAGCGACATCGATCGGCAGTACCTAGTGCCTGGATGCGAGCCCAAGAAGATGTGGATTTTCCACCGCCATGGAACTCGGCTGCCCAAGAAGAGCATGATCAACAATGCCGCCCGTGCGGCGGAGGTGAGTCAGTAATACATAAGTTTATAATTTTATACATATATGTTTTAATTGCTTGTAGTTTTTGAAAAGCTTTTTGAAAAATGCACTTATGCGAATGGAATTCGTTGCAAATTATTTTTAGTTGTACCATTTTTGAGGTCACCCAAGTGAGCTAATTACTGTAGTTTCGTATTTTTAAACCCTTATGTGGATTTTTTACTAAAAATAATGAATAATTGGATAATAATTTTGGAAGTTTGCGGAATTATTAGCCAATAAAGTTCTTGTGTTTTCCTGTGAAACATCTTTAAAATGCTAGCAACAAAATGTGTTGCTCAACATGTTTCTAGAACCATAGGCTTAGCAACATGTATCTAGCAACAATTCCCTGAGAATTTTCCGCCTTTTTAGATTAATTGTTTAGTTTTACAATATACTAAATGATACTAAGTAATAATTTTCTCAGTTTAGCTGCTATTTAATGGCAAAAAAGTATTTCATTTGTATGCCAGCTTAGGAAGCAATATATTACAGCATCATAAAGTATCAAGCTGCTCATTTTTACGACGTAATTTGTTCACAAGTACATCGTTTGTATTCAGCACAACCTTAATAAATTAATGATAGGCAATAGAGTGTTTTTCAAGGCGACAATATACAAATTTTTGTAATCTTAAAATTCGATTACATATACTTTACTTTTCTAATATTCCAAATTCCTTATTTAATAGTCATAATTGGTTTTTAATCCCATTCTCAGCTCCGTGATCTCATCGTGAACAACTACAAGGTGGCCAAGACCAAGCCGGATACGGATGCACTGTGCAGCACGGACTTATTAGCCCTCCAAATGTGGAGGTGGAATGCCAGCATTACACCCGACCAGGAGGAGTTCCTAACCAGCCAGGGATACGATGATCTCCGTGGCACAGCCAAGCTGTACCAACGCTACTATCCCGGTGTTTTGCCCAAGGAGTATAACGATACCTACTATCAGGTGGGTCGGAGTTGGATACCAATACTGGCAAGCCTATACTTACATAATATGTAATCCTTTTCAGTTCCGCCACACCGATACCCAGCGCACCAGGGAGAGCTTCAGGGCCTTCGCCGAGGCACTTTTCGGTAGTGACAATGCAGCCCATCCCGTTGAGATTCCCAAGGAGGACCTGCTCCTGCGTCCCTATGACTACTGCCAGTCGTACAAGGATCTGAACTACAAGGGCGAGGGATCCGAGTACGAAAAGTATCAAAAGGCCAGCCTATGGACGAACACGCTCAAGGACATCTCCACGCGATTGGGGTGAGTAGAGATCGGTTGAGAGTTCAGGAGTGGTTATAAATATTTGACACCCACAGCTTCCAGTACACTTTGGAGGAGGAGGACATCAAGCTGATGTACGACATGTGCCGCTACGAGCAGGCGTGGCAGGTGGACAGGAGCAGCGCCTGGTGCACCGCCTTTCTGCCCGAGCAGGTGTCCGTGTTTGAGTATGCCGAGGATCTGAAGTACTACTGGGGATCCGGCTATGGTTTCCCAGAGAACGGACGCCTCAACTGCCGTTTGGTGCAGGATTTGCTGACCCATTTGAACAACCCAACTTCCCCGCATGTGGTTGCCCACTTTGGCCACTCCACGGGTCTGCTCACCCTGCTCACTGCGCTGGGAATGAGGAAGGATGACATTCCCCTGCGGGCGGATAACTCCGACAGCCAGAGCAGCCGCCGCTGGAAGAGCAGCCTTATCGATCCCTTCGCCGGCAACTTCGTGGCGGTGAAGTACAACTGCCCGGCGCAATTAGACCAAGAGCAGGTGGTCTTCTTCCTCAACCAGGACGCAGTGCAGCTGGACTGGTGCAGCGTTGGCCTGTGCAAATGGTCAGATGTCCTCGAGAAGTACAAGACCATCTCGGAGGCGGACTGCGGCGAGTACTATTGCCGGACGGGTGGAGCTCCGTCCCTGGGATCCGGTCTTCCCGGACTGCTGGCCACCGCGTTCGCCGCCATTCTCGTCTACTTAATGCACTAACTTTCGCGTCAGATTAGCCTAAGTCTTAATTTGTAATGTACAAAGTTCGTACCAAAAGGAGGCGGCAGCGCATTGCCGGCGGATGTCAGTCAAGTATTTTTCGATATAGATTTTCTACTTTTAATCCAGCAAAGCCTTAAACTCCTCACAACGTCGAAACAAGCACACAGACACAGAATATAGAACACACAATCAGTCCGACACCGAAATTTTTAACTTAATGACCTTTTTCTAAACGCTTAACAAACGTTGACAGTGCTACAGTCAGAAATAGCTTTATAATAATAAAACCAAACCATAATAATTTATATTTAGGATCTTTTTTTGGGTTTCACCCATATCATAGTGGGGTTTTAAAATTTTGTCACCATTTCCTTTTTTAAAAAACCAAATTATGAAACCATAAAAACAGGAGAAATGTATAACTGGTTTGGTTGGTGGAGAAGCTGGGTTGTGCCCAATTCTGGTAAGATTTTATGCCTCTGAAATGAAAAGAGTTAACAGATTAAACTATTATTTTCATGTTTCAAGGAGGATGCTCGTGTTCAGGTACGTTGTAACATTACATCGGTTTAATTAGTAAATATCCATAGTTTTAATTTAATTACATTTCTGTGGTGAGCGTAGCTCTCAAGAGTTTTCTGCTTTTAAACAATTTTTAAGAGAACTCTTAAATAACCGTTAAACCTTTTAAAACAGTCTGGCAAGGCTCTGTTTATTTCCGGTGCCAGTTTAGTGTGACCATCCATAGTTTTCCCCCAATGGTATATTTCCGCCTTTAATCGGCTGGGCACTCTGACACGTAAAATAGGAAAAAAAAAAATAAAAGTTGGCAAAGAAGAACTTTGATGAAACGCATACTGTGTTAAATCAATAAAAACGACAATAAAACTGCTGAGGCCTTGGCTGTGGCTGCTCTGCTTGGTGCTGTGCGTGTGCAACAGCAGCGATAAGGACGGGTATTTCCTGATTACAGAAAGTGAGGGCCGCCCCGTGGAACAAGAAGAAGAGGAAGCAGCACAGGTGCAGCCAGAACTGAAACTAATCTTCGCTTTTCTTGTGCTCTTCTCCCCCCGCACAGACTTCAATTTGGGCAAGCCACCGCCCCCGGAAATCATGGAGAGCAGGGAGGCCAACGAAGTGTACGATGACATGAACCTGTACATCACCCCCGAGAGCTTTATCGTAGAGCCCAATGGCGGGGAGGAGGTTCTAGTGATTGGGCGCCACGACAAGGTCACCAGAGTCCAGCCAGCAAGCGGAGGGCAGTTGGCGAACCAGCGGCCCACGCGTCGGATCTGCGGAGTGCTGGGCACCATACATTTGCTGAGCTGCGACTACCTGATGGTGGCCACGCATCGCATCTTTGTGGGAGTCCTCAACGGTTCGATTGTGTGGCGGCTGGCCGGCTATGACATCATTCCCTACATTCCCAACGCCTTCCAGCGCAAGGAGAACGAGACGTACCTTCGCCTGCTGCGCCAGATGCTGGACTGCAAGTACTTCTACTTCTCCTACCGCTACGACCTCACCCACTCGCTGCAACGTCAGCGGGAGCTGGTCACCGCCAATCCGAAGCAGAGGCAAGGCCTGCTGCAAAGGGCCGATCAGCGCTTCGTGTGGAACGGTCATGTGCTGCGGCAGTTCAACTGCGACAATATGGAGAGGTTCCAGCTCCCGCTGCTCCTGGGCTTTGTGTCCATCAACCAGGTGCAGATCAACGGACAGACCTTCTTCTGGAGCATTGTGACTAGGCGATCGGTGGAGCGGGCCGGCACCCGACTCTTCTGTCGCGGCAGCAACGAGAACGGCCAGGTTGCCAACTTCGTGGAGACGGAGCAGATAGTGGAATTCAACGGACAGCTTACTAGTTTCGTGCAGACGCGAGGCAGCATGCCCTTTCACTGGCACCAGCTGCCCAATCTGCGCTACAAGCCGCGACCGCGACTGGTGCCGGGCAAGGATCATCTGGCTGCCTGCAGTCTGCATTTCAACGATCAACTCCGTCTGTACGGCAACAATGTGGCCATTAATCTGGTGGACCAGAAGGGCGCCGAGGGGGAGCTGGAGGCCACGTATGCCCGACTCATCCGTGAACTTGGCGACAAGCGAGTGCGCTACGAGGCCTTTGACTTTCATCACGAGTGCCGGAAGATGCGCTGGGAGAGGCTAAACATACTCATCGATCGCCTGGCCTATGAGCAGAATCAATTCGGTTTCTATCACGTCTTCGACGACGGCAAGCTGGTGTCCACGCAGACGGGAGTCTTCCGGACGAATTGCATCGACTGTCTGGACAGGACGAATGTAGTGCAGAGCATGCTGGCCCGGCGATCCCTTACGGCCGTCCTGCAGAAGCTGGGCGTGTTGCATGTCGGCCAGCTAGTGGAGAACGCTGCCGGGAGCTTCGAGAGTCGTTTCAAGGGTGTGTGGGCCGATAATGCGGATCTAATTTCGCTGCAATACTCCGGAACGGGAGCGCTCAAGACGGACTTCACGCGGACGGGCAAGCGGACGAAGGCCGGGGCTATGAAGGATGGTAAGAACTCGCTGATGCGCTACTATCTGAACAACTTTGCCGATGGACAGCGGCAGGATGCCATGGATCTGTTCCTCGGAAGGTATATTATCAACGATAATGAGGGCGGCGCAGTGCCATCGCCTTTGGAATCGAAACGCGGCTGGCGGTTCTTCACCTTCCCCTCGGTGCTTCTGATGGCGGTGGCCATGTTTATGATCACCATGACTTATCCGGCAGAGTTCAATACGGAAAATCTGCTCTTTATGCTCTTCTGGGGAGCCATGATTGCCGTGAGCGCCACCGGAATCCTGCACTATGGCGTTGAGTTTGTGCAGTGGCCGCGGCTTTTTCCGCCCATCTCCTTTCAGGCCCCATGACGTTAGTGTCGTTTAGATCAAAGGATAAGAAGGAGTCCCAGAGGAGGATGTACCTCTCAGGATCACAGTGCTTCATAAAAGAATATATCCTGTAATGCTATTTCTGTAAACGATTTGAATCCCTCTCAAGTTCAATGGTCCCTGCCATCTGTTTTGTTTTGTATTCCTGTTCTTGTTTAGTTTGTAACTCCGCCGAGTCCATTCCTGTTGTTGGCTACACGTCTTGGTTACTATCATGGGCGAGCTTTTTTTTCGGGGGGGCTTTGGTTTCTCAAAGCAGCGCCGCCGCTTATTAACTGCGATTAATTGCGAAGTAGATCAATCACTTTTGTAGAAACATTTATGACATTAATAAAGTATTTTATGCATTGCTAGAAAACCTCAACCCTGGCGGCGTCTTAATTTAATATCTGTGGAGGTCAACATCTGTAGAAACGAAGAATGTTATTACTTGTTGGCAATACAAGTAAATCGGGTTTAAGGCATCGTCTTTATGCAATGCCAATAAGAGATGATCGCATCTTGTAAAGGTTAATTAATGGTTATATTCGTTTTTAGTTGGCTGTAGTACAGGTTTTTAATATCTTCATTTGAATTCTATATTTCATGTTAATATGAAACGGGTTGTACCATAGTCATTTCATTTTTATATCCTTACGGGGTATTATAATTAAAAATTTAAATATAATTTTATATGGTAATTTTTAAGAAAATTCAATTTTTAAATTATTACAACTCAGCCAAACAGGCACTAATTTTAATTTGGAAAGCTGTTCTGAGTTAGTTATAGTTTTCATAAGGTTAATAAATCTGCATACTGCATTTATTATTTTAAAAAATATTGAAACTAAATTATTGGTTATTTTGTAAAATAATAATTAATGAGACTTTCGTTTACTTCTTTTAATATAAAATATATAAATAAAATAAATATATTCCAAAGCTTATATGGAACTTTCTTTATTACCTTAGATAAATTAATCAACTGTTTTTCAGTAGGCCTTGGGTATTCAGTCCAGGATACCAGTTCAATACGCCATAGTCTCTTCCGGTCTCGGCGTTGCCGTCAAAATCAAATTTTAAATTTCGTCTTTTAGTTTCAAAATTTTAAGTTGCTCTTCTGTTTGCAGGGTTCGAAAAGTTACTCTTGACCTTATTTACGCTTTTTGACCACATAAAAGATCTTCGCGTAAAGTTCTCTTTGGGTTTTTATCAAAATGTCTGAGAACCAAGATAGCCAGAAAGGGAAAATTGCCCGAAACTTTCTGTACATGCTCGAGTTTGTGGTGGACGATCTACTGATCACGCGCCAGAATATGTGTGCTCCCGAAGAATATCCAACCTGCACGGAGATCACGTTCCGGTCGTCGGTGTACGTGAACATATGCGACCGGGAGGTGGGCACCTGCGTCAATCCCAACTCGCCCAAATGCGGAAAGTGTGCCCTCTTCACCCTGGAGTCACCGATCACAAACAAGGACAAGTTGCAGGTGCATGTCTATAAGAAGCGCACGGAGAGCTGTAAGTTCCTCATTGGCCTCACGGAGGTGGCGGTTAAGCCGATCTTCGATCGGGTGAAGGAGTCCTTTGACGCCGAGAATCCCGATTGGGAGGGTGCCATGATGGGCCATGTGGCCCAGCTGCCGAAGATGAAGGGTCCCAATAGCAAGGGGCTGCTGGACAATTGCGCCTGCTACGAGAAGCTGAACGAGCGTCACGAGCAGTGGTGTCCCACATCCGAGCTATCCAAGCGCCTGCTTCCCCTGTTCAATCTCTGCAAGATGCAAACCGGCAATATAGTGCTCATCATGCGCTTGGTCTGCAATGGCCCGACCATTGTCTCCACGTTCCCCTTCAGTCGTATCTGCTCGAGGAATCCCAAGCCGCTGCCCTGTCCTCCGCCTTGTGAACCCTGCCCATGCTCGCCATGTGATCCTTGTGATCCCTGTGATCCCCCGCCTATGACAGCCACCGGTGGACCCATGAACAAGTGCAAGCCCTGCAAGCCCTGTCAGAAACCACCGCTCAGGAAGTGCAAAATGGTGGATCCCTGCGCCCCGCGCGTTGAGCCCATTGCCAAGTGTCTACGTTACTACGCCTGCAATGTGGACAAGCTGTGTCCCACCGATTACTGCGAGGACGAGTTCGATAGGGGTGAGTACTGATCTATGGATCTTATGAACTTTCCTAAATCACATATAATTAATTCAATAACCTCAAATTACCCTTTTCGTTACCCAGAGTGTCCCACTGTTCCCTCGAAGCGGTGTCCTCCTCTTTCGCCCATTGAGCAAAAGCTCCAGAAGTGCGGTCCTTGCGGCGGTATACCGCCTTATCCCCGCTTTATCCAGGAGCGCATGACTGCGGACCTTCTGGGCAAGCCAAAGGACGAAAAGGACGCTAAAAATGGAAAGGATGCAAATGGCAAGGATGGCAAGGGCAAGGATGGCGAGGGCAAAGGCAAAAAGCGGCAAAAGGGAGGTGCCGTCTTTCGGGTGGGCGAACTAACTGGTCCCTCTGCGGTCTATAAAGCTGGGTGCGAACCCGTCTGTGGGGGTGCCTTGCAAGCATGCAAGAAGACGAGGGTCATGGAAGCGAGAGCGGCTACGGAACAGAACAGATCCTGCGACGTGTGCCAGGCGGATTACAGTGTGGCCTGTGAAGACGGTGAGTTATCGTAACTTTACAGGTATATTTAAGAAATACATTGTTAAATTAAATATATATTCTACCTAAAGAGAGCTTACAAAAAGTTAAACCATTTTAAAATATTTGTATATGTTAAAATCGTACATTTTCTTGTAAAACGATTACTAAACTTGTTTTTTTATTTGAATATCCACCTAATCTTTTAATTTTTATAAAAACCAAGTAAGCCCCGAAATGACTTTCCCATCAGAGCCTTCCCGAAACGCTTTACAACTCCAGTATCTCCCCAAGTAGTCGTTGGGTTAGCAGTCACTGCTCGATTGGTATTCCTTTTACAGTTTCAAATAGGAAATGTTGTCTGGCATTCAAAATAAACAAAAATTAAATTATTTTTCTTTTTCCTAACGCGAACTTTGGATGAACATATTGAAACACTTAACACAGATCTAGATCAGTGCGCGTAATTCTGAAATAGCTTTTCAAATTAAATAATAAACGCGTACTAATCCTGTATCATTGCAGCGCGAAAACGAGCTGTACGGAAATTGCGCCATTTGATGGTGAAGTACAATATCAAAATTGATAATTAGAGGTCTTTCGAAGCAGACCACGCTCACAAGTCATCACTAGCAATCACATTTAGCCAAGAAACATGGCCAAGAAGAAGGGTAAGAAGGGCAGGAAGGGCAAGGTTAACTGCAATTTCAAGATCACCGATGAAATGCTCAAGCCCATGAACGAGACCAGTAAGTCAACTCTGAGAATTCATAGGAACCCGGGATTGATTCATATAATCCCCAGCTGTTGTCGACGACGCATGTGACGGGTGCTGCCAGTGCACATGCGATTGTGACTGCAGTCCGGAGCTTGCACCCTGCTTCATCCAACCCACTCGGCCCGATCCGGGTCCGGAGGCTTATGACGAGTTCGAGGCCAGTCTGAATGGCAGCGGTCTGACAATACGCGTCCTCAAGAACACCCACAAAGTGGAGAGCATAGATGATGGGGCCAGGGAAGATCTGGGCGACGAGGATGATCACAATGGCGGCGAGCCTAAGAAGGACTCTGGCCTGCACGATATGCTGCAGCGTAGTTCCTTCGCCAGGAATCACATAAAGCGGCGCACCGGCGGCAGTATCGTTAATCATCCGAACATCCCGAAAGTCCGGGCCAATATCAAGTACTCCGGCAACGATGCCTGCGAGACGGACAACTACTATGTGCCTTTTTCGAAGATCAAGGAGGCCTGTGATCTGCAGGAGGCCAAGGTGGATTGCTATCGCCGGCTCTGCGGCGGCCACGATCGTGAGGTTCCGGCTCGTCATCCTAGCCTGAATCAGCGTAGCTGTTGCATGCAGGTCGAGGGCAAGGACATTATGGAGACCATGAAGGGCGTTAATCTGGATACCAGACGCAAGGGAATTGAGGTGAGTTTAGATACAGATATATAATATGAGAGGTGATAGGCTATTACGGAATAATATTTTTCATTAAAAACTTGCCTCAAATCAGGCTTTTTTTTCACGTTTCGAGAATTGGTAATCCAGGCTTTTTTCTCATATTTTGAGAATTTGTAATCTGTAATCGGCGAGATCGCCTCCGCATTCCTTAGCGGGATCGCTGGTTACGTGTGCGAATGAACGCGGAATGATCGCTTTCGATCCGTGACTAGGCCCCTCTAAATGCCGCTGCAGAGTGGTGCAACTTCTGCAGCTACGGAAACCCGGTGTGTTGTTGGAAGGCTCTCGATTGCCCCAATTGTGCGGCAGTTGCATAACATCTGCTCCAGCTACAACACCAAGTGTGGAGCAGCCACTACTTTGCTCCAGCATTTCATAGGTTTTTTTTTATTAATGGTTATCGTTCAGGGGAGATGCATGTGGTCGTAACAGGTGCAACCGCAAATTAGGTGATTTTTTGTTAGTCTGCTTTTCTAACCCAAATGGTTATTACACTCTTGTTCAGATACATATATTAACTAAGAAATCAACATATATTTCGATATTGTAGGTCTGCTACAAAACCTGCGATGAGACCGACAGCGATGTCTTCCTGGTCAAGCTGGGCAGCAAGGCCAAGTCGCAGCACAAGAAGAACACCATTGAGATTGAGCTAAGGACCCCCAAGCAGCCGGTGAATCTGCCAGTTAGCAAGGTCACCACGGAGACCTATGTGTCCGAGGATATGCTCACTTCGGGCAAAAAACGCAAAAAGGGCAAGAAGGGCAAAGGCAAGGGCAAGAAGAAGTAGAACCAACAAATTCTGATCCTGAAGCATTAACCGGACTTGTACAAAATTTCTACGCCTTGACCGATCACCGCTACACTTCTCAAATTTATAGCTATAGTCAAAATTTGGATTTGGCAATGATAATTTCTCCTATTTATATTCACCCGTAATGCATATTTGGACTACAGTTGAGTAAATGTATTTTTGGCTTTAATTAAATTGCAAATTTGCAACCTAAATTTAAATATTCAAAAGTACATTTTGTCTTTATTATCGAGTGTAAAAACCACAGGCGGCGATTAGTTGATCCGTCGCGAGATGAAGCTGAGATTGAAGCTTCTGGAAAAAGATCAAGTTACTCGGCGGCTGGGCCCTTGGTTATTTTTAAACTTGCCTTTTACTCTTGAGAAATTTTAAATACCCTTTAAAAGATTTCTTAAATTGCTTAAAAAATAAAATAATATAATTTCAAGCGTCACTGAATATTTTAAGCTGTAGTCAACCAGTTTAACATATACCCCATATGGCGCTGACTAGAAACCTCAAGAAAACTGAAATGCATATAGAATTTATTATATTTGACAGTTTTATTGTTTTGCTTAAATTTATATCAAATTGGATGGCTTTAAAATTAAGCTTTGAATAAGATCACAATAGACAAATTGATAGTTTTCGACGCCTTCTATAGGTGGTTCTGGTTTTGCACTCTTAAAATGTTTCAATCTAGATTTAAACCCTATTTATTCCTTTGTTTTTTTAGTCCCTTGAGCTTAGTTAAGTGGATTAATTAGGCAGCTCCTTTTTAGGGTACTTGTGCCCCAGTTCAAGGCCTTTTCTGCAGTTTCATTGTCTCTAAAAATAACCCACAACATCCATTTGCGATGGCTGACATGCAGCGGAGAACGAATACCAATCCGTTCCGACCATCGTCTTCATCTATTGCACACCTGTAATTAAACGCCATGAGATGGGCCCCTTGACAGGAGAGGTGTGTAATCTGGTCAGGTCTGCGTCTGGGCCTGGTCACCGCAAACGGGTTGGGAGACACGTCGAGCTGCAGAGACATATTCGGAGAGAGAAGAGAGATCGGAGATTGCAGATCCGAGCAGCTGGCAGCTGACCAAGCCAACCCAGCGAGGTTCGGAGAGGAATCGAGCGAGGAACTCGTTTTAGTTGCGTTCAAACGCTTTAGTCTGTAAGTCTGCGATCGCAGGAAATATATTCCGAGTTATAGTCCAAGCTAACGAAAAGAAAAAAGCGGAGCCTAAGCCCAGGTGCTGACTCTTTGAGAGATCGGCCACGAATGCGAGCAACTTTTGAGATCGGTACACGGCGAACCATAAAAGTGAGAGGAGACCTCAGCTCCAGTTGTCCAAGTCTCATAATCTCCATCGGAGATTCGACGCTCTCTGCGAAAGCGGAAAGAAAGTGAATTTTTGGAGGAGATCGCGACCGCGACGCGACGCTACGATTACTTAATCCGCGTTCAGGCATCGAACCCTGGAGCCCGCGATCTTAAACAGTTTTCGGAGGCGCAAACTAATGGCCCCAAACTGAACTGACTTCGCCCCGCCCCCGTCGCTCTATCGATGATAGTTGGGCGGAGAAACGCCGAGTATTTGAATTTATTAAAGACAAAAGACCGTTGATCTGATATCTAAATATTGATAATTTAGAAAGCGAAGAGCTGCATACCAAATACTCGTCTTAGGAGTCGCCAGATCTGAAGAGACACATTCGGCCACAGTCAGTCAGTCGGTTTTCAGTTACAGCTCGAGATCGGAGGTTACTGCTTTCTCCGAGGCGCGTAAAAAGTACACTTGGTGTCTAGTAGGTCCGCGTGAAAAGCAACAGAAACAAAGTGATAATGTTACGCCCCACGCTACTCGTAGTGCTCATGTCGCTGGCCAGTGTCGATTCCGGCTATAATAAACCCCAACACTCCACCAAAGTACACGCACCCACACCCTCACATGCCGCGAAAGTATCCAACCTGCCGCACGGATTCCATACCAGCACTAACATCACAAGTGTTCCCATTCCCGCCGAGATTCATGCAGAGCCCCAGCCCATCACCAGTGGCCGTGATAAGAGAGGTGAGCACTTGTCCCCTTCAAGGGGGCACTTCCACATCCACATCCCCATTCACATCCAAGTGGTAAATCCGTGTCAGGGTCAGAGCCATCTCGAACCTTTGATGGACACCAGAGAGGTTGATCGAGAGGCTGTGTCAATTGGTTCGCAAATATTAACAATTGCTCTTGCTCTTGGCCAGATTGCTTTGAATCGCCGTAGTTACCCGTCGCCTTCCCTGGCCAAAGGTTCATGAAATGGCCTCTTAACGAGGCTCAAAAAGAGTGGCCTAGGCCATTGGTCTAGGCTCTCAAGGATTAGACGATTTAATGGGGGTGGAATTTAAGATTAATGGCAGTAAATTCAAATGAGGAATTCATTTTCATAAATGCCTCTAGTTTCTGAAAAGAAATTTCTTTTAAACTAAATATATGTATGTTAGAAGGTTGATTTATTTTATTTAGATATTTATTCCATTAATTACTCTTTAAATTCAAAATACATTTGGCCGAAATATTATGTATACAGGACTCTTCATTATGAAATTAAATTAAAATTAATTTAAATAATTACCTTAGAAAAATTTAAAGCAGTTAGGATATAATCTGCAAAAGAAAGTGTGAGAAACAAGCAAGACTCCCTAAAAAATAACAATACAATTTGTTGTCTATTAAATTCACTTGATAATAAAAACTAGTAGTTCTTTAACAATAATTTCTTGAAATTCCAGCCGATAATCTCTAGTAAACTCTGAAAAGTTTAAAAGAATAACAGCTATAAAGAGAAGCAACTCAAATAAACAAAGCTCCTTCGCCTAATATCTTTTCAAAGAATAGCGCCAAAAATATTTGCACATCATCATGTGCTTCGTTTTTTTTTTTTTTGATTTTCATATATTACAACAAAAGCAACCTGCCCGAAGGCGTACTGCTCATTATTAAAATGCTAATTGTGTGTTTCCCATGCACCATTTGACATTTGAGGATCCCGTAGTTCGGACTTTGCATTTCGCAGTTTATAAACATATAAGTTCCACACAAGCGAAGCCAACTCTCGGCGCAATCGAATCAAATCGGAGGCAAACTTTCGCATCTGTGGCTTTATCTTTGAGATACATATATACTATATACGATGTAGATAGATTGTGTGTATATTTTCATAACAGAGGTGCGTTCGTTGCCCATCTTCTAGTTGCATAAATAATCAGCCATAAAACGAAAACGAGAAATCGAGTTTTTATAATAATATTTTTCTCCTCTTTAACTTTATTCTGAGGCGCTGTATTTGGAGTTTTTTGGCTGCATTTTGAATTGGTATCGGAATGCCGGTGACCTCAGAATATTAAATGAAATATTGAGTAGAAGAAAACACTGACGCAAAGCAGAAAACACATTAAATAATATATTTATTTATTTATTTATCTAAAGCTAACAAATAGTATTAAACTAAGAGCTAACTATGGGTAAAGAGCCATAGCATCTAAGGCCTTTGGCTCGCGGTTTGTGTTGGTTTAGTTGTATTTACATTAATTACATTGATACAACGAATAGATATTTACAAAAGAATAACATAAACATATGTCGGCGAGTTGGTTGCTAAGTGCAAATTTGGAAAGCTTGTTGCTATGGCAACAGAGTTATTCGGCATGCTCAGGTATTGGTAGCCCTGTAGGTGTCGCTGGCGCGCAGGCGCAATGACAGTTGAGTCGGTAACAGGAGTGTTACTGAGTGAGGTCTGTTCGTCTGTCGCAACAATAGGAGAGAATGAGAGAGACAGCTTGAGATTGTCTAGGAATGACATCTGAGTGAAAAGTAAGAAAAGGTGAAAGGGCCACAGGAAAAGTGGCGTGATGACAGATTCGATTTGACTGCGCAGGCGAACAGAACTCGCTGGCTCGACTACGGTTAAATTAAATAACGGATATCTCCGACATCAGAAGTGGGATTCACCATAGCCTCGCGGGCATTCTGATAAAGTGATTTTCGGTCGATATTAAATTCAGTGGCGCATCGAAGGCTTGCGCAGCCGCGTGGTGCGAGACACCGGAGTCGTGATAGGCAGTCAAATGCACTGGTCGCGTGTTGAGCCGGACGGTTGCAAGTGTCATCAGTGTCGGCCAGAAAATTTGGGGAAGAATGGAAGACAACAACAACAGCACACTGGCGGAACTGCGGCTGAAGTGCGGAGAGCTGGAGTGACGCACTTCAGGCGTGATAACGGTGGTCACATTGCATCTGTGTGCACGAGATGGGTATCAGCGGCTGCGAGCGGCAGCATCAGCTGCATGTAGAAGCGAGTTGATTTGTGTGATTCAACAGTGACAGTATCGGGTGAGCCCTTTCCAATTATTCTTTGATTTGGGAGCTGAATTGGCTAAAAGATGGGAATAGAGATGTGTTTGATTGCAGTGTTGTTTGCACATCTGCCTTCCCATTGGCGAGCCCTGTGCTACGATAGGTTGTGCTTAGACTATCGGAAGCAATATTCGAAAATGGTTTCGGACAGTGGCCTTTGCCGCTTATGTCAGACCCTGTGAAGGAAAAATGTTTCTGTTGAAAAATAATTAATTTAAAAAAATTACGAGTTGCCGTCTGTTTGGTCTGCCGTGCCGTTTGGTTTGAAGAGTGCATCTTCTACCTTCATCATGCAATTGTTAAGGCGTTTGGAATTTATCATGATTATTTGCGATAGTTTACATAGATGCATGTTAATCATGGCAAACTCGGAAGAAAAGGCTTTCCGAAGGCTGAAGGTTGTATTAAATGTGTTGACTGTACCAGAGTTGCCATTTAACGTTACCAAATGTGGGTTTCTTGAACCTACTACGCAGTATCTGAGCTATGAGGTGTGCGGTGGAGAAATCAGACCCAATTCCTAGAAAATCCTTACGTTAAAGGTCCGTCCTTTTAATCGGTGCAATTAAGAGACCGTCGTAAGACCATTTATTGAATTGGTGCCTTATTTTCAAAAACGTGTGCCTCGATTTTCTCAGATCATGAGACAGATTCTTCGGCTTCAAGTATCTTTAAGTGAAATGACGATATTCAGAAATTGGAACGAACGTTTTTAATATTATTACAAATGAGCCTGTAATCGTTATTTGTGGGTTCGAAACATCTGATCAAATTTGAAACAGATATAAGCTCTTGTGGATATGGTCCAATGCTAATACACCTAATTAATGGAGACCCTTATGTTGGTGGATATATTGGTAGAACTATGTGTCTTGTGGAGTCCAAGTAGCCTTTGTATGAATTGGAAATATTGGTTGGCGTGCAATTATTCTGACATTTTTGGCATTGTTTGCTCAGATGAGAGTTTGTAGTCTATACTTATTGCAGATGTAATCATTTCTAAAAAAAAAAAAAAAAATTAACTGAAGTGCATCATAGAGTAGAGGAAGAGAAAGCGCAAGGCAATTGTGGAATTCTTTTTGTGTCCAGAATTCACATGACTGATTTAACTCCGATAAATAAAAATAAATTGACAGAAAAACGTCTGAACTTAGAATGGAAATCTCAAATGACCGACTGATCAACTTCAGGATTCAGGATTTATTGGTATAGTTTATAAACAACTAAAAATAATTGAAATTAACTTGAGTTACGAAGAGGGATTTTAAAGAATACAGAGAGGTGTGAGGCAATGTTATCTGCCAGTAGTGTCCCTTAAATTTTGTTGGATAGTTATTAATCAAGGTTATAAATCCGTTATGTGTTTGGATTGGAAAAAATAGACTCAGCAATATTTATCAGAATTGTTGGAAATGACTAAGTTTAAAGATTGTTGAAAATTGTATCATGTGTAAAGTTGTAAAGTAGTCATCTGGCTGGATACCAGGACCGCAGAGGTGATGGGAAGATGCTCTTGGCGGGGTGCAACTTGCGGCGAACTGCACAGTTAGTAGTGCAACCAATGCAAGCCCTTAAGAGATGCCAATCGGACCCACCCTTTGGGCTTGATACCACCACATGACACAGAGAAAAGTATAAAGAAAGAGAAATTTAAAGTTACGTTATGCCGGTTCGGTAAAATTATGGAAGTAAGAGCACAATTTTGTTAAGGCAAGATTAACTTAAAATGGATAAATTGGAAATTGAAATTGTTACGAATGAGAGAGAGGAGAAAGAAAGAGATAAAGAAATGAAGATGGAAATCGGTACATTTTAAAATCCTTAACAAGCAAAAGAACTTATAAGTATGCGCATGAGTTTTTGAGGGCATTGCCAAATAGACAAATAAGCAATCACGTTGATTGATAAAGATTTAGACGACTCAAGTGGAGATGCGTCTGATTCCCATGTGGGGAATGATGATATGGATGGCACGGTTGATGCCTTGGAATCCCAAGAGGGGATATAAAGACCGCACCATAACAGAAGGAATTGTTATGGCGGGGGTCAGTGGAGACCGCACCATAACAGAAGGAATTGTTATGGCGGGGGTCAGTGGAGACCGCACCATAACAGAAGGAATTGTTATGGCGGGGGTCAGTGGAGACCGCACCATAACAGAAGGAATTGTTATGGCGGGGGTCAGTGGAGACCGCACCATAACAGAAGGAATTGTTATGGCGGGGGTCAGTATGTGGGTGTAAAAGGAAATACACCAGTTGATAAAGCTATGTAATTAGAGAAGTCTGAATTGTAAATTATGATTAAAATGAAGATGTAATTTGTTATGTTATCATGAAACCAAGATGCTTATTTTGTCTAAATGCCTCAATACTTATGTTTAGAAAATTAATGAAATGTTTGTTGACAATAAAATGTAACGAGTACCGAAATTTTAGAATACTGTGATTTAAAGTTAACACACGAGGACGTGTGATTTGTCAGGAAGGCCGTGTCGGATCACATGAAACGGGGCCTACTTTATTCCTATGGTCAGAATATGTGAAGCGGAGCCTTTTGAAATACGAAAAGAGCTTGTACTCTATGGTTTCGAAAGGTTATCCTGCCAAACTAACATTTGAAGACACTAGAAGTGTAAGCGAGAGATCGCCGACTGAGGCACTCGTTGGTGGAATCATTTATAAGGCTGTGAGGGTCCAGAGAGACCGTGACGCAAGAGGTGCGTGTGAGCGTTGCAAAGTGTGCAGCAAGAGCCTGTATAAATTGATGAAGAGATGTTGAGTAAGAGTTGTGGTACGAGCAGAGAAAGAAGATACAGATTTGGTACGAGAAGAGAATGAAGTGGCGAGAAGAAATAAAAGTAAAGCTTATTTGACATGAATAAAACAGATAAAATGAAATGTTAAGTTGAGACCAAAGAGAGAAAAAAAGAGAGAATGATAAATGACAGTTATGTTTAGAGCTATTAGAAGACACGTCACGCGAGGACGCGTGAATTGTCAGGATGGCCGTGTCGGCGAGTTGGTTGCTAAGTGCAAATTTGGAAAGCTTGTTGCTATGGCAACAGAGTTATTCGGCATGCTCAGGTATTGGTAGCCCTGTAGGTGTCGCTGGCGCGCAGGCGCAATGACAGTTGAGTCGGTAACAGGAGTGTTACTGAGTGAGGTCTGTTCGTCTGTCGCAACAATAGGAGAGAATGAGAGAGACAGCTTGAGATTGTCTAGGAATGACATCTGAGTGAAAAGTAAGAAAAGGTGAAAGGGCCACAGGAAAAGTGGCGTGATGACAGATTCGATTTGACTGCGCAGGCGAACAGAACTCGCTGGCTCGACTACGGTTAAATTAAATAACGGATATCTCCGACACATATATACATAGGTGGAATCATACATAATTTATATTTACAGCGGCTTCATATTTTGTAGGTAATTTTACAGTTGTCTAGGAACTTGAGGATGTTTTTGGAGTTTTTATTTGAGGGGTTGGCTATTGTGGAGATAGGGTCAGGGTTGTTAAATAATATATACTTTGTATTATGAAGAAGAATCGAGTTATAAGTTGCAAGAAATATGACATTTTATACACCAAGCTTTAGTCTTTCACCTCGTGACATTTCGGGGCGAGAACAAAAGCCAAAAGCCGCAGCCAAGTCTTACACGTGCCACTGCCTTTGCCCTTAAAGAGCTGGCCAAAAAAGATTAATGGGTCTAGAGAGTTTCGACTACCAAAGAAACAGAATGATACAGAGTTCAAGCACCCCTCGATGAGGCATCATCATCATCGATAATTACCCCGGGTATTATGCCAATAAAGAATTTTTTGATTTGCATTGGAGATTCGACTTGACCAAGTCGGGATGTCCAGAAATAAACTGAAAGTTGTCTGAAATAAACTAAATACAGAGACTGCCTATGCTAATGACTATATTTAAATGTGAGCAAACCCCAAAGGCCGGCGATGGTCTTTGGGCCTACCACTTAAAAGGGTAATTTGTCAAGATAAGAAAAATGTTTGTTTGGTTTTTGTGAGGCTTGGAATTAAAATACTCTTTCAGTTGGCTTTGGTCTCTATTAATCAGAGTCATTTTAGCTGCTGATAAAATTCAATATAAGAAATATTTTAAAGGTAGTTAACATCCCACCGACTTCATGTTTGAGATATGCTGGTATTTTTTGATTAAAATAATCTTAACTTCTGTTGATGTTTTTATTTTCTATAAATTTAATATTAGAATTAAAGCAAAAACATACTCTTTGAGTATATATATTTTTAATTACCTTGTAAATATTGTAAATATGGTTTTTCTTATTTTCTAATCTATTTTCCTGAAATTAAATGTAGTGTGTTCTATTTATAATTGCCCCATGATATGCATTTTTCTGATTTAAATCATTTACATCGTATCCACCCTAACCCGAAAGCCACAATGCTCCTTCCCAGTTAGGGCAACTTCGCCACAACTGCCTATGAATATAATTACATATTTCAGAATTGATTAAATAAATCTTTTTCTTCGCCTCGTCGTAAGCTTGACATTGAAACACGACTGACAAGCCAACTTAATTATGATCGAATGTATCGAATTTGTGTGTTTATATATAGACACAGAGATTCTTGGGCACCTTGAGTGCGTCAATCAAAGAAGTTTGACCGCAAGCTGCGTTACGTATACGCCGCATGGGCTGCTAATGTAATTACCCCCGAAACAAGAGATACCAGCGAGCTTCGATTGCGCAAGTAAGCGTTTGAAAAAGTATCTTTATGGAATGTGGAAGTTGGTAGAAATGAAAAAAAAAAAAAAACACGAAAAACAAACGTTTAGCGAGCGGAATTACGAAATCCTTTGTTTTCTGGGCAACTCCTCGCAGCTAATTGACCTCTTTTCAGCCAAGCGGCAATTGCACGGCCCTCGAATCGTTTGTAGTTGCAGTTGCAACTTAGAATTGCAGCTGCTTGCTGCAGATACAGATACAGATACATTCTGCCACGGTTCTTAGCCGCAGATGCCATGTAGTCGAAATGATTTACAGCCTCCGATATCTGCTGCTGCTGCTGCCAGCCACTTCGTCTCGCTTCGTTTTTCACTCAAGGCAACGGCAACATCAGCCAACATCCTCAGCGAGTTGTCATGATTTATGGGGCTTGTGCCAGCGACAATTAGCCGGTCCCAAGTATCTGCTATAGTTATAGCTACAAAGCTATATAGCTGTTGCCCGATATAGATATACATCAGACACAACTGGGTCAGCGAGTCGTGAAGTTATTGAATGCCCAGGCGATCGACACGGTGAGAAATTAAATCAACTCGAGATCGTTGCAGTTCTTAGACGTATTAATCTATCAAATATTTGTTATACTTTTCAATATGAAAAATTTATTTAATATGAAATATTTTGGGTTGAAATCATATTCAAACTTTATTATTTAATCGTACTTACATAGCTCCTGCTAATTTAATTTCCGTGTGAGATTACCGATCAACCATTCGAGATCAGAACTCCCCCATGTTTTTTTTTTCGCCTCGATAAACTTCAAGAGCATTTAGGCCATCACGTTTTGGCTGTTGTCATATTTTCGCTGCAACTTTCAGTTGGTCAGCAAATGGACGCAACAATGGCACGTAAATTATCTCGCATAATGGTCGGTTAACAAGCCAAGGATTTGCGACTCAGGAGAACAATCGCCGAACAATGAACTCCCCACAGACTAGACTCTTGGTGTGCGTTGTGCCGCCTTTGTTCTCCTTAGAGCGACCTCAAAGCCTAAGTCTAATTCCAGCTTGATTGGTTATTAATGCCAAAATGGAGGTCTTGTTCGATGACTTGCTCTATTCCCCCAGTGGGGCACCAGCTCTTGAAGCACTACAAATTCTGTGGAAGATTGTTGGATAAAGCTCACATCCGCCGGCTGGGATTAAAAAAATACTTCACATATTTGTTTTGAAGTGGACTTGAAGTTTGTTGTTTAATTGGATTAAACATGAGAAATTATTTTCTATTTTAATTTTTTTCTATTAATCTATTTCTATTAATTTTGTAAAAAAATATTGGGTAAATTATAAATTATATAAATAGTCAAATTAATTGAGTAAATCAATTTAATTAAAATAAATAAGTTATTGCAATAATTGTTGTAAATTCAAACGTCAGAATAAAAGTTAAATGAACTGAAAACATATTAAATAAAACTTTGCTTTATAATTTAAGCATTCCAAGTTGTTAATCAGATAAATTTACAAATTATAATAAATCTTCACTTGACTTACTCCCTTTTAAAATATTTCAATTGATCAATTGAGTTTGGGTTACAAAATTCCATCAATTTATATCAAAGCTTATTAATCGATTTACTTTCTCAATTAAACTTTCCATTAAATTACACAAAAATTGTTCACTCCATTACCCGAGACACGAACTTTCCATTAACAATTTGAAGATCTTTTAAGATCTCTCATCCCTCTGCTAAGCAATTTTCTGGCCTTATTTGGGGGACTCCAACTTAATGAACCGAAGGCGGCAATCAGATAAGCTCGAATATTATCTCAGGTGACCAGAGGAGGCCTTGTTTTTGGTAATCTGGCTTCAATGTTTCACCTGACATCGCAACAGGTACTTCAAGCCACCGAAAATCCCCTCTCCATCACCGAGATGTCAGGGTGGAATTTTCAAGTTATTTTTTGGCTCGTAATGTAGCAGTTAACAAAAGGAAATATTTAAAAATATATGTATATATTATTACGTGTAATTGCATAATAAATTTAATTTAATTAATTTTTTTCTGTGTTTCCTTCTGCTCTTTTTCGTGGCAAAAGAAAAACGAGATATACATAAACTGCCACTCAAATTAGGAGCTGAGGGCTGGGCGTGGCCCTAATGCATCATCAGGCAGTTAGCATCGCTTATGGCATAATCTGGGGGCCTCTCTCATAAAGTTTATATCAATTATTTGGCAATTTCGGGTCCCATCGGGGAACCTGAACCCGAAATAAGACGACTGCAATCCGCTTAACTGCTGGGCAGTAAAAGTCTTTTGGCCTTGACACAGTTTTCTTTTTTATATTTTTGTAAGGGGAAATGGAAATGGCAAGTGATCGCAGATGAAGAGCCCTCAAAAAATGTATAAACACATAAGAGGTGGCTTCAATCATTAACAGATCTTCTCACTTTCATTCACAAGAAGCCACGATCGGCCAGGGGCTTCCCCCGATTCCCAAAACTCTTGAATGATGGATGCGTGTCACTTTAGGCCATCAAAAATTCATCAAGTGACGACGTGATATAAAAAATCACCACTCTCTTGCCCAACTGTTGCTGGCATTAGCTCGCTTTTAGGGCATGATATTTAGGCACAAGGGTAACCGAAATTCGTGGGCATCTTCTTTGTTTTAATTACTCTTCATTCACACGACCACGACACCTCCACCGACGTGGGTCCCGCACTTTATGTAATTATTATTACCCATTAAAGTCAAGGGGATACAGAGAGAGATTGCACAACCCAACCATCCAGTGAGGTGACTTGCTCGTGTTCGGTGATTAATTGTAAATAATTTCAGGCGCCAATACCAACGCCAATCCCAGTCCAAACTTCCAGCTGGACCAGAGCGAGTTGGCCCGCCAGAATCAGATAACGCAACAGATATTTGCCAACTATCTGGAGCGCCGGCTGTTTCCCAATCGAAGTGCCAACCAGAAGATACCCACGATAGCCGACATTCTGCCCAAGCCGAAGCCATCGCCTAGGCCGCGGCCAAGAGGCTTTGCCGCCAGCGATTCTTCAGGCAACTTTAAGAGGAGCGGAGGAGGAGCTCAGCGGAATCGCTTGGCAGCGGCGGCCACGAAAAGGCAAACGGGCTCTAGTAGGAGGCGACCTGAAGAGGACGAGGATGAGGATCAGCAGACACAGGCCAACCAGGAGGACTTTGACTACGATGTGCAGGAGTCGCTGCAGAGCGTGGAGTCAGAGCAGCATGATCAGTACTATGGCAACATATTCCATCGGGATCCCAGCGAGAATGAAGTGGATGCGGGTAAGAAATGGGATATTAAATATACTTCATTATATTTATAATAATAACCCAAAGTTAAGAGCCACAAAATTCAATTAAAATACTTTACTTAATATCCGGCGTAAAACCCATCAAAATAGCTTATAAAATTCAAATAACTATGATCGATATATCTATTTTTGGTTCAACTTCCTCCTATAATCATCAATCAATTCCCCACTTACCCATTCATTGATAAAGTGATCGGTCTGGAGATCGCTGTTAGACTTCACCTTACACATTACCCAGAGGTTATGCCATTAGCTGTGCTGTCCATCCATCAATATCCACTTTAATTTGTTTAGTTCCAGCTTCCAAGCCACCTCATTGCCATAATTATCTCATGCCATAAAATTTTTCAGTTTTTTTAAGGCAACTTTTCGGATTTATCTCGTGCCTGAAGCTGTTGTCACTTTCAATTTCGTTCCTTGAAGAGTTGTTGTTTATGTTCATTCCATTTTCTGTTTGTGAACATTCCTTAAGAAGCTTAAAAATTACATTGGACATTCCGCTGCAACCCTTTTGACAAGTTTAAGCAATTATCTTATTATTTTGCTCATTATTTACCTTAAATTGTACATATTTGTCTGATTTAAGCTTCTTTGTTAAGGGAATATATGTTTTAAATATTTCATTGGATTTTTGGGAACTAAATTGAATTATAAAATGTCTTGTTCTACTCTTAATTTAATACAGTAAGTACGAAACATTCCCTAATAAATAAAATTTTTAAATCTGGTTTTCTCTCTGTAGTTTTCTTGAACTATTTTCCTCCTAATTCTACTCTTTCCTCTTAGTCTTAGTTGCCAACCAATTGGATTTTTTATGTCTTTGGAATTCACTTCCTCACACTTTGTGTCTTTTTAACGATCAACCATTATCTCACATTCCATGTCGCAAGAGATACTTTTCCTATTTAACCATTTCATTTGGATACCCTAACTTGACTTACCATTTAACACAATTTAACCCCTTGATTACCACTATCGGATGGAACTATTCCAACTCATTACCTGCACTTCTCAGGCATTAAGCTAAGCTCATTGTTTATTTGCATTTCGCAACTTTTTGTTTGGCTTTTTGATCGCTTTGTCGCCTCCGGGACCACGGTGCGTATGATGAATGGCCTCGGGCTGCATATGTACGGAGGTGTTTACATAACAAATCAGACGAGCCTCGTTTTTGCCGGGCTATTTGCACAGCTTAAAGGCGAAAAAATTTGCAAATTTATGTGGTTTTTTTATTTCACTTGATGCCCAGGGTCGAAACTGGTTGTCCCCTCGGTTCCACCACTGTCCCCCATTTCCACCACTTGAATTTTAACCCTGAGCAAAAATCTTCCGAACTTTTTTATGACCACGACTCGAATCAAATCGAATCGCAACGCAGCGAATCGAGTCGCGTCTAGAAGTAATTCGATGACGGGATTTTATTTAAGTTAAACGTCAAACCATTAAAATTTATTACCCACACACGAGTCGAGGAGTCGACTGTGAAACAAAAGAGCTGCCATAAAACTGAATTCGAGGAGACATTGCACCCACCATAGCCACAGCCCGAAGCTGAGAACTAGTTGAGGATTAGCAATACTTTGTTAGCAATTCTTTTAAATTCAATGCGACAGTCATTTGAGATAAGTTAGAAAATAAGAAGGCAATGAATTATCAGCGTATGTTTTGTGAGAAGAAAAGGATGATTAATTTGGGGGTGTTTTAGATAACAAGTATTGAGATAGGAATGATTTAGAGAATAGGATTTCTAGACTGATATAATGAATGATATTCTTGGCAATGAATGGTTTCGAGACCCGTATACCTTACCCTTCGTATGTGAATAATTCGTTATCATTATTAATACACTACAAATAGTAAATTTATTTTAGAACCTAGCCTTAATCGTGGTAAAACCCCTTCAAACACAAAACTGGAACTAGTCTAGTTTGGCAAACCTCTTCAATGGCTGTGCCTAGACCTACTAAAACTACAAAATTAGCATACAAAAGGCAAGATTTGAATTTTCATTCCATTAGCGTCATTGTGTGACGTAAAAACTTTGCGTTTGCAGATCCATCAAAGGCCAATGTTTGCGTAGTTTACCGGGGGATTCACCCGAATCGAATCACACACACTCAATTCGAGGGTCAGCTTGGGGGAATCTCTCGATTCCAAGAATCGTATTACGAAAACTATTTATGCAAATCTTCGGTGGGTCATTAGCCACTGGCTTATTAGATAATTAAGATTATTAAAATTTAGCCACATAACAATTAGTGGGCTATATAATTTATTGTAAGAGCCAGCAATTAATTTCCTATTTAAGTGCTATTTAAAGAATATATTTAAATCACTTCCGATTTGGCGATTCTTCTGTGATTCCCTCTAAACATTAAGCTAAAGAATTTTAAAGTTTATCACTTTTGGCCTTGGCTTTCGGTAGATAGCAATGAACTCCCAAAGTCGCCTATATATTTCTAAAGTCTGCCTCTAATCTGGTTTTGTTCGATTTTATTTGCATTAAAAACTACAGAAAAAGAGCGAAATAAATACGTCGTAGGAGCAGCTGCTCTGAATCTGTTTATGCTTCATGGATCTCTCGTGTCCAATTAATTAAATAGTCCAGCCTCTGGGAGCGGAGGAGAACCAAGAAATTGAATCGATGCCGCTTACAAGATACTCGAACCGAAAACTTTAATTTAAAACACGTAAGCAGCCGCAAGAAAAAAATAACTCAAACAAAAACAAACCAACCGAGCAGCCAGGTAAAGTGGCTTTTCATTGAAAAAAAAAAGGCAACGAAAAATCAAGAAATATGTAAAACGGTGGCAGTCGACTCGCTTTTTGGATTTCTTCACAAATTGCGGCCATTGCAGATGCGTTTTCCTCTTGGCTCTTGGACTCTTTGGCTGCCTCCGGCATCTCGGTTTATTTTCCAGCAGCTGCTGACATTTGATTTTTATTTTTTCCGCAAAAAGTTGTCAATAGTTTTTGTACAATCAATTTTTAGAGTTAATTGCCGGCTTTATGAAGCCAATAGTTTTTTAAGACCTGTGAGCTTAAATTGACAAATATTTGCTGTTCTTATACGTGATATTTTTTGGGGAATTATTGGAATTTAGGAGACACGAGTTAATAAACTAGTTTTAAAAATTCGTAAGACTTAAATAGTAGTTTTCTATAAAACTGCAGAAAAATAATTACATTTAAACAGTTAATTTAGCCACTGGTAATTACTTATACTTCTAATAAATTCCATTAAAAAAACATTTCAGCTTCAAAAGCCTTTCTAAATATGCTACTTTCCCATTAAAATAATCCCACATTTATCTTACCCTCACTTTTTTTATATATAAAAAACCAATTACCCTTAAACATTTAACTTTAAATGTTAATCCTAACTCATTCTAATACAAATAAAGTTGTCTAAAATTCAAGCAGACACCTTTTGAAATACATGGTCTCTCATTTCATCCCACATTTATCTTCCCATCACTTTGCGGATCTCTGACAAACATCACGCATACGCAGTGTATGGCCTGAATGAAATTGAAAAGGCAAACGCCAGCAGCTGAAATCGAACAATCTAAGCCAGCAAACTAGTTCATCATCTGCATCATCCCAAGGTCGGCGTCAAGAAATTCAAGAAATTCGGCCGGCAACAGAGAGAAGTTCGTTGGGTTTTCAAGCCCACGTCTCTACCACACAAATGCATCCACTCCCCGGAGGTGAAATTGCGTAATCCAAGAGAATATTATATCCATTTGAGCTGAGTTGGAGATGAGCTTGAGCTGAAACCTAGAAGCCGCAGCAGAGAAACCAGAATTTGAAAATGATTCCACTTTTATTTTTTTGCAGCTTGTACCCGGTAGTTGCAGAGTATGTTAAATGGGTGTAGATTTATGTGAACTCGATGTATGTTTATGGGTGTTTTATGATCATGAGTTTGTGAGTCATGAGGAGGTGTTTGATGCACGTCTTCCGATTCTTTTAGTTTAAAGGAAAACGCTTTGGGATTCATTGTGCATGTCTTACTCTTATTTCTTTTTATAGAGTCTCCTTAAACTAAAGTAGAATGTGAGTGTATATTTATTGTTTAATACAATTATAAGGTTAGCTAAAGCCCATTTTATTAGCTTTCTAGGTAACTCCCATTCGAGTCCAATTTAGTAGACTGTTCTGATTAAGATTTGGTGTTCGTTTCAAGTCAAAACCAAAATCCACGCTCCGGCGATGGTCACCTTGGCGCGAGGCTTCAGCGGCTCAGTTCGAGATTCGGTTTCGGATTCGGATCTCCAGCTGTGGCCCGCGTCAAGTGTTTGACAAACAGCCGCAAGTGTCCGCTGTCCAGTGGATGTGGATGCTTCATGCTCCATACTTGGATCTCCATCTCCGATGTTAATCTTTCGGGTTTCGCTTCGCCAAACAAGTTCGTCTCCAACGCGGTTCGGGTCTCTCTCGAACCAGTTTAGCAACTCCAGAGTAGCCGTTTCTCTGAGACGTCTGGGTCTCTCTCTCTCTGAATCTCTGTGAATCTCTGGCAGAATGGCTGCCTTGGTTCGAGCCGAGGCTAGCCGAAAGAGTTAGTTCTTCGACAGCCGACGGTCAGTTTGGGCGCACGCCTGCGCACAAGATTCCACCACCTCGTTTCGATTCGATCCGTTCCGATATCGTCGCTACTTGCCTCTTTTTCTTTTCCTCGATTTTGCCAACTTTCGATTTCGTTCGATAAACATCTATTTGTATATTCCAAAAAATAAATTAACTTAAATAATTCATAATTCGAACAAAACACGACCGACGACCGAGAAAAATATGCGTTGAATCTTCTCTACGCACAAACAATAAATAAAAAAGCGAAATCACATTTACAAAAATAAACATATTTTTACGGAATTTTCAGGGTAAAAGTGTGCGGAAGTGTGTAAAAAAAGATAAATACTTTTGCATAATATATAACTGAGTAACAGTCACGATTGGAATCATGCAAAAGTATTTGGTTTTGTCTGTGATAATCTGCATCCAGCTGCTGGGCAGTCTGGACAGGACGATGGCCTCGCCGCAGAAAGCAGCAGGTCCTGTAGCTGGTATGTTCCAAATAAAATTACCTACAAAAAAATTGAGAAAACAGAGCTTCCAATAAATATGTAGCTCTTGCATAACGCTTACACCATGAGAGAGGGAATCCTGGCCAGACTCTAGAGAGAAATGCACGCGACAAACGAAAATAAAAAACCTACTTTCACTTTCCGCTGGGATGAATGAATGTGCATTCGGGGCTGGAACGCTTAATTGAGGAGTTTTAGAGCCGAATATGGATGATATATAAACTGTGTTTGGACAGCTACCGTTCGCCGCCGCATTCCATTTGAATTTATCTCTCTTGTTTTTTGGCCCAATTCGATTTGTTTTGCCATTTCTGGTCCGAAATTAGTCAAATGTCTCGCCCGTTTCTGCACCTGCCTGCATTTTTATGGCCTCCGCTGCCGAATGTTGAAATGTTTGTAATAAAATAAAGCATTTCGTTGACACGAGCAGTAAAATAAATTAAGACAAGAGCCAAAATAAATCACTGAATAAAGGAGAGCAGCCTTAATTGAGTTAAAAACCAAATAAAGGCAAATAAAGCTCTCAACTGAAGGTCAGGGCCAAAAGGCTGTTCAGGGAATAAATATTGAAAATGGATTTAAATAGTTCCCCCGACAGATAACCATAAATCAGCTAATCCCGAGTTTAATCTTATCTTCGACATGCCAATATTTCGCTACTCCATAAAAAATTGCAACTGTTGGAGTTGAAAATAATTTATATCATTTATAAAAGTCAAAACATAATCATAAACTTGAAAATAACAGAAGAAACCCATTTAAATATTAAATATTCTTTTGTTCGGCTGGTGTAGCTGGGCTAATTAGCATAAACACACAAAAAATATTCTTCAATAAAAATGTTTAAATTATGCAGGAAGCGACACAGATTGATTTTTCGCTTGAATGTCAGCATTTATTTGCAGACGATTCTCGGCGAAATAAAATATAAAAGTTTTTAACTCATAAACTTCATGTCTCCCTATAAAATTTTGACAAATTTAACAAAGGTCACAGGCATCTTGTTTAATTTTAATTTTCACAATCATAATTACTTGGTGGCAGCAGCAAATTGACATTGACTTTTCGGCATTCTGCTTAATCGCCTCTTGAGCCGAAACTGGTTTATAACTCTTGTGTTAAATCACCTCCACACATAAAACTATATATATATAATCCAATAGTGTTTGCTTGAAAAATTAATAAACAATAAACGAATAAATACATATATTTCAATTTACGGTTATCTCTCAAGTTGATTGGCAAAAAGTGAAAGAGAAGTTGAAGTGCATGCAAATTTCAATGTTTGCTCGGTTCCTAATTAATTTGGCACCTTTTGATTGATGAAGGAACCGAGGACCAGTAAGGGTACAACCGGTCTTTAGTTAGTTTAGCTATAAATTAACAATATAGCCTTAATTCCCTGATGCAACACACGTGTGTGTGTGCGAAAGGTTTGTGCAAATCACAGATTGCAGCGAAAGGAAAGTGAATCCCCTTCATAGGAATTAGCAATATTTGCATTGAAGGTTTGGCAAAAAATTAGATAGTAAGGCTAATAGTCTAAACTATCAATTAGGAGTTTTAATTTTGGTATTATAAATAAGAAAGAATTATATTAAATAAAAAAGGTTTGAAGACTAACTTAGAACTAAATACGTTAACATGATTTTATAAATGAATCAAGTGCAAAGTTTAGTTAGTTTAGGTTTAAATTTAAACAATTTAATATTTTATAATTTTATAACTCATTGTTAATGATTTCTTTGATAACTTCATCGTCACTTACTTATCAATTCTTATTTATATTTATTTATTACCAACATTATTTATATTCGTTGCCTAGTTTTTGGAGTCGACTTTAATGCAAGCTGATTAGTTTTCTTAAGACTCTAATTACTATAAATTTCCTACAAAAATCCATTATAGGCTTATAAATAATGCAACCTTACAAAAAAAAAACTCTTGCCAAATATTCGCATTGTTTAGGGCAATGTTTTCTGCCGCCTCTTTGCATTGTTTGCGTGATGGAGTCGAAATGTTAGCTGACTTTTTGGGTCGTATTTTCACACGGACAACGTTGCGAATTTATTTGTATTTTGGAGTACGTCTACGCCCACTCGTTACGCCCCCGACATATATCTTGGCAGCGTTCGACAATCGGCATCATCGTCAGCACCATCAGCGTCAGCATTTGGCGAGGCCTTCGCAGAATGCTCGTAGATGGGCACACGCGGCGGATGATTAATTAACAGACATTAGCGGAAAGTCTGTTACGAAACAAAGGGGAAACCGCCGCCGTTTTGCCGTTACGAGTGTCGTTTTCCTTTTATTTATGGAAATAGAAAGAATATGCCGTAAATGACCTTCACATAGTTGCGGTGGCTATGGCCAAACAATGCTGTGGCCTTGATTCACATTCCCAAAATGAGTTCTAGTTCGATCTGGATTCGAGTTTGTGTGTCTTTCGCGTCATTGCGGATTATGCTAAAGTCACTCGGTTTTAAAATCGAGTTGAACTGGTTCTCTAGAGAATTCCTAGGAGGAATCAGAACCAGTTCCAGTTTGAAACTTTATTTTATTTCCCGAATGGACAGACTTTCATAACTCAATTTGTTCAACAAACATCTCGCACATCATCCGCAATTAGTCTTGTGACAAGCTGGAGAAATAAATAAATATATAGCTAAGATGTCCGTTTAAGGTGGGTACGGCATTTAAAACCAGAGATTAAGATGGGTTTTATGAGCTAGTTAATTAGTCAGTCGGGTGACTCAGAGCAGACTTAATGAAAGAACTCCAGTGATATATCATTTATTGTTTATGGCTCTTATAAACCACTTTAATGATTCTCTTTGGTAATTTTAATTTTGTTATGGGATTTTTATTTAAGAACTGGCCATCTAAGGTGATTGTGCTGAAGACAAAAATATTTAAACATAAATGTTGACATTTTAAACATTTCAAATCAAACCAGGTTTAGTCCTTGCCATTTTAGCATCAATTAAACATTTATAACTAGTTATATTTTGCGGAAATTCAAGGTTAGCGTTTTTTTTAGGAATTTCCTTAATGATTTGTGTGGGCGCAGATAATTTCTTAAGTCAACTTTATCTGCAAACTACTCATTAGAATGCTATCACCAAATAAGGTAGCTCTACCTGTTGTAGTCTCTAAAATGTAGAATCTTAAAGGAAGCATAAGGACATTTGTCCTTTGCTTTTTAAGTTTGAAGATGGCTCCTGCTATAAAACCCTTAATTCCTTATAAATACTTGAAGGCATCAATACCATATGCATTTTATATTCCTAAATTAAATAAATAATTAAACAATGGGAGTCCTTTTTGTCGGAATCCTCATCTCCACCCATGTTTCCTTACTCGTTTTTCGCATTAAATATGTATTTTTAGTATTTCTTCGTAAAGTTTTTTTTCCCTTTTTAAACATTTCTTATCCTCTTGCTTGCTTCTTTTCTTTTTTTAGACTGCCCGAACTGCGTGGACGAGTCACAGTACACGCCAAACAAGTGGACAATGCCGCTGCTGAAGCTCGGCGAGAAGCGCTACTACCTCGGCATCTTCTTCAAGGTAAGCAGCATTCCACGCCCCACAAAACGATCCATAAACTAAAAATGCAACTGACCCGACACAGCCAATATCCAATGGACAACGGACAACGGCCAACGTCCAACGGTTTCGCCAAGTCCGGTTTGATGGGTCTCGGGTTTCTCAAGAAGATTGCATATGGAATATTACAGCAGAAGGGGTGACCAAAGAAGCCTCACATTGCACATTGCAATGATCTGACTTTACTGGTTTTTTTTTTCTGGAGGCAAAGAAATATATTTAACATCGATTTTCATCTTTGGTTTTAGGGCAACGCCTCCACTCGGCCCAGTTTTCTTAAATTAATAACGGCAATTTCAAATTAATTCGACTGTCATCGTTTCATTTGTCAAATGATTTATCTTGTCAATATGGTATTGATTAAATTAGTCAAATGAAATATTAATTTGTAGATTATTCATCATGGTTTAATATGGATATATATTTAATTAATTCAGTTAAGCTTAGTTATTGTTGTTTATCGATATTGGTTGATCTAATATAAAGAGTAAAATGTAAAAGCTCACATTTAATCTAGTTTAAACTCTTGCAGTTTGAAATTGGATTAAAGACAGAATTTATAATAGATAATTAATATTTTTAAAATTGTTTATAAAATATGAAATATTTTGATATTAATAAGTTCGGATTTTAATGGTCAATCGGAATATATATGACTTGCTTTTTGAACCTCTAAAACCCCCTTTTGGGGTATTATAATTTTAGTCAAAAGCTTGAAAAGCAGTCAAGGAATCATTTCCGACCCCATAAACCATATATATTCTTGATCAGCATGAGCAGACGAATCTTTCTAGATATGTCAGGAAGAAATCGATTTTTTGGCCATTTTTGCAAAATTTTATAAGGGGTTACATCATTAACATTTTTGATTTTGATAAAAAATTGAATTTTCAAAATTTTTAAATGAAGTATGCAGATTTATAAACTGTAGAAAATCTTGCACAGAACAGTTTTCCGATTTAAAATTAATGCTCTTTTGGCCGAGTTATGATATTTTTAATTTAAAAAAAAATCAAGAAGTTTTTTAATATAAAAAATCAGATTTTATAATACAAAATAATATTTTTCAAGTCAAGGAATCATTTCCGACCCCATAAACCATATATATTCTTGATCAGCATTAACAGGCGAATCGTTTAAGCCATGTTTGGAGGAAAACAAATTTTCACCCATTTTTGCGAAATTTGATAAGGGGTTACATCATTAATATTTTCAAAAATACCCAAAAATTTTAATTTCTTTAAATTTTAAATTTGATATGCAGTTTTTTTAAATTTATTAAAACTAACACAGAACTGCTTTCCGAACCGAAATTAATGCATTTTTGGCTTAGTTATGATATATTTAAATTATTACATGCAAGGGTATACAAACTTTGGCTGGCCAACGTTAGATATCTTGCAAAAATTTTTAAAAATCACAATCATTAAATTACAGCAAATACCAGTTAAAATTCAATATCCAACCTCAATATCACATCGATTACACCAACAAAAAACCCGCCTAGAACTGAGCTCAATGCCAGTTTGTTTGAAACAAAAGCCAGATAACAGAAATATAAAACTAAAAATAAGCCCAAGACAAAAACAAAGTACCAACGAGCATCGACCATGAGTAAAAAATAAAGTAGGGTATCAAAAAAAAGGCGCGTGCTTGGCCACGCATCGCCAAATATGATAAAATACAGTAACAAAACAATAACTAGCCGCTATTCATATTAAAAGCAAATTAGTCAAAGCATCAAAAACGCATCCAATGAACCGCTAGCAACTCAGGCGGGGCCATATACTGGTTCCACATCGGACTGAATTATATTTTCATATTCATAAAATGCCCAGCAAAGTCTCCTTGAACTTTAAAAGGCGAAGCCATCAAATGGAAGCTAAGCTGCCTTACCTTTGTAAAGGCAATAATAATAATAAGCGGATGCATATATTCATTGAATACATTTTTTATAGGTGGTCAGTCATCAATGGGCTTGGTTTTTAATTTTCAGGAAGAGAGGTTAAAAGGTAGATTTATTGGTTAATTAATAAATCCGCAAACTTGGCAGAACCTCGTATAAAATCATAAAATTAAATTCCCCAGTAAACCAAAATCTGTCACAAATAAAACCACCAAGAACTCCCGTTTAATCTTAAATTCTTTGGCATATTTAAAATGTTTTCATTAATTTTTTATAACTCTCTCCTAGCAATGACAAATAAATCTTCACCGTTTCAATTTAATGTTAATTGCGGTGACAGCGGCGGAGAGCAAATAAATACATATTTTATCAACTTTTGTTGCATATTTTGGTTTATGAACGTTTCTTTCTGGTGTGTAAATAAAACAATTCTATTTGGAATATGCCGCCGATAAACAACAACGAGTTGAGTGGGAATTGAATTGAATTAATTATTAGATTGTTAATTAATGAGCACCTTCCTACGACCAGTCAGCGGCTGATTAGCCAGCTGATACCAAAAGCCACCCAGCAGGGAATAAAACGAAACAAAGCCAAATCCAAACACTAAATAAATCCATAAATATTCCCCAAATTTTATTTAACTAACGGTACCTCATTCTCTGCTCGCTCTAACACCCACAATTGCCCAGCCAATTGTCAAGGCGATTAAAATTTAAAGCAACTCACAAGCTCACAGCATTGACATTTTAATTTGAATTTAATTTTTAATTCCATTCATCCGATTGTACACTTAAATCGAGATAGGGAATGTGGTTATTTTATGGTCAGCTTAAGGTTCTTATACAACGGATATTATATATAAATATTTGATGATTTTAATTAATTTGTTTTTATATTTTATATGCCATTTACTTGTCTTATAATTTAAAATTATATTAAGGAATAAAATAATTCAAGAAATATAAGTAATGTTAGCTTAAGAAAGACTTATTAATTTTGAAATATTCTTTAAATTCTACGAAAAATATGAATATTCATTGATATGGAGCTTATCTTTACGACTCTGGCTTAAATTAATTGGAATTTAATTTGGAAGTACCTTTGTCTTAAACTTAAAGTTCTTATACATCAATTCTAGGCAAAATATGAATATTCATTGTTATTGTCATTATCTTTACGACTTCTGAATATTAGCATAATTCAAAAATCTGCTGTGATTTTGACCACCTATAAAATCCACATTGGGGAAATGTTTTCTTTCGTAAGTTCTTACTCAGCACCGAATTTAAATATATTAATATTTTAATAGGCATAACAACTTTTTTTAGAGAGCATTCCAGAGTTCGTTGAACAGATGAAATGAAGCTTAAATATTTCATTTGTATAAATCGCTGCTCACTTTTCTTTTGTTCTTTCCTTTTTTCGGTGAGTTAATTAACCCCGCAAAGTGTTTTCCGATTATTTATGGGTTTATCTAATTAAGAACTCCTTTTGGTATTTATAAATACACAAAAAGTCATTCAGATCTTTTTTCGGTTTCTTTTTCGCCACATATTACGCAATAATATGGGCAATTTAATGCAAATTCATTTCGTGTGTAAATATGCAAATGAAGCAATTATATGTTGTCGTTTTGTTTTTTCTTTTTTAAGAAAAATAAGACTTGACAACCGCACAGCGGCAATCGGAGGCATAATGTCATTTCAGACTCCAAGCAGGCGCAAATCAAATCAAAGCTAATTGAGAGACACCTGGATATTAAGAGGGGGACCAGGTGTAAAGGTGTAGCTCTGCTAATGACGTTAGCAACATGGCCAATATTTTGTTGCCACTCAATTGAGTTTGGTGTAAAACTTCCATCGTTTAATTGGACGACTTTTGCGTAGATCAAATGACTTGACAGAATTTTGTGGGCTACAACTTAATTAAGGCAAAAATTGTAAAGAAATACAAATAATGTTTAAATTTAAACGAAATTTTTACTATAAAAATTCAGAAATGTTGTAACTTGTTTAGTCTAAATAGTTGTATTCTCCCTGAATATATAAGCTTAGAGAAAAATGTCTCCCACACAAAGTCTTTTGGCTGCCAGTTAATCTCACAAAAAACCCACAACAAAGACTACGCCACAGCTTGACAACTTTAAGAACTCCTTTATGGGTTTCCTCTTTCCTTTTTGCCCCAAAACTAAAATCAGAGCAATAAGTGACTTTGACTTGGACCAGGACCTGGCTTTGTTATGAACCAGAAACCACGTTTCACCTCTTGGCAAGCGAAACTAATTGACTTCTTGGCGGAGCGAGATGAACCTTTTACGTCCCAATAAACACTTTCAGGCCGCAGACAAGTGAAGGCATTAAACACCTTCCAGCAGCCAGCAGCCAGCATCCTTGCCGCACGTGTGTGGCATGTCCTGGCTGGATCCCTGCCGTCTGCCCTGCTGCCGGCAGTTCCCGCTTTATTCGCGCACAATTACGGCTAATACAATTAAAGCCAAGTTAATGGCGGGAAGGACGAGGCAGTGAGAAAGCTCGGCAGGATCCCTGCTGCAGGATGGATAGTTGCGTAATCGATTTATGTGCACATCAGCTCACAGGCACCGCAATCAGCAGGAGATACAGCCACAGTGCAGCCAAAAAAGAACTTAGGATAGGATGGTTAAAAGGAAATCCCTGTGGTTTTCAAATCAATTTAAGGAGTGCTTGGGAGTATTTAATAAGAAATTAGGTCACTAATTTGTAGTAAATATTAGCTAAAGGCTTTTGCTTTGCTTTGCCTTCTTAATTTTCAAAATATTAATATATATATATTAATTTATATCCTGCTGAGTTAGGAAAAAGGATAGCTAAGCATCACTGCTAACAACTAACCAAACCGATATGTTTTTTTCACCCAATCTCGCTAATGACCGTCCAAAGTCCATTAGAGTTAATTGAATATGTAGTGCGGGGCGCACAGGATATTTGATGGCCATATAGCCTCAGCCCAATTCAGATTTCGATGCCAATTTCGATTCTGATAACAATTTAGATGGGCAAAACCGCATCAGATACAGAAACAAACACTAATTGGCAAACCAAGCCCACGCAGATAAACTCGATTTCAATGCGAACATTTCACACATGGCAACCGATGGAGGCAAACAAAAAAAAACAGTAACAGAAATGCAAACAAACCTCGTTGAATTTTATTGACAGGTGTCACAGGTAAGAGGAGAAGAAGGAGCAGAGTAAACACCGAGATTGAATGAAGGATTGGGAGTTGGATTGGGACTTGGCTTGGAACTTGGCTCTGGACTGGGAGCTGCTCTGGTCTCCGTGTTGGGGGAAACTGGGTCAGCCGGCGATTGTGCAAACACAATTATATAATCTTTAACTTGGCATGCATCTTAAATTCAATTCAATTCAACTACATGTCTGTTTTTCTCCATTTCCATTCCAGGCGAACTGGTTCAAAGCCACCCAATACTGCCGCTACCATGGCATGCATCTGGCCAGCATTTCATCACAGGAAGAGAACGATAGACTGGAGAAGCACATACGTGACTTTGGTGAGTTGAAGTCTGAGAGAGGAGGACCTTTCTCCTCTGGGGATAACTTGATTAAGGAGGGCATCCAAGGATTTATCGAGAAGTTTTTTGTTTGGTCAGGGAAATCACATTTGGCTTAAACAAAAACTATGGCTTGAATCCAACGAAAAAAGTTTATTTAATAAGGTTAAAGGTCAGAGATATTACATTAAAGAAAATATAATTTAAAATATTTAAAGGTACCTAAAAAGTAAATTAAAAAGTATGTTAATAAGCTTATCTTTTGTTTATCATATTAACTAAAAAGGCTTCTTTAATTAGGACGCTTTTCCTACTCTTCATAAAAACCTTTGATTCAAAGCAAAACTCACACAAAAATCGAACCAAATCAAGTTCAAGCCTCAATTCAGTTTGAATTAAAATAAATCTTTCAATTGTCTGACGGGGCCAATCAAAGCATATTTACCAAGTAACTGTGACAAAACCCTGACAGCCTGCATTCATTTTGCCACATTGCAGCAACCCAAATCAGTTGAAAAGCCGATCAATATGACAATAGAGCCGACCAGCAAACAAAAGCTACAAAGGCGGAATGGTACTAGAAATGGGAATATGACAACTGGTGACCGGGGGAACTGAACTGAACTGCATTTGTGTGAACTGGCTGTGACTGTGGTGGTCACTGGAGTGGACTTTCTAACATAATACACGGAAGTTGGTAACCGAAAACCGAGCTTGTATGTGGAGAGCTTGGAGAGCGGAGTAACGAACTCCACCGGTGCACTTTCCATTGCATAAATCTTCATAGAAACAAACACAGGGCCAACAGTCGTCGTCGTTGAATGCAAAAAAAGTGAATGTTGCACATTTTTGTTGAAAGCTGACCGCCGCAAGGGCCATGGGCAAAAACCACGCCCACTCACACACAGGAAAATGTCAGGGGAAAATGATCAACTGGGGACAGAGAAAAGTTTTGGTAGTAAACTATGAAATAACTAGTACTTGGAAGCTCTTGAAAGTAAATAATTAGCAAGAAAAATACTTAGCTTTGAATACTTAGAAATAAATTATAAATAAAATGATTTAATTTATATTTTTAACAGTCAAAACTATACTAAACAAGTTCACTGCAAAACTTCTGACTTAAATTATAATACTCTGCAATATATATTCAAATATAATATATATGTTACCTTAGTTAAAAAACCCTAACCCTATGCTCTGGGTAAACCCTCTCTAACCGATTGTCTCCCGTTTTCATTTCATTCAATTTCCAGGCCTGGGCCACGAACATTTCTGGATTTCCGGCACCGACCTGGCCGATGAGGGTAACTTCTTCTGGATGGCCACCGGTCGGCCCATCACATTCACCAACTGGAACGCCGGCGAGCCGAACAACTTCCGGTACGAGAATGGCGAGGAGGAGAACTGTTTGGAGCTGTGGAATCGCGATGGCAAGGGCCTCAAGTGGAACGATTCACCCTGCAGCTTTGAGACCTACTTTGTCTGCGAAGTGCAGCCCAATTAGGAACGCAGAATCCGCAGGATCCACAGGATCTTAACCTGATTAGTAAGCTAGCAGCCGCTAAAGGGAAAAAGTGGATGTGAATGTGCATAATGTTAAGCTGATAGACAGACACAGCCTGATGATCGGACGAAATTCGCGTAATCTTAGCTTAGTTGCGTAAGTGTAAAAAATTCTTGTTGATAATTAGCTAGTAGAACTAATTAAATTATGCCTAGGAATGCCTGTATTTTCTCATGTAAAATATAAATAAAATTTATTGATAAATTAAGTTAAACGATTTTGTGGGTTATTTTTGGTTTGCAGGAATATAGAATAACACATTTAAAAACAGGTAAGCTTATAAAACTACAAGTCTATTATCTTTTTTTAGGTATAAATACGCTGAGAGTACTTTTAAATTTGAATTAAAGGAATTTTGTACATTTAAAAAGGTTACTTGTTCTTATACAAAAATAAAATAAATTAATCCTTGCTGTACTACAGATGCTCTTTGTGTCTTTTGCTATGTTTTCTGTATATTATTTCCAATAATATACTCTACTCTATTCCATTAACTCTAATTTAAAAGGTATTATTTAAATAACTTTATCTATTAAATTAAACACCAATAATTTCGACTCATTTCCTGCCTTTTTAAATAAGATTTATCACATAATTTCTACATTTATTTCAATCATATAATAATAACATTTCACGATTATATCCCTCCCATATATTTTTTAATTAGCTTTATTGCTGCCGTCTATACAAATTTTTTAAGCCACAAAATGATATCCATCAATTGTGGCGACGCGTTAATTTTGCAGAGCTCCGGTTTTGTCGGGGGGTGGGGGGCGGGTGAAAATAAGCTCATCATTTGATCAGCATCGGCGCTTTCCCCACGGGGTGCAACGGTGCGTATGAGCAATCCTCGCGCCCTTCTACTTGCCTCCCGCTCGCTCTCCAATAATCATGTTTTGCCATAATGCGCGCAAATAAAATTGAAAGTGCCTGTCAGCAGGCACATACATACTATATATATATATATATATGTGTATATCCTTTTCTCCAGGGAATGCAGCCACCTGTATGTCTGTCCGACTGACTGTCTGTCTCCTCTCTCTCACTCTCTGTGTGGCAACTAAACAAAACTAATGCTGATAAAATAATCAGCTGGCGGAGACGAGGACGAGGAGAAGGCAAAGAGAAGGAGAAAAGGACTTGGCGTTGAGATTTCCATCCATGATTTACTTTGTTCTGCTCCAGCGATGAGAGAAGAGCTTTCGGCGAACATTGTTGCCAGCGATTCGCGACTTTTCTTTTATCCCAGTGCCAGCGCCAGCGCCTCCTCCTCGTTGTGTGTCTGCCTGTCTGTCTGTCTGTTTGGTTGTCCCGGTTATCTGTCCTCGTGTCCAGCTGTTGGAGAACACGCCTCCGAAGGCCCAGGTCTTCTACTCCTTCTGCTGCTCCGCCGGAACAGTCGCCGCCGGCAAGGGCTAGTCACAGGAACAGGACCCGGGGGAGTAGACAGGACCTGAAAAACGTGCTTAACGTAAGTTGTTCGTTGTTTTTGGGGATTTAAGAGAGCAAAGCTCTGGCACAGGCGCAGGACTTAAACGAAGAGAGCGATGAACAAAGAGAAATCAGCTGGTGAGGAAAGGATAAAAAAATACAACATTTAAAAATCTGAACAGTTTGCAAAATATGGAATATTTGTGTTTCTTTATATTCATTACAATTAAACTTTTATATTAATTAAATAAATCAAAAAATCAAAGTTATGTGAATTTAAAGATTAAAAATGATTATTAACAAAATAACTATGAACTAAAAAATAATGATTTTTATTTATTAAAATTAAAAACCATGTTGTAATATAATTTGTAATTTGTGGAGTAAATTAATTTCAGTATTATAGTAAATAATATATTTGTAATAATTTATTTGTAATAAATTTTTTATTCTTAAAGTTCTTAGATTCAAATTTAATTGTTAAAAAACCTAAGGCATAAATTACATATATCCTAAAGTATCTTTTCAACTTTAATATAAGCTTCAAAACTTTAACAGCATAACATCTTTATAAAAAACATACTTTTCTGTTTGCAGTCTTTTAGTATCACCATTTTCTATTAATTTTGAAAGTGTTTCCCGTCATTTTGGCCAATTAATCAATCACCTATCACCCCGACGTCACAGCCAGAACATTTAAATTCCCATCAATCAGCCTTCGTTCATCGGCAGCTCTAACACTTTGTTTCCAAAAAAAAGTACTTTCTCTTCTTGGCCAAATCTCTCGAAGAGAATGCCAACGTTTTTTTCTCTTTTCAAACAAATGCAAAAAGTAAATTGAATTTAGCATTCTGGCCAGAAGAACACGGCCAAGAGCACGACGCACTCCGTGGTGCGTTCTCCGTTGGCCGTTCTCAATTTCTCAGGTCTCGGTTCACGATTATCGGTGCTCATTTTCCGGCGCAGTTGGTTGTAGACATTTTCCCGGTACGGACGTGCGTGTTGAGCGGTGGAAATTCTCGAGCACACACACGTTGCGAACGTTGAGCACGAGAGCCGAGAATAAAATATATTCACATAAATTCAAATTCCGTGGCGTTCGCCTCTCGGTTCCAGCGTCCTTTCGGGAAATTCATTAGCCGGAAAAAAGGCGGAGAGAGAGAGGAGAGGACTAGGCGCGGTGAAATGTCAACTGGCCAGTGCAAATAATAATTGTCCATGGGGCCAACCAAGAAGTGCGTAAATTATGACATCGGAAAAGTTTAAACAAAAGGAAAAATAGAAGAGGAAAAGTTCAGATAAAAGAGAGTGTGTGTCTCTTCGGGTGGCTCCCTGACTATCTCTGTGTGTGCGTGTGTGTCCTGATAACATCGCAGAAAGTAAAATTAGGGCAAACTGCTGGAGAGAGTGTGTGTTACTGCCACCGCCATCGCCACTCCCACCACTTGACCGCCCTGGCTTAAAGTGTTCCTCGTTGTCGCAGCCTAATTAATTCAATGGCTCTCGGGCACCTCGATTTGTGGAGTTCCCTGAAAAAGGCCACAGAATTTTTATAGTCCCTTTTGTAGTTACTTGATATTTGGTAGGGAAACCCTTTTTAAATGTCCCTAGAAATTACTAAATATTTTTATTTTAGTATAAAGTTAGTTTAAACCTCTTTGAGAAGCCCCTGAATTAACTTTGCCGAACACATTTAAACATGGAACTAAAAAAATTTCTTTTATTATATTAATTTAATATTATAAGCTCTCAAAAACTCAATTTCCTCCCTCCCATCAACTTGATATTTTTATACGCAACCACAACATATTATATTGCAAATCCCAGGGGAGAAGCTGTGGGGTATGCCCCCACATTTACATGCTATTCTTTTGAACAAACAACATTTTCGTTGGGTTAATTATTTTTAAATTGCAAAAACATTTCATACGCAGAGACCGCAGAGCAAACGCAAAAATTTATAAATAAATATACCGATTTTCATGGCCAAACAACGTGGCACACAGAAAATGGGCGACGACAAAAAAACGGTCGAGGGGCATCCATCCTCTCTGTAGGGCAAAAACCTCCGTAAGCCATAAAACCAAAAACAAAGAAGCAACAAAAAAAAAACACAAAACAACAAAATAACGAGAGAGAAAAGTGAATCAAAAGTGGAATGAAAAGTATCCGAAACTGAGTGACAAGTGCGATTCGACACAGTATTTTTTTGTGGGGCCTACAACCCTCCTCCGGTCTTCGGTTGAAATGTGCGAGAATTTATGATGCATTTAATTAAAACGAATTTCGGATGACCGGGGACGGATGGGCACGGGACATTTGCTCGCAAATTTGATGGTCAACAAAAAAGGGACTAAGGGCAGGTCTCTCGAAATGGGAGACACAACTGCGCCTAACACTCGACTACAGGAATTTCGATAGTCAAAAAAGTTCATAAAATATACAAAACAACAATGGAATAATTTTATTTTTAATAAGGAACTCGTTTTATATATTTTCTTAAATCAAAACTCTTTTAAAACTATTTTAAAAAATACTTTGGATAATAAATAGTGCAGTTTTTATCGTTTTTATCGATTAATATATATAATATTACTATTCAAAAGATTTGTGACTAAGAACATACATCTTTAATGGGGTGTTGTCTTCACATTCAACCTAAAAACCAATTATTTCCAATTTTAAATAATTAATATCGATTCTTTAACTTAACTCAGTATATTAATCACTGATTACATATCAAATATAATCGATATCCATGAATCTAATGCAATTTATAGCATCCTAGACCCAACAGAACTTTACTTTTATTTATATATACCGACTTCCAATTAAATATCGATTAATTACATAAAAAAACCACTCTCTTTGCTGGCCCTCCTCCTCCTCCTTCTCCTCCTCCTCCTCGTCGCATGACTTACTCAACTCGGCTCGCGTTGTGAGTTTATTAAAAAATCCTTACCAACCGCCGTCGCCGAAATTTCCTGTGGTTCTCCGGTTTCGCCGGCTGCGTGCCTAGTGTAATTTGGCTATGTGTTGACACGGCCACCTATTAGCCCACCCAAAAAAGCACCCGGAACCCCACCTATTGTTGCGACCTTTCGGCAAATGCGTGAGTCACATGTCAGCCAACTGCGAGAGTCGTCATCGTTCTGCCAGCCCTCCTCCTCCGGTTGTCCCTAGCCGTTCCGTTCCGCATTTCCGTACTTTCGTATTCCGCTCCATCTCGACCACTTCACGTCATGTTCGGCCCACAACAAACATGACATTTTACGGTTCTTTTATGCTTGCCACATGTCACGACACAGTTAACTGCCAGCCGCATAACGCAGAGCGGCAGGAAAAACACAAGCCAGCATAACATAACGCAACTCGGCCCACTACCAAAGCCCAACCCAGTCGAAACCAACCTAACCGAAAGGCGACTATAATATAGGGTTGTGTCAGGGATGCATTTTAATGTCAAAAATACAGGCTACAAACATTTTCTTTAGACAATATTTACTTTATTTTGGAAATACTGATAAACAGGATATATAATCGCAATTTTAATAATTATTTCGGTTTAAGTTTCCCTTTAAAAAAGTGTATATAAGTAACGAATCGACCTCCCCTGACGATAAAAATTTATGCCAGGACCAAGTCACCATGACATACAGGGTTTAATGGCTTCTTTACCACTATTTTATGCTCGTCAAGATCTATGACATGACTCGTCTGGTATGCTCAACTCTACCTATAAAGGGCCATATATTTATATGCACAAATATTGCTTATCCAGGTATGCAATTATGCAAAAAGGTGGGCGTGCTCTTGGGCCGGGGGACTCTCGTCTGCTCGGGCTGCTGTCAATCAAGGGGAAATCGAAATTGCTGTCGACAATCGTGAGCTTTTAGGGTTAAATTTGGGATAACACCAAAGGGACATCAATTGATGAAATGCCAGGTGACGTAAGGGGTAAACGGATTGGTAGTTCAACATTAAAAAAACAAGGTTTAGACTAAGAGGTACTCTTGAAAAAGTTTTTGGGGAAAGTAAATCATTAAAAAGTATTCTTGAAATTAAAATATATTTTAGTGATTACTTACAAACATATAAGACTATATATTTGAGTTACAAACTGAATACTCCCCACATTAAATGAGATCCAGGTAACATTAGGCAGAACCCTTAGGTGCTTGAGGGTTGACTCTTTTTATTGCCGTCACTTGAGCCAATATTTGCCCATTTCAACAATGTTTCCTTTTATTTTTTTTTATTCCACGTGGGCGTAACTCTATCTAAGTCCAACCCTTGCCTTTTCCAGCGAATCCTTCTCCTGCTTAGCCATGCATGCTTAAATGTAATGAAATATCCTGTTCCGTTCTGTTCCGTCGTCGTCAGTCTGCTGCTGGTCGCATAAAAAGGCTCAATTCAATTTTTCCACGCCCCCCCAGCCCGTGGTTTCCTACCTCCTCCTGCCCACCGTTTCGGTCTGCTGCCAATTCAAGTCTCCATTTTCATTAGGGGAAAGAGACGGGTCCAAACACTGGAGGTCCTTCAGGTGCTCACATGCTCGTGCACAATGGCCCCCCAACTCGTTGAGCTTTGTTGGAGTTAACCAAGTGGTTAGGGTGCTTCATCATCTATGCAGCAGGGGCGGCAGTGGGAGTAGCAACTCCTACTAGGGATAGGATGTGGATGCTTGCTGCATATAATTAAGTCATCCGGCTGAGGGCTGTCCTCGGCTATGCATCTGAAAGTTGAGCAAATTATGATGTTGCAGGCAACAACTAAATAATTTATTTAATTCAATTATTCCAGCTGCAGAAGAGGGTCCTTTAAGCTCAAATGTACATACATTTTTAGATCCCAGTTTAAAGTACAATTTTCCCGTAGAATCCCCCACTTAAATTTCACAATACCCATTCAAGATCGTCGGCTCCTTGGTGATCCCTTCTGTTTGCACTTTTCATTTCCATTTCATTTCGCAAAGCTCTGCTGAGCCCCTGCGCAATGTTTCATTTGTTGGTTCGTGCCTCCTCCACTTCAATTCCAGTTAAGAGGCCACAGGACTGGCCGCATTGAGACATCCTAGATGTTTCAATCGTCGCTTTTCCCACCAACGTTTACCACGTGCAATCTTGACCATCTCCTTTTCCCAGTTTCCTGTTAGGCGGTGGCTTTTCCCCTAAACTTTTCCCCAGTATTTCTCTTCTGTGTTTTTTTCTTGTGCTGCCTTCCTGTGTTATTGTTGGCTGCGCACTTGAGTTGTTCGGCTCGCCCTTTATTGTTCTCGCAGCGACTTTAACCCCTTGTGGGCCTTGCCTGGTCTCGACACGTGAACGTGAGCAAGTGGCCCGCCGAAGCGCCCCTGGCTTCTCATGGGCCCCCAGGCAGGCGGGCAGGCACGCGATGCACTTGGCCAAGTTACCTCAGCCCGAGCACCTCTCTTACCCATTTGTACAGCCGCCTTTTCAACCCAACCCCCTTTTCAACCCCCTTTTTCTTGGCCCTTCTCCGTCAGCAATTGCAACTGTTGGCAATTTTTTTTGTGCTAGCTACTGGGTACTACTTGCACATGGCTGGGAAGGGTATGTACAGGTGGAAGTGTCTGCAATTCAAGATTTTTTATATGACAATTTTAATGAAGTAAACCCTTACATATATGATTTGTGTTGTTTATAATTTCGGAAATCAATCCTTCAAAAAATTACCTGTACTCAAATGCAACTAACATACTGAGTAACTCATAGGTCGATATACCTTTCTACTATAAATGTTTTCTGCTTGTTTTATTGTGCCACAATATGGACGGTGGGGAAAAGAGTTTTGGAGGCCAGAGAAAATAATTTTCATGCTCACGGACGGAAGGCGACGATGCCGGCACTCGAGGGCATTTTTTATGAGATGCCTGGGAAAATGCGGCGACCAGAGTTAGAGCCCCGCCCGGTTAACTTTCCGAGTTGATGAATAATTTAAGGGCTGAACACATGTTTTAGTTCGCCATTCCGGGCGACGCGACGGCAGTGAGCCAAACAAATCGGTCGTTGAAATTGTCTGATATGAAATTGCCTATTTCCGGCTCCGTCTGACTGCAGAGGAAGTCGCCATGGGGATGCTGGATAATGGAGGATGTGGAAGGTAACCAAAAGTTGCTGGCCAGCAACCAAAGAGCTTTTCCTCTGCATCTCCATTTCGGTGTGTGTTTTTCTGGTAACCAAAAAGAAAGAAAAAAGATAACAATCAACAGAAAGTTTCCTTTTGCTTCTCAGACTCTTGGTCTTGGTTTTAAATTTCATGAGGCAAAGCAAAATATTCCTCTCCAAGTTGCAGGCAACTTAATTTACTTGGTTATCCCAGTTTCAGGACTTAAAGGTACAAAAACAAATGCAAAAGGACTATGAAATCGAGCTCCTTGAAGGAAGCTCCTACATTAATTTCAAGGAGCTTCAGCCGGTTGCCGGGCAATCTTTGAAGCCGATACAGAAAATATTTTAATTAATTTTGCACAATCATAAAGTCGGGCTTGAAGAGGAAATTAATTGAATTTACGACCTTGAAATCGAGACCAAAAAAAAAGGAAGAGAGGAAAAGAGAGAGGCTACCCGAAAGGAAATTCGACCAGCGGCCTGTGGCATTAAATTGAAATATGAACATGAAAGCATTTTCATTTCCATTCATCAACCGGGGCCCCGACGACCTTAGAGACATTAGCACATTCACACACCATGTTTTATGTGTGTGTGTGCGTACGCCCCCTCCACCCCCCTCCTGATACTCACTAGCAATATTTATCAAAACAAGTGGAAGAGACACACGCTCTCTTTCTGGGAGGTCCGGAGGCAAGACGTAAAAAACAGGACGTGCCGGGGTCACCAACTTATCTTCATCTGGCTGTGGGTAAAAGTGGGAAAAGCGGGAAAGCAACCACTTCCCAACCCTCGTTTGTCTGCCATTGACGGCCCGTGCGTGGCCAACTCCTCTTTTTAGCACTCTCCCTATTTTGCAGTGGGAAAAATAATACAGGAAAATAGATAACTAGAAAATGAGTAGGAAATATAAACACAAGTTTCTGTGCTCCACAAAATACCTTAGTTACTACTTAACACTTTACTTAATTACTTACTAGACTTTTTCTTCAGGTGCACTATTTGGACTTGGGCCAGACAACGAAACGAGGCGGCGATAATTTAGGGCACACGTAACGTAAAACGAAGTCGGGCAGAAGGCGAAGGTTCCTGGGGATACTTTAGGAGATAGCCTCGGTCCCTTTCTCATTTCCTTCTCGCGGAAGTCCCTTTTCGGCCCAGCGCCAGGACATTAGGGATAATCATTACGATGATAAGCACGAACGATTTGATTTCTCCCGTTTATGAGGCCGTTGTCATCGACAGTTTGGATAGGATGGCCCAGAGAAGGAAGCAAAAGGGAAAAAAAACAAATAGAATGGAATAGAAACTAGGGGATGAGGTGCCTTCTCTTCGATCGGAAATGCTGGGCTTATGTTTTGGGGTCTTTGTGTCTTTGTTTGGCTTTGCTTTTGTTTCGATAAGTGACTCAAGTGGCTTTTGTAGCTTTATTTTTATGGTTACACTCCCGTGCGTACCCCTTAGTGGTCCTGTTATAGTTCACAGCTCATTTTGTTTATTATTATTAAACGTTGCCAAATTTGTAACAAAGTGAGCACCTGTTGTGTTTTGGGATTTATTTTTTAATGTTTTCATTGAAAAATCAATAAGAGTGAACAAGTTTTGAGATGAAAAGTTTGAGAAACAAAACTACTATAAAATCTAGAATATCATAAACGAAATATTTCTCTTTTAAAAAATGTTATAAAAAGTTCACAGCTAAAAGTGTTTATAATTTTAGTTTTGGCCACATTTATTCAATGGCCTTTTGTGCAGTTTTCCATTAGAAACTTTTTCTTTGGCGGAAGTCCGCTTTTTATTTTATTATTTTCAATTAGAAACTTGATAAATGCGTTTAGCCTTTCAGCCAGTGCTTCTGTGGCCAAAAAATCCTCATTATGGTTCGGCTTTCCCCATTTTTAATCCCCTCCCTTCCCCCCTGCTACACTTTCCACTTCATCCCGTGCACACAAATGTGTTTTGGTTGAGCTTTTAAAAAAGTTTCCGCTTCCTGTTATATGTATATAGAAATTTCTCATTCTTTGCGCGCACTCATTGTGTTGGCACTTTATTCACAATTTTGGTTTTTTTTGCGTGAACTTTAGATTTGACCCAGTTTCCTGATGCTGCCGCCTGCCTTAACCCCAAAACGGAAAAGTTGTTATTGCATATATTTCGCTCAGACAACGCGGCGTATGCGTAATGCCTGTGGAAAGTTAAAGAAGCATTCGCCACGCTCGACGTACTTTGCATTTGGGTGTGTTTGTCTAGGCGAAAACTAACAAGCAAATTTGCTTTTAATTTCCAAAAAGCAAAAGCCAAAGCTAAAGCCGAAGCCGCTTAGCGTTTCGAATTCATGAACACAAATATTTGAGGAGAAGGGAATTGGTTGGGACTTGTACTTACAAACACTTAATGACAAAGTAAGTCAAAATGTAGCGTCAACATTTGCCCATACATCATGAGATAAAAGCGGGAATGGGAGTGGCTAGAAGGAGGGTGAATAAGGATGGCAAGGATAGAAAGCGAGCGAGAGGTTTAAGGACTTTGCTAACAAATGGCATCATCACTTTCACTTTACCGAGTTGCAGCAGCAACAGCAGCGAGACAGTGCGGTCTGCCACTATAAGTCAAAGTCGCTTAAATCTAGATATCAAGCGAACTAACCTCTAAACTTATGACAAAAGACCCATTCAAGTTAGAGGAACTATTTTGGAATTATTTGGGTATTAAACTACAAGGGGATTTTACTAACAAGAAGAAGGGAAATTTATATTTTGATGAGCAGAAAGATTTAGAAGAACTTTATTCTTTTTTTTAGTATTTAAGCATTTAATAATTTATTAAATAATAGTATTTTAAAGATTATAAATTGACTGATAAACTAATTTTTTCAATAATTAGAATCAAATTAAAAAAATTTTTTGGCATATAGAAAATTTTAGTGAGCTTTTGTTAATCAATGATTTAAATGATTTCCTAAAATTAACCTTCTAGTAAAATAATCCTTATAATTTCGACTGAAACTGTAGCCTCTTGGCTCACTTAGGTTAACCCACATTGACAATGAGGCAAACATCAGGCAGACAACGGATGAGGGATAGAGAGCAGACTTGTTCCCTTTGCCAGGCCATCCTTAAAAAATCCACACGAAGAACAGAGAACTCTTTCATCAGCAGGAAAAAGAGTACACAGAGAGAAAATACACGAAACGAGGGGGATTTCAACTAGTTTTACAAGAAATATAGGAAAATGTAAGGCATCACATTTCTACATTCTTTAAATTTAATTATAAATAATAATTTTATGTTCATTATATCAAATTGAAAATTAAAAAATAAAGATTAATATAAAGAAAATTATTCAGGTTCTTTTTTAAGATTAAAACAAATTTTTAATAAATATTAAATATTAATAGAATTATCTTTAAGAAAACCTTTTCTGCGTGTAAATCCAGGAGCAGAAGCGGCAACAGCAGCAGTTTTCTTGCCTTGCTTCCATTGTGTCAACAACAAGCGAGGTCACCGAAAAGAGGGGGCCTCAAGGGGGCGTTGGGTTGGGGGTGGCATTAACTGCAGCACATTAATGTTATTGTAGGCGCGGGCTTCACAGGCGACTGACTGACTGCCTGACTCGCTCGCTCGCTCGCTTTCCCTCTCGCTTTCGCTGGGGTAACAAAAAAAGGAGCTTTTGTTGTTTGGCGATTAAAAGTTGTTGTCGCTGTCTTCCTTTCGCTTTTGTCCCCATTTGTATGACATCGTGGCGGGGCTTCCCCCATTTCTGGTTACACTTTTGTTGTTATTCCATTTGCTGTTGTTGTGGCTGACCCGCTAACCTCACAACACATCCAAACATACACACATACACAGTAAGTCTGCTCCTGCACGGAAAATTAAAAGAAAATATATAACAATAGTGGAAATTCATGTACTTTCGCCTTAAGATTTCAATGAAATTTATATTGTTAAGAAATCTGTGGATTTTATAATAATAATACAAATTTAAAAATAAAAACTTTACAATGAATTTTCTCTTAATTTCTAGCTTTAGTTCCAGGAAGCCTAAAAATGCGTGTCTAAAACTAGACAAAAATAGGGAAAACTATTATATTGTCCCACAAAACCCATAAAAACTAAACAAGAAATACTAAATAAGAAATATGACCCATTTTGGTATGAAAACACACAATTTTCGTGACCACTTCCGCTTTTATTTTTCCTGTGTAACCCAAGTAACCCGCGCCCACGGCCATAAACTGTGCTCGGTGAAATTCACCCACTTGGCACAGTTTCCTCGCACAATTACGGGCCAATCAATTGCCCAAGCTGTCAATAGTTGTTGCCAATAAATTTATTGAGAGCACGGCAAATCGAACTTGGCAAAAGCTGCAACGCCAATATTGCCAGGGGTTATGCAGTCAGCGCCAAAAAAAATAACAAGAAAGAATAAATAAAAGTAAAAACTTATCGCACATTTTTGTATTTCTTTTTTGGTCTTTATTGCCAGGGAGGAGCCAATGAACTTGCTGACAACTTGAGCCGGCCACAAGTAGCAGGTCGTGGAGGAGAAGCCCCTTGGGCGGTCAAGGAATCATGGGTGACCTCCAGGCCACCATCGAGTTCTCCGTGGAGCTGCACAAGTTCTTCAATGTGGATTTGTTTCAGCGCGGGTGAGTGTTTGTCGCCACGTTTTAAGAGCCCTCCTCAATCACTGGGCCGTATTCATTCCACACAGCACGTAAAGCAACAAAATAAATACGAATAAACTTTTGATTACAACGCCATCGAAATTGATCGATAAGCTGGCAAATGCTTTTGGCAAACTTAACTTAAAGTCCTGACAAATTCTGGTGACAAGACAGCGTATTGCTTTTATTTCATTAATTTGCTATGGAATATGAGGTTTAACTTAGGTGAAAGTAAACTTCAATCTTAAATCAAGGTAGTTTTAAATGGTAAAAATATCTACGCTATATAGCAAGAATAAAATAAATGTTTACTAAATTATTTCAGATTTTTCTTTCATATTTCCTATGTTTTTTCCACATTTTTAGTAGACCATAAAACCCAATCGTTCTTGAGTGTTTAACAAATATTTCCAAGTATTTCTACTACTTCTAATAAACTTTAGTGTTTATTCGGCAGCACTTATACTGCCATTAGCATGCAGCTTAGGAGCTTAAAGATTTATTTATGAAATCTCTAAAGAACACAAACTAGCAATTAGTACTTTTATGTTTGCAGATTAATGATGATGAATTGCACTTGGTAATTATATGCAAACATTGAGGGAATTCAGGTCAACTGGGACATTACACACGGCTCGCTCTTGCTACAGAAAAATATCAAATGAATTTGTTAATTTTTCTGCAATTTGTTGTGCACACTCGCCGAGAGAGCTCGTAGTGTTGAGCAAACAAAACGCAAAATGCAGCAAATAAAGAGGGGGCAAGTGGCGGTGTACTGACCGAAGCACTCACTAATTGTCAGCCGAGTGTTTATGGGATTTCAATTTGTTGCTGTTTCTGTTGCTCTTGAAGATTACCGGGTAGCAGCTCGTGTTTTAAAAATATATATATAAAAAAAAGGAAAGGGAAACAGATACAAAAATGTACGCAAATAAACGACAGTGAATAAAAAAAGAAAAATCAAACACTTGGCTTGGGCTGATTTTCATGTGTGTTTTTCCTTGATTTTCCTTTGTTTGCCTGTCACTGCGAAATGACGCTGCTGCCGATGACCAAAGTGTCACTGGTCGACACAACTCTTGGGAATTGAGGCTTTACTTGCTCTGATCTTTAAATGTTTGGACAGTCGTTGATTGTAGAAGAAATTAAATATGGCAAAAAAGTTGACATGGGAATTTGTCAGGTTTAAAAAATATATATTCTACAGAAAAATTTTGATATAATCGTAACAAATATATGAAATAAATTACTATTACCAATTTAAAAAGCAAATTCCAAAGATATTATTAGTAAAAGAATTTAAAGCATAATTTTAAGTGTACCCAAAATGTATGCACAATATTAATTTAAAGGGCTGACGTTGCTTATTGGTGTTCCCCCTTATGTCCAAGATTTATTGAATGGTAAAATTGATTATTCTCCCGGTTTTCCACCTCTTTTCTTCCCCCACGTTGCAGCCTCTACCAGGTGCGTTGTGGCCTACGTGTTTCGCCCCGTCTGCCCGTCCAGGTGGAGACGAGCATTCCGGATGCCAGCGGCCCCGGCAAACAGAACGGACACGCGAACGGCCTGGGTTCCGGATCCGGCTCCGGATCGGCCAACGCCACCGGCAATGCCACCGACCATGGCAGCAGCGACAGCGAGCGAGGCGAATTGTCACCGGGCGAAGGCAGTGGAAACCTGGGGAATGCCTCACTGGCGGGCAGCTGCTCCTCCGCCTCGGTTATCAACGGCAGCGGTGCCTCGCGCATCTTTCAGATACTCTATCGGAATGAGGAGGTGCCTTTACGCGACATTATCCACTTTCGGAGTCATCTTTTAGGTGAGTAGATTAAAACAAGGAAAATTGTTCAATTTTATTTTTATTTTATCTCAACTTGTTGCATTATTTTTTTAATAGAATTATTCATATTTGATCTCATTTAAAGTATAAGTTTAATTAAACTTGAAATTTATATTAATTTTTTACCAATAAACCCAAATATAATATTACAAAAATTATTTAAATGTATGCCAAGTAGGCCGTGCTAGAAATTTGCACTTTTGCGAGTGCCAAGAATGCGAAGAATTCCCCGATTGCCGCATTGGTGGCATTTCGATGGCAAAAGCCAACAAAAAACCAAAAAAAAAAACCAAAAAAATCGACAAAAAATAAAATGTCGCCCAGAACGCGGCTAACCAGACACCAAATCACTCGTCCAGTCAGCGGACAGCAAAACTTTCCGACCCGAAATGAGTTTATTGTTCGATTGGAAATATAAATCAAATTGTCAGAGACCGGACAAAGTTTGCCGCTGGCCCTGGAGCTTTGGGAATGCTCCGAGCAGGGATCAGTGGGCGTGACAGTGGGTGTGGAAATGGAGCCAGATGATGACCACACGGGACAGATGCTGAAACTTTCGGTGGGGGGGGATATTTCCACCTAATTGCATTTATTGCTGGCTGCAGCTAAAAGGATTTCTGCAGCTCCTCCGCCTGGAAATGCAATTACGGCAAGTTGGGGAAACTCCATTTAGAAGCCACTGCTTCTGCCTTATTTTCTGCCAAAGAAAATGGAAAAACTTGGCCACACACATTGACCCAGTTTTTTTTTATACTGTTAACACAAAAAACCAGACGCACAGCACAAGGTAGAAGAAGGCCAAGTGTAAAGTGGAATAAAAAGTAAACAATTCGGTAATAGATTAGGCAGCTGCTCGAATGAAAGAGAGCTGCAAAGTGTTGAAAATGCGTTAAAGTTTATGATAAAGTTTACGTAATTATTTTTAGCACAAGGCAGAAGATTTAGTTAAGATAAAGAAAACAATTTAAAAGCAATTCAAAGCATGTTGGAAGCTTTTAAAGTTATTAAATATTTCATTCCTCAGTTTAGCTTACAATATTCATGCCTTAATAATGGAAATATATATTTTTCGTATCACTAAATCATACATAAAAATATATTTAACACGCGGCCCAGAGCACCCCATAAAACACTATAAAAATTCTCATAAAAAACAAAAGGCGAGAAAATATCAAATTGAAAGTAAATTTTCGCAGTAACAAGAGCTGAAATAAAAGCGGAAAACACCAGGAAAATATAAATACATATATAAACACACATGCGAAGCGTGGAAATGGTGGATAAAAATATAAAGAGATATTTTTATTCGAATATTTATGGGGGTATTGTGTAAGGGAATAAAAAGCGCAAGGTGCCGGCATTTTGCTCTCGCAAAAGTGCGAGAATGATGAGCACTTGACAGACAGCGCCTATTTCCCCCACGTTTTCCCCACATTTCCCCTTAGCTTTTCCTAGCTCAACTTGAGTCCTTATTGTTTTTTCGCCTCGCCTTTCGTCGGCCAACAAAACAATGGAAACATCATCCACTTGGCTGCTGGGTAAAGTGATTAATTCATTTGGACAAGTTTCCCAAGCATGTGTGGTGGTGGCATCTGGGAGGGGAATCCGCAGAGGAGCCACCGCAGGAACCAGCAACAAGAGTAACTTTTTACTTGACAGCTTTCAGTCTCTGTTGTTGATGTTATGCGTGTGTGTGTGTGTGTGTGTCGTTTGTGTATGCGATTGTTTTGGTTTTTCCCCAAACGTCCTGCGCTTTTCCGCTTTTTCCACTAACTGTGCAATTTATCTTCTCGCACGAGCAGGCAGAAAAAAATTGGTTTTAAATATGGGAGAGCAAAGAAATTTAATAAAAATAAAATATTCTAAGGATTTTAAATCTTTAAAAATATAAGAAATCTGTTTAAGTAATTTAAAATTTATTAATAGGTTAAGTACCTATTTTTATACTGTTTTATATTTCTTTCTTTTTGCTTTAACTATTTTTTTTCTGTGCACCCTTGTATAGTGGGTTACTGCAGCGCACAGACAATAAAATAAACTGTGTCGAGCTGTGGAGACTCTTGTGAAAATCTCCTTCTCGGCATTTAAAATTATTCCAGCCAAAAGCAATTGTCACCACACGGACCACATGGCGGATGAGTGATGCGGGAGACCAAGCAAATCTCAACAAGGAATAAAGGAGCCCTGCAATGTGCGCATCTTCTTTGATTCTGTTTTATTGCCTTCTTCTGGCATCTATGGGGATAAATCCTTATTTTATGAAAACAAATGAATTTTATGGCCCCCAAACACACACACACACACACGTGTAGCTGGAGTCCTAAGTAGCTGCCCCATAAACCACCATCGACATGGCAAGCAAATTGAATTTGATTAACATTTTCACTCACTGGAGACTGTAAAAGGAAAACATTGGTAAACTCTGATGGTTATTATTATGGAGTGGCAGGTGGAATAATCGGAAATATTGATGGATTCAGAAAATGTGTGGCCGGCAGCGATTAAGTTCAGCTCACTTGTTGCTAAAGGCAGCTAAGAAACTTTAATCAAAAAGAAATCCCTGGGTAAAGCACATAAAAAATGTCCTGCCAACTTTACGAGTTCATAAAAAATATAATTTAGCTATTTGCTAAATAATAAGATACCCAAAAGTTATGGCCTTAAACAAAAAAATATAATTTTGTTAGGAAAAAGAGCTAAGCTTCTTTGTAAAATATATATGGCATTTCTTTTTCCCTTGAAGTTAAATGAAATATTTAAAATAGGGTTCTTTTATGGAAAAACAAGTACTTAAATTAGTTAAAGAAAGCGTTTAAGAATATATTATTAGCAAAAACATAAACTTAATCAAGTAGACTTAATGGCTTGCCATGTTATGGGAGTAAACAATGAAACCTAATTGATTGAGGAGCTACCCAGAAACAAGTCCATCGATCTAGGACAACATTATCCTGACTCATCGATTCCTTGGTTTCCGGCCAACGATATTTGCGGTCTCTCAATGAATTTTGAGTTGTCTTTGCCGCATGCACAACTACCCGGACATTAACCCATTTTGTTTGGGGTTTAGAGGCAGGCCACCCACCACATCCGGCAAACCCCACTATTCCGTGGTACGAGTAGTTACCACCCTCTTTTCGAGGAACCTAAACGAAAATCAATAGAAAAACAAATAAGCCGAAGACGGAATTGAAATCGACTGCTGGAAATATGTTGGGGAAATGGGAAATGTTTTTCGAAGAGAGTGGACTCAATGTTTGCATGCAGGATTTTCTGCCGCATTTATCCCAGGGATTTGCAGTTCAATAAACCCCAAGATGGAGCCTCTTTCTCATCATCAGGGATGCAAACTAAGACTTAATATTCGTATTTTGTTTGTAATTACAATACAAACATGCATTTTAATTTGTATATCTTAACCATATTTATTACGTTTTCAAAAAGTTTGCTTAAGTTTTAGCCAAAATCCCCTAGGAAACCCTACTTAATATTGCATAGACTTCCATCCCTGCCATTCAAGATTTTTATTTGATTTTTTCCTCTCTCAATTCCTCTCAATTTTTGCAGTTGACAGTCGTCACCTGAAGGAGTCCATTGAACGGGCCGAGTTCTCCTTGCAGCTGGAGCTCTGGTTTGGGGAACAAAACGGCTCCAGCAGCCTCAATGGACACGGAGGTGGCGATGGTAGAATGGGCAGCTTCTCTGGCGGTAGCACTACACTGACACTGGCCTCCACCAGGAGTCTGCAGTTGAACTTTCATCCGGGACGCGGCCTACACTATCACCTGCCTGTGCTGTTCGACTATTTTCACCTGGCGGCCATCAGCGTGGGCATTCACGCCAGTCTCGTGGCCCTCCATCAGCCGTACATCAAGTGAGTATAAGGGAACACTCAGAGAAAAGGGGGGAGAGTCTTTCAAGACAGAGAAAAAGAGTTTGGGGAGCTTAAGAAATGAAAAATAAAGGCTTTCTTTGGATTTTAAAAGGAAATTTCCTTCAGATTCATTATTTAAAAATGGAATTAATATTTCTTTTGCTATTAAGCACATTCAGACTTAATTTCTCCTAGTGTATCTAGGGGTTCGAGTGCTAGGCGAGATGCAAACTGGAGATGACAACATGATCTCTAATGTCAACGTTGATATAGTCATATTTTTCACAGTAAATTGAACGCAACGCAGGGGCTGCATAAATCCAGGATGGGGCCAGGAGTCTCCACCTCGACCTCCTCTTGTGTCCTGTTGCGTGGGGACTGCAGCATCAGCGTAACACGACAGGACATAACAGGAGGGGAGAAGGACTACGTAGGCCAGTTACCCGCACAAATCATTTCCAACTCATTAAAATTGCACACAGGCAACAAAGCCCTCGCCTCCTGCTTCTACTCCCAGTGCATACAAAGAGCGCCGGATAAAAATGTCGAGGCATAAATTTTAATGACTCTCGCATTGCAATTGTCCCTTGGTTCCTGCTCCTGCTAGCTCCTGGAATGTTGCGACAAAAAAGTACACAAACCAAGAACTAACAAGAATGAAGAAGGATCTCGGGCACAAGCTTCTTGCAGAGCTCAATTTTGACTTCCATCTAAGTTTCTTATCCTCCTCTCCATTATTTTTTTCTCCACGAAAGTTTTGCATCCTGCGCCTAATTCTTTAATCTGTTTTGTATTGCCGAAAAGAAAAAAGTTGTGCTTCCGAGCACCAAAGCCTCCTCCTCCTCGACGTAGCAATTTGTAGTCCTCGTGCGGAGGGGAATCCTTTTCGAACCGTATACGAAACGGAATTTGAAATTGACTCAACTCGCCGACTCCCCGGCTTGTTCGAATGAATAAAATATCACCTCATCTCGGGGAACAGCGAGGAATCCCATGTTGACCTTGGCCTTTGGCCCGATGAGGATATATTCATGCTGATTACACATCAGCAAAGTGCCCCAGCGAAGCTGTAAATTGCCTGATTATCTCTCGGCATAGCGGCAGGATGAGGCAGGTCCTGCAATCATGTCCGAAATCGGAGCCGGATTGGTTTCGGGAGGCACGCAAAACTTTAAAGTGTTTCTGGGATTAAATCGTTAGCGGATGATTTTCTTGGCTTTTGGGCCATGAAAACTTTTCAGGTTTCCCGGGCATGGAATAATAAAGCATTTCCTTTTTCCTTTTGTCAAAGTTTAAGGTTCAGAATATCCTGGGAAATCCTCATTGGAACTCTTTTTTTAGTTCTTTTTTATAGTTTTTGTGAGGATTTTATTTAAGAAGGATTTTTTTCATTAAAATAATCTTTAAAAGAATCTTTGAAGTTTTGAAGTTTTTTGCATGAGTTAAAAATGAACTTAGTTCTTTAAAATAGTTTGCTTTATTACAGAATACTATAGGAACACTATAATTTAATTTTTCTTCTACTAATTTTAATTAGACTTTCAATAAGTAGCAATTCTATCAATTTTTTATACTTCCTAAGATCAACGTATTTCCCTGTATTTCTTATGTTAAAATCAATAAATAAAGAAAAGACTATTTCTTTTATCGAACTAAATTTATTTTAATTTGGTTCTGTATATATTTTGTAAATATAAAATTAGACTTATTAAGACTTCTATTCCTATCTCACCTCTCATAACTTTATCACACCTAGTTCTCCTCGAAAGAAAACCCATAGTTCAAAATCAACCACGGTATCATTTATTATAATCTCCGATTCATTTATCTCATTTTTTGCGCTCCAACGATATATATTTGGTATCGATACAATCCAAAATATACTCGTATTATCCATACCAATATCACCCTTAATAACGGAATCAACACGGCAGGCGAAGCATGTTCTCGTACATGAAATTCTGGTAAGAAATCATCATAAATCCTACGTAAACTTCGTTACTGTCTAAATTTCGCTCGGTTCACGTAGTTGGTGTAGTTTCTGTGGCCAGGAGTGCTTGATGTACTTGTCTGTCCGAATCTCTCTTTATATATTAGTCACTTTTTGATGTATAAATCTATTTGGTATATAGTAACTATTAGATGCAAGTCAGTGTTCACTTGTTCACTCTGTGGTTCCCTTGTTAAGTAACTTAATTTAAATTAAAAATATTTAGAAGCAAGAAAACTGTTAAAAAAATATAAGAAAAAAGTTTATGAAATGAGGATACAACTAATTAAATTTGAAAGCAAGTGAACAAGTGAACGAATGAACACCTCTTCTAGTTCACTCACTGAAGAGCAACATAGTCCATTTGTTTCCCAAATATTAAAGTCTAATTCCCAATTTTTCTGTGGAATATTCTCTATTTTTTTCAGTGCCCCTCGAAGCTCGAAGCCTTGGAGTGCCGGCAAGCTGAGCTGCCGGGGTAACACCTCACCGGGTCCCCTGGAGGCAGTGTTCTTTGGTCCTCAGATAGGTGGCACCACCAAATGCAGCGGCGGTCCTGCAGGGCGTCTGCTCCAGTCCCGGGCCATACATCGGGAGATCTGCTGCCTGCTTCTGGGCGCCATCGAGCAGTTGAAGGCGACACTCAATGAGTTCAGTACCGTGCTGCCGCCGAGCATCAACTCGCAGATTGGATCGCCGCCTCTAAGGGAGAACGATACTGGCGAGCGGCTCCAGCTGCTGCTGGATCAAGCCAAGCAACTGGAGGCGGAGGAGGACTTTGCCATTCGTGCCAATTCGGACATTGCCCAGCTGTGTGCGGAGAGCATCTTCTGGTGGCGCCGCGTGCTCCTGGCCTCCCGATCCTCCACGGCGGTGCACACGCTGCTGGCGCGGAAGCATCACATCCTGAGAGTGCGACGCTTTGCCGAGGGTTTCTTTGTGCTGGAGCAACCGCGTCATGCGGCTGCCGCTGGCTGTCAAGAGCAGGCCAATGGATCACCATCGCTGGGTCACTGTCAGGGCTATGTGGCCATTGCAGAGCTTGCACGGAGGAGCCGCTATCTTCAGTCCCTGCCCCCGCTTCCCGTTCACTGTACGCCCATCGATGGCGACGCCTCCTCACTGCCCCTCATCTTTGAGGATCGCTATGTGACGCCGGGTAGCAGCTATGGACGAAGGCGCTCCGGCAGCGATCCCCAGCTGGACGAATCGGTGTCCATTGGTGGTGGGGTCGGCGGCTGTCAGAAGAAAAAGGTTGATAAGACCCACTCGAGTAGCAGCCTGAACGGGATCAAGGACTGCCTGGCCTGCCACTTCGACTACGACTACCCGCAGACCAACGGCTCCGGTCCGGCTCATCCGCATGCCAAGTGCGTGGTCACACCACGCTTCGCCTTGGGCGGGGAAGTACTTCAGGCCAGCCTGACCATAGCTCCCAGCAAAGAGCAGGCTCCTGCTCCTCCAGCCCCCACAGCGGCACTACGCCACAATCTCTCCCGGCACTCGGTCACAGGTCTGCTGGAGGATCTCGATTTGGACTCCAGTCTCCCGGCGCGGCACAGCAAGTCCCTGGATCAACTCGATGGCTGTGAAGGATTGCCCACGAATCCGGCGCCACCAACGACCATCCACACGTTGCCGCGTCTCCAGGCGGATGACCTGATGAGGAACATTTGTGAGTTCCGGCAACGCTACGGGAAGTTCGATTACCTGCACGAGATCAAGCTACTGAATCCTCCCAAGCAGCAGCACAGCACAGCGCAGCAGCAGCAACAGGGACAGTCGGCGCAGCAGGGACAGCAGTGCACCAATGGCTACAACTCGCTGCCCAAGTCGATGGTGCCGCCGAGGAACTCGTATCCGCCGCCACCGCCGACACAGCATACAACGATGCCGCGGAGCAGCTCCTCGCAGATACCGCGTGCCGTGGAGATTGCCCGCGTGAGAGTGTCGGACATCAAGGAGATGCTGCGCCAGGGCCAACTCAGGAAAGAGTCCAGCAGTTCCGAGAGCGACATGATGCAGAAGCTCCAGATGCTGAGTTCCAACAGCGTGCCCTTCCGCCTCGAAGGCGCTGGCGGCGGCAATGGCAATGGAACGAGCAACAACAACACCACCAGCAGCGATCCCAACACCAGTGGGTTCAGTGAGTCCCTGCCCAATCTGGCTCCTCCGCCTGAATTCGATTCGGACTCGCAGTTGAGACGGCAAAGGAGCAACTCCACCTCCTCACTGAGTGAGGAGAGCGGCTGGGTAAGTAGTCGGAGAAGCTCGTTGGCCATCTCCAGTCCGGACACCATCACCAGCACGGCGGGTCTGAATAATCAACGACAGCGGCATACGCAGCTTAACCTAGGCATGGGTATGGCCATGGAGACGCGTCTGAACGGGGAACAGCTGCGCCTGCGCCTTCAGAAGGTCCTGGAGCAGCAACAACTCCAGCAACAACATCCCCACAAGACGCGGAAGAGACAAACGGGGACCTCCAGTCAGAGCAGAACCCCAGCTCGTCAGCCGCCGGAGGTACACAAGAAAGTGTCCTCGGTGACTGTGAATATCAAGAAGGAACGCTCCCGCTTCCAGTTGGACCGACTGCGTCACCTGCCCAACGGAGAGTCCACGGAGGTGGAGGAGATGGAGCCGCCGCCACGCAGGAATCGCCACAAGACTGCCAACTCCACGGGCAAGTCCAAGTCGGACTTTGACATTACCAGTCTGAAGGACATGCAGCCCCTGGACGCGGTCTGCCTGCCACCACCTCAGCAGTTTCAAGACCAAGAACAGGAGCTGGCTTTGGCCGCCCTGGCTCCACCGCCGCCCGACGAGTTCCGGGATCCGCCACCAGAACCAGCACCCTCTGCGGCACCTCTCCCTGTTCCTTCTACCGTTGCCGTTGCCGTTCCTATTCCCGCCTCACTTCCTCCAAGTGGCAAAGCCAAGATCCAGGTGACCTGCCATTTGCCTCCGCCGCCGCTCAAGGAGCGCCAACCGGTGGGTGCCATCGATAATCCGGTCTACCACATCTACGAGTCCCTGCGACCAATCTCCACACCAGCCATCTTCACCAATAAGCCCGTACTGAAATCCCACAGCCTGGCAGAGCTGAAGAGGCCACAGAATCTCCCGAATCCGCTGAGCCATCAATGCAAGTCACATGCCATCAATGGCAGTAATGGCTTGGACGCCGAGCAGGACGAGAATAAGGAGAACTCCAATGGGCAGGTACGGGCGGCCAAGCCACCGGGCAACAGTTCTCATCCCGCTGGCAAGCACAAGCGGAAGGGACAGGCCTCCGCCGCTGTCCAGGAGGCGCCGCCCAGCATATCCCTCTTGGAGTTTGAAAAGTACCGCGAGGAGTTCCGCAAGCAAATCAAGTATCAGGGCAGCATATACTCAGACTACGTCCAGCTGGCCTCCGAGCTGCCCTACTTCTACATCAGCGACGAGTACCGCGCCTTCTCGCCCAACGGCATGCATCTAGTCATCTGCGTCCACGGACTGGATGGTAACTCGGCGGATTTAAGGTTGGTGCGCACCTACCTAGAGCTGGGACTGCCGGGAGTGAACCTGGAGTTTCTCATGTCAGAACGAAACCAGGGAGACACCTTCTCTGACTTTGACACCATGACTGATCGGTGGGTGTGAATTTCGAGTTATGTGAATATCTTTATCTTCTTTTGGGCTTTCCTTTAGGCTGGTAACCGAGATACTCTACCATATCGATAGCTGCGCTCTGAATCCTGTTCGCATCTCGTTCGTGGCCCATTCCCTGGGCACAATCATTGTGAGGAGCGCCTTGGCCAGGCCTCAGATGCGTCCTCTGCTGCCGCGCCTGCACACCTTCCTCTCGCTCTCGGGTCCGCACTTGGGTACTCTCTACAATACCAGTGGACTGGTTAATATGGGTAAGGTCACGATACCCAGGAACCGGAATGATTCTTACTTACCTCTTAATCCCTTTCAGGCATGTGGTTTATGCAAAAGTGGAAGAAATCCGGTTCCCTGCTGCAGCTTTGCATGCGCGACACCACTGACATGAGGAACAGCTTCCTGTACAGGCTCAGCCAGAGAAGCACCCTGCATCACTTCAAGAACATTCTGCTCTGCGGCTCCAGCCAGGATCGTTATGTGCCAGCGCATTCCGCACGATTGGAGCTGTGCAAGGCTGCCATGCGGGATAGCTCTACTCTGGGCACCATTTACAGGTGATATTTGTATAAATGTTGCCTATAAAAGAGGTTATTTTAAAATTATATTATATATATGTTTCAGAGAAATGGTTCACAATGTCATAGCCCCGATACTAGCCCGGCCGGAACTGACTTTGGCTCGCTTTGATGTCCATCACGCTCTGCCTCATACGGCTAATACACTGATTGGTCGGGCGGCTCACATAGCTGTCCTGGACTCGGAGTTATTTATTGAGAAATTTATGCTGATTGCGGGCCTCAAGTACTTCAGTTAACCAGATCAAGAGCGTCCCAAGGAACCAAAACAATTGCTGACTTTTTAAAAGATCTTTTGTAGAGTCCTAGAGAGTTCATAAAGAGTACAGTACATGCTAGAAGGGGTCCATAATATATTTACATTAATCCCTTGTCGAAATCCTTCCTTAAAGCTGATATATTTTACTCAAGATTCTTGGAAAAGTTCCTAAAAACATTTTTTTACTCATTTATTCTTTGTTGTGTTAATTTATTTCAGTTTAATTTTAATCTACTTATAACCCTTTCCAGCCTGTACTTTACTTCAATATTAACCTAATATAAAGAACTAGTTAAAAAACAGGGTACTCATTAATTAAAGTCAGAACAAGAACCAGTGTCATCAGATCCGCCAAAACTGATTCCCCATACAACCGCGAATTGGGACAAGGAATTTATTGAAGCAAATCGTTAGACTTGAATTTTTTACCAATGCAACTCTTTTGTAGGGAATTGATATCCACTCACACACAACCACATACGAACAAATCAAAAAACCAAAGAATGTTTAATCAAAAACCTATAACCAAAATGGCGGCATAACTGTTGAAAACGTGTTACCGATACTTACATTTTTTAGCTTTAAGAGTTGATCGCATACGAAACCTAAAAAAAAGAAGCCAAAGCAAAAGCATCATAAGTAGTGTTAAATTCAAGTTCAAAACTATACACGAGACTTTTTCGAAACGTTTGAATTGCGAAAGGAAAGTGAACGGAAACGGAAACGGAGACGGAAACGGAAACGGAAATGAGAACCATCATGTTAAGTATACGTAACTATCTGTAGTAGTTGAGCACGGGACGAGGCAAGGTTGCATTTTGATGAAATTAGCAGAATAGTATTAGCAATTTTTAAGACTAATCAAAAAACAAAAACGCCGATGGTTTTTTCCAAATCTTTTTACTGCTAGACAAAAAGAAAGAGAACAAATTTAGATGAACTAGAGTTAGAGGTAGAGGTAGCGTTTGAACTAGTCGAGTTGTTGGTAGCTGACTGCGTCTTCGGGGGAGCGTCAATTAAGTTAAGGGGCAGAGGTCTAGAGGTTTATTTGCAGGCCTAGGTTTTTCATTGGGAACAAGATTGATGCACGTGTAAAGCAGTTAGGACGAAACTTTTGCAAATTCTTAGCCTAGTCTTAGTCTATAGAACTCTGTCGTTTCTGAGCTTTTTCGAATCGTTGTTGTGAACTAATACTGTTTGAGACCCTACCAGAAATTGCATTCTTCGTGTGTATGTGTGTAACCGTCCTAAATGTAACGACTTTATCAACTTTGCTAACGCGAAAACCAACCAAAAATGTGTGTAACTGGTTTTTAAAATTGTTTGTGTGCGTAAAAAAGAACTTTGAATGTGTATTTTGAAGCGTTTCGTAAGGCACTACGATTTTACTTAATGTATTCCATCAAAATTGAGCAAGAGATTCCCCTCAGTTGCAGTTTAAATGTTTTCTTTTCCAATAAAGTATGCTAAAATTGAATTTTAGTGAAACATAAATCTGTGTTTTATTAATTGCTAAATATTGTAATATTTAAATTACAATACCCCTTTTGATGGTATTATAATTTTAGTCAGAAGATAGGAACGCTGTGAAGGAGTCATTTCCGACCTTATAAATCATATATATTCTTGATCAACATTAACAGCCAATTCTGCCTCTAATCAAATTGCGAATTGCAAGGGTACACAAGCATCGTCTTCCCATACTTAATTTTTTCAGTGCATATTGTTGTACGTTGGCCACACTTTGAATTCGAATTATTCCTAGTGGTGGAACTCATACTTCACGATACCTAATGAATCGATAGTCTCGACGGTAAAATCGACTCATTCCCATCTCTATGAATTATTTATTATCTCCGACATTTCGCACAAAAAAACCAAAACAAAGACCAGCCACGGCCAGAGATTAGCAACCAGAGACCAGCTCCCGATCAGAACACTCGGCCCCTCAAGATGGCAACGGCTGCCCGACCTCCCTCGCTGCGCCTGGGGCAGCAGGACCTGAAGTGCCGCACTGGCTGCGGATTCTACGGGACTCCCCAGAACGACGGCCTCTGTTCGATGTGCTTCCGAGAAAAGTTCAACGATAAGCAACGGAAGCTGAGGCGTAAGTCCCGCTCTCGGTTTTTTTCGAACCCTCAGTCATGAAGTGGCCCTTTGCAGAGAAGGCTGGCGAAACAGCAGGCCTGGCTCCCGGCCACGCCCCTGGCTTCACAGATCGAAGATCCCCACAGCATGGTCACCACGGTCAGGGGCGAGGGGAGCAGCAGCCAAGAAAACAGGAAGCAGCAGAAACCTCAGGCACCCTGCAAAAGAAGAAATTCACGACCGTTTTGCAAAAAACTCTACAGGCGGGAGCTCAGAAAAGTAAGGCGGAAAGCCTTAGGCTTTATAGGTTTATTTATACAAATTATCCACAGTCACCCAGCAGCGCAGCCATGTGCCCGATCCCACAGAGGGTCAGTTCCTGCTGCAGCTGCGCCAGCTTCGCATTCCCGACGACGGCAAACGCAAGCTTAAACTGGAGATCCAGCGCTTGGACAGCGAAATACGCAAGTATATCAACGGTAACAGCGCCAAGAATGTGGATGAGCTCTCGGACGCCGTGCAGAATGCCTACACCAAGGTCTCAGACATCGTACACAATGATCCCAGCTTTGAGATTGCCACCAACGAGGATCGTGATAGTGCCATTGACTTCTTTGAGAAGGTGGTGATGACGCAGAACCACAAGTGAGTCATCCCCAAGGCAGATATCACTGCCGCAAGAATGTTCGTTTATCTTTAATGAGGGAATGCACATTATTTTGCAGATTCCTCTTCAGTCCGTACTTCACCGAGGATGAGGACAGCGATGTGAAGGTTCAGAAGCGCATACGCCAGCTGAGCTGGATAACGGCCAAGCATCTGGACTGCAGCATCGACGAGGTCAATGCGGAGGCCCGGGATCTGGTGTACAATGCCATATCGGAGCTGGTCGGCATCGATTCGTATTACTCGCCCCAGGAGAAACTCCAGTGCACCGTTCGCTGCTGCCGGCACATCTTCGAGCTGCTGAAGCGGGCAACTGGAGGTCCGGCCAGTGCCGATGACTTCCTGCCCGCATTGATCTTTGTGGTGCTTAAGGCCAATCCCGTGCGCCTGCACAGCAACATCAATTTCGTGACGCGCTTCACGAACGCCTCGCGGGTGATGAGCGGCGAGGGCGGCTACTATTTCACCAATCTCTGCTCGGCCATTGCCTTCATCGAGAATCTGAATGGCGAGAGTCTGGGCATCAGCAGTGAGGAGTTCGGGGCAT